GGGGGGGGGGGGGGGGGGGGGGGGGGGGGGGGGACAGTTCGCACTGAGCCATGAGCTGATGACCAGCAGGGCCTCGCTCCCTCCCGAGAGCTCGGGATGATTAAATCACTGACCAAAGGGTGCTTTTACTTTCAAATGTTCTCAGCAGAAAATGAGCTCAGATATTTTGCATGACGTGTTTACTCGTGCTTTCTATTTCAGCCTGTCTTCAGACGTCTCCACAGGGTCACAGGATAAATCTAGGGAGCATGGACTTGATTAATGAGGGCCAAAAGAGGAGGGGAGGCGGGGTGGCTCTACTACATAAAACGCAAATCCGTCTTGTTGCTTATTTTGTGTCAAGTTGTCTAAAGTGCGCTAACTTGTCCTCATTGGCGTCAGTTATCAAATTAAACCATCCGGGCAATTTAATGTTTTTTTCTCTTTCTTAACTTTTTAATTGGATTATGACCAAATCAAAAACATCTCAGCACTGGAGAGGGCCTAATTGCTAAACAGATATCAGACTTGGTTTGAGTAATATTAATATGAAAAATATTAAATACAGCTGACATATTAAGGCTTCAGCTGAGATCAGAGGGCAAAAAGGACCATAAAGGAAGCCAGCAAAGCGAGTTAGTGTTTAGTCACAACAAGAAATAAAGAAACAGTTACACTCCAAAGTTACAGTAATCAATCATTATAAGGTAAACTCACTTTTATTTCTAAGTTTTAATAAACAGGAAATTACATAAATACTAGCTCAGCAGCAGCTGGAGGGGGAAAACAGACAAGAGAGTTAGTTTGAGACTATAGTTAGTTGCAGGATGAGCAGGAGAAGCTTCCTCTCTCTGAAAAGAGCATGACAGCTAAACACACCACAAACAATGTCCCGGACAGAGCAGACGAAAGCGGAGATGTTTGGTCCCCTTACAATAACCTGAAGACAACTGGCCGTTTGAACGGGACAATGGTCCCATTCCCGGCAGCACGTCTGCCGCAAAATGGCTAAAAAGGAAAACGGTCAAGGTGTTGCGGCATCCCGGTCCAAGTCCAAGACCTCAGCGCAATCTAATTACCACAGTGGGACCTTTAAGAGAGCTGTGGATAACGACTTTAGCAGTGGATCGAAACCCCTCCGTAATGATGTGAGAGACTGGTAACATCTCTTCATGATTTTACTGCTAAAAGTAGTTATTAAAGCTATTCCCTCATCTCTACTATTCAGTATTTTTTGGTTAATTTTTCATTAGACAAAAAAAAACATAAATCCGGTGAAATCTAATATATTGTTTTTTATCTTGGGTAGTGTTCATCTCATTCAAAGACCTTTTATGGGACAGACTATGTGCACTTATACATGACTGGTAAAACCTGAGAATTGAAGGTGGGTGTGCTGTTTTTGCCACATGTTTCAAGTGTTTGCCCTGCTGTAAACTATTCCAGGTAGAGGTCAGTCACAGGTCCACGACCATCTGCTGGGTGCCATCATTTGAAAATACATATAGACGACAAGTCATAGCTCCGCCCCCTCTCGGGTAAAAACCCGGAAACTGACCTTCATCTTCCTCGCCTTGAGCTTCTCCTGCCGCAGGTGCTGGCGCAGGGTGTGGCGGTGGCTGCTCTCCTGCTCGCGCGCAAACTCGCCCAGCGTGTAGTGCCTGATGGAGGAGTGGTGGCGGGCCATGCCCAGGGAGCTGCCCCCCTGGCTGGGCACACTGGTGAAGCCCTGCCGGCGGGGGAAGTAGTACACGGTCACCAGATCGAAGCGCACCCGCTTCCCTCCCGGCGACGGCCGGTGCTGCCTGAGGATGGAGGTAGCTGGCGAAGAGGGGGGAGAGACGGATTTGGGGCGGTTAATAGAGCACGGCGTTAACCGACGGCCGGGTTGGGGGCGGGCCCGTCCGTGCTTACGGGTGAAGGTGGTGCTGGAAGGGGGGTTGAGGCTGTCGCAGCTGTCGGCGCTGTCGCTGCTGGAGATGTCATCGTCGGAGTCCTTGGGCGTGGAGAATGGAGAGCTGTTGTCCACCTCTTCATATCGTCGTTTGAGGCTTAGAGACGAGCCTGCCTCCATGGACACCCGGCGTCTGAGGAGGGGACAGAGCGGCGCAGGGCCAGCCTCGTCAGGCACACCGCCTCAGTGAGCCCGAGGAGGCAGCCGATACCGGGGGGAACATCTGCACCCCCGTTTCAAGAGGAAGGGAAAAAGACTCGGCTCCTTATGACAGCTGAGTCAGTCACATCAGCATCCCTGTGTGTGTGCGTGTGTGTGTGTGTGTGTGTGTCGGGTCAGCTCTCAACACCAGCACAGGAACAAAAGGAGGAGGAGGAGGAGGGGGGGGGGGGGGGGGGGGGGGGGGGTAGACATCTGTGCAGCCCTGTCTGCTTTCATCTGTATTCCGGCTCCATCATTACTGTCTGCCTCCCATCTCGCATGGAACCCCTTTCTGAAACGATCGGGTCTGGATATGTAACCATGGCAACTATGCAAGTGGGCTTTATGTGAACATCCTTGAAGAAAACTATCTCTTTGATGCATTTTGCTTAAGGCAACACAATGTGGAATCAATCACATCCGCAGGATCAGTCAAGGTCAATGAACAGAGGCAAGTTTTCTATTACCTGCTGTGTTCCACTGCAGCATCCTTCCAAACAGCCCGGATAAACCACGATTAAATGATTTAAAACAAACCCTACATCATGATCCTATAAGGTAAAGACAGGGTCGACTGTCTTAAATGTCACAGCTATTAATCCACGCAACAGTTCTAAATGAGTAGTTTGGTTTTATGCTTGGTATAAAACGATGGACTGGTGGTTTGGAAGCTCGGTGGTCAAATTATCTGAGCTGTTTTAGTGGGGAAAGTGGCTGTTAAAGACCGGAACGGTAACAGAGCCCCATCTCCCCCTGACCCGACACACCTGAGGAGGCTCTCACAGCATCCGCACGGAGGATGCTGGACAGCCGGACATTGGCCGGACACGGGCCGGACTCCTCAGCGTTGGGGAGCATAGGTGCTCCGCTCGGGACTTAATTTTGGCTACCACCGGCTCCTGTACGTCTCCACCTGACGGGGACTCCGTGGCGTAATTTAGTGTCACGGGACGTGCAGAGTGGGTGAGGTGCTTATTCAACCGTGCACATGATGGCCGGGCCGGGTGCGTGTGTGTGTGTGTGTGTGTGTGTGTGTATATGTGTGTGTGAGGGGGGGTTGGCCGGTGGGTCGGTTGTTGGGCTACCCGTCTAAAAAAAAACCCCGGTCCCCTTCCCCCCCCTTAAAACCCCCCCCCCCCCCCCCCCCCCCCCCCCCCTTTCACCCCCGCACACACACACACACTGACACACACACACTGACACACAGACACACAAAAAGGCAAAGCGCCCAGATAACGAGAGACACTAAACCCGCCTTACCTGGGGCAGAAACAGGGACCTTTAATCCAGGCGACTCGGAGGTCGTTTCTCTTTCCAACTGGAGCTGCACATCAACCTTTTACCGCCCTGTGGGAAGCTTATTGTGCCCAAACCGAGTATCCGGACGGCGGCCGTGGAGCAATGGTGACCCAGAGTGATGTCGCTGGATTTTTTTTTTTTCTTTTTCGCTCGATTGTCAGTGTGGAACGCTTAGGTTTCCCCCCTATATTAGACTACATGGGGTCCGAGCTCATTGTTCCGAACGCCGATAGATCAGGCAAACACCGAGAGCTGCCAATGAGACCGGCGGATTTTCCTTAAATGTTGCATACCTCTCTATTTAAAGGACAGGCGACTGAAAGAAAGAGGGGCGTCAAAAGGCTAAAGCTGCGGTTTATTTCCCGGTATTTTTCGGTTGCAGCTTCAGTAGTGAACACAACCGAATGGCTTATCTTCCTGATGTCAGCCTTAGAATGATTGTAACGGAAAAATTGGCTGACATTTGTGCTCGTTTATCCTTTCGTCTTTTCTTTTTTTACCTCACGGGGCGGTTTCGGTCAGCTAGATTCACTTCGCTGTCTTCTTGGTGTACAAACGCGGTTTGGACAGCTACGTTTAGTGTCAAATTAGAGGCGAAATGACTGACGAGAAGACGCTTTTTCTCCCCCGTTCGCCCCTGCCCCGTTTGTTACAATGTAACAATGGAGGAAGAATTTTTTCCTCTGAAGCCGTATATATACTTGTCATGACATCACAAGCGTGCACCGCGTCAAGGCATGCTGGGAAATGAAGTTCACAATTTTTTTTAAATACCCCAACCTCTGATATCCTTTGTTCACACTGTGCACAAACAGATGAAGAAAATGTTACCATATGGTCAGATTCAAACATAAATCCATAATTAATCTGATTCAGAGAGCAACATTCTAACAGAATTCTGTCAGTGTTTCCATGGCAACAAACTGCATGGCTGCACAGTAAGGCTGCACATTAAGAGACGAATGTCTTAAATAAAACCATTACTTGTGGTCGTTTTCCGCAAGGATCCGATGTACATGGCTCAAAATATAACTAAATAGCTAAATATAGAGGAAGGGTAAGCATATTTAAGGTTTTTTTATTAAGATCATAAGGAAACAGAAGTGGCAGTCAGCACATATGTCATTATTTTGGTAATGCTGATGAGGAGGGGCACAGTGATATCTAAAATATCAAGCTATCGTAATTGACATACAACATTGCCTGAACACAACCTACTCATATGTTGTCACATGCAGCCGTGGCGTGCTCAGCCACCCATTACATTTATTAGCATTTGAAAGAGTTAACATCCAAAAACTAAGTATTTTAAAAACAGATTGTTTTCTTAAAATACTGCCAAACATGATTCCATTGTGAGAATACCTTTTAAAACAATTGTCTACCTAAAAAGGAAGTGTAAAATGGCCACACGAAATTAACGGAACAAAACGCTGGTGTGCTAAATAAGATGACGGGTATGAGATGCACATCAAGACACACCTCGCTGTTGATGCCACAGTGATCGCTGAAAACATCTTTCTAGATGCATTCAGGACAATTACGAGCCAGAGTAGGTTTTATCGGTGGTTTGAGTGTTTAAAAAACAGAAACAAAAAAACACACCCAATTTAGTTTAAAGTAACAGACAGTTCGCTTTCAGAGGAATCTCTAGTGTTTTGAAGGACAGCTAGATTCCAACGGTTTCCCTTTTAATGTCCTGGGTGTTGGTTCCGATACCTCTTATGGGTCTTTTCCTGCCACTCTCTGACCATGTGCTAGGTTTCCTGCAGTCTGGCTTTGATTCTGTAAGGCAACCTAACACGAAGACAGGTCCAGCTGAATCATGGAGTAAAAGTTCAGTGCTGCCACAGCATAACTTTCTACCTCCTTTTTAAAAACATTTTTTTGTTGAGACAGCATGTGGCCGGTTCCGAGGACAGAGCTTTGGCACACCGGATGCTCACCTGACAAACAAGAAAAGCAGCAATGGGGCTGCTAACCATTTGTCCAGATAGAAGCGACGAAGGAAATCGAGACCATTAAGGGGACATGATGGCAGGGAAAGGAGACGGCTGATTTGCTGTGGCGGCAGAGTCACTTCCTTAAAAGGGATGGTGAGAAAGCGGGCCAGGTGCGTCAGTCACATGCTCCACCTAGCTGCCACCAAGGGCTTTCATGGGACGTCTCCATAAAAATCCAAAAATAATGCAGGGAGTTTGAAGCTCTAGCGGGCTAATTAAGACAGAAAGGCTTGGGCTGTTCTCTGGAACTCATTTCAAAATGATGTGGTAGCCATCACTTGTGTCATCTAGCGAGAGAAGAAGAAACAAAGAATGAGAAGGAATTTTCTAACAGGCTGATGATAATAATAAACTTGCAATGGTTAGAAAGAGACCTGTTACTCATTTATTCCTGCTGCAATTAGATACCTTTCATTGTGTCCAAAACAAAACATACTTCATCCTGAAAGTTCTGGATCATCTTTAGAAAACCAAAAAGAGAGAAGATGATTAATATTTTACAGCAGGAGGAAACGACGCAGGTAGACGTCTGGGATTTAAAACTTTTAGAACTGGTCTTACCTCGTCGCTGACCAGCACGTGGATTCCAGTGGGGCCCTGTTTAAAGATCTGATGGATCTGCCTGGGCGAGATGTTGAAAAGTTGGGCCAGCTTCTCCGTCAGCTCGACGGCGGTGAGTTCCTCCAGGTAAATGGCGTGATACACTGCAGGGGGGGTGGAGAGGAGACAGCAGGGGTCATAACACATGAACAGGTTTGTTTCATCTTGTGCCTGAGTGAGTGAAACAGACTCCAGCAGGTGTTATTAGAACATGAAGGTCTGGTTTTACATGTTGTGGACGACTAATGACACAACAGCCTCAGGTAGTTCCTCGTATGACCCAAGACTGAATAGAGCGTTCCAGAAATTACCCAGCCGGAGTGTCTAAGTTGGACATTTTGACCCGTCGGCAAAGGGGGAGAAAGTCAAGTGAAGATATTAAAGACAAGAAAGAAAAAACAAAACAAAACGCAACACAACATATATTGCAGGCTAAATAATCAATAAAAAAACTGATGTAACCCCAAAATGATAAATTGTGTTGCTTTTTAACATGAGAACTAATTTAATGGAACTGGCTGTAATTACATTAAACAGAATATTAAACAAGAAGCTAGAATGAATTGCTAGGATGAATTTTGAGCCAATCAGAGGGGGAGATTTGCAGAAAACTGACAGTTCCTGTAAATGACATTTAAATGCAGCAAACTCCAAAATCTGACTTTAATTCAGTGCAAAATAATTTACCACCAATCCCGCTTGTAGCTTTAAAAAAGGGGTTCCTCACGGAACAGTAGATCTAGTTTCTGAGTGTCTGATGCTCTGGGGTCTTTATGCTAGATCTTTTCCGAACACCTTTGCACAGTTCTCTTAGCGCGAGGGCTCAAAAATAAATTGTTCTCGGGCCGCAGCCGTAGCCTAATGGCTAGAACGGGCGGCCCATATACAGAGCCTTTGCTCGCAAGCGGGCGGCCTGGGTTCGAATCCAGCCCATGGCCCTTTCCCGCAGGTCTCCCCCTCTCTATCTCTACCCCCTTTCCTGTCAAGCTCCTGTCATTAAAGGCCACAAGAGCCGAACCTTCCTAGCAGCAAGATCAAAGAAATTGTTCTCAAAATGCTGGTGTTCTTTGGCATGTCGGAAATAAATAGATTAAGGTTAAATTGGTCTTTCTTTTCATCATTTGATTAAAAAAAGGTCGCTTCCTGCGCTTTGTGAAAAAGCTTCTAAAGCGTGCACAGACCATAGAAAGTGCTGGCGGCAGCGTCTCCGTTTTCATGTTTTGGTTGCTGCTCCCGAGCGTGCTGAGACTCCTGGCAAACGTAGATGGTCAGCCTTGGGCGAACCACCCTGTATTCAAACAGAGGCGTGTCAGGAAAAATAGAAGTGACAAAATCGTCTTTTTTATTGATTTTTTTTAGATGAATAACTCGTTCTAAAGACTCACCGTCCCTTTAGTGCATTGAAGAGCCGGATACCATCAGCCGGCCCACAGATCTGAATAACGTCCTCCCTGGTCAGCTTCAGCAGGTCTGCCCCTGATGTGACAACACAGAGCTGACATTTTCAGCTAGACGAAAGCTCTGATCCATGTAAAAGTCATCGCTCGTTTCTTATCACTTATTCTTACCCCGAGCACAGTTCAGAGTAATTTAACAGTGTGGATGCTTTGGGTTATGCTGACATCATATCCCGTTATCTGGTGTTTTTCCTCTGCCTCCGCTTACTTTGTAAGCTTCCCTCCTCCCTTTTAAATGCTTTAATGCCACACATATCACATTTGACACAAACATTTTTTTAGATCTACTGCATCTCCATATAATCAAAGTTTTTCTTTGTTTTTTTCTTAGAACAAACAAAACAAGACTTCAGATCAAATAAATAATTTGTAACCCTCTTTTTAAGTCAATCTTTATAGGGTGAAGCAGATAAAAGCATCTGCTAAATGCATAAATGTAAATAGATATTATATATCAATATATGATATTTAGTTTTTTGTATGATAAATACGGCGAAAATCGTACCTATGTGATTTCTCAATATGATCCGGCAGTAAAACAAACAGTGATGGCGGCTCTTCTTGTTTTTTTACCTGAGAAATTGGTGAAGAGACGACAGTATGGCGAGAAGCGGTTTCTATGCAGCCACTGCTGTGCTTCCTGCGGCGTTGAGGTGGCTAACAAATTCTGAGGGAGAAAAAGCCAGAGGAAAAACAACAAACCCCACTTTAAAACCGACTTCTCTTGTGATCGTCATCACTGATGAGGGGATAACAATCTTATCGAAATGTGTTCATGTCAATGAGTTGGTCGGTTTTCTCACACATGTCAGCGTTCCAACTGCAGATAAGAGAGGAAGCACGTAAGAACCTGAACTTACGTCTGCAACCTGAACAACAGGCTCAGGCTGGTGGCTTGGTGATCCGTTTCTTAAAAAAAGGGAGAATTTATGAGAATAATATCTATTTTTTAAAAGACAGAACAACTCACATTAAAGGGAGACCTAACCGACAAGTGTTACAGAATTTTCCAATGCCAATATATAAAAGCTTAGTGGCATTATACATGAAGCGACAGCTGAATATATATATAACTCGTACCCCTCGGCCACTGGGAAGCTGTTGTGTGTGCTGTTGAAGCCGGGAGATGGAGAGTTGTTGACGTACGTGACCTCGGGCCAGGGAGAGCACTGAAACACAACAAAGCATCCCGATGACGTCACACAGGTCCATGGGTTTTAAGACTTTTCGGTGCTTGGTTTTTGCTGCATTAGTTTGATGGCCATTTAGCATCTTTTTCCTTTGTCCAAAGGACAACAAATATATAAATGAAGTAAACCTTAGCAATATTTTGGAGATGGTTCACTGAGTGAAGCAAATGTTCAAAGTGTTTCCTATGGAAAGAATCACATGCTTTAGAAAGGAGAGCTGCCAATATTTTAAAAAGTGTGAGGACCATTCAAATGTTTTGTCAATAAATGTAACAGAAGATCCTGAAGATGACTTTTTAAAATTTGTTGCTGTAAACCAATGGATGAATAGTGTTTATTTGTAAATCCAAAATTCATAGCTGGGAAGGTCAGCCATAGTTTTTTTTTTGTCTGTGGGTTCCTTTTTTTAAAAATTGTTTTGCGTTCATGTTTCTGTACTTATTGTTTTCCTGTTTATTATATTCCCTTCTCTGTATGTGACAATTTTGTTTTACACCTAATACTGATATAGAGCTGTAAATGTATTGTATTTTTATGTGGGTAAATAAGTAAAAGTTTGACATGAGGCGGCTTTAAGTGCACCTGGAACAAATGTTCCCTCCTTAGAAAATGCGCGGCCCAGTAAATGTGTCATGCTTTGCTCAAAATCGCCCCACGGCCCCTTCTCCACGCTTACCTCTGTCAGGATCGTGGTTTCGTAGGAGGGCTGGTACTTCTCCTTTTCCTGCGGTGCCCTCTTCTCCATCTTCTCCCGGTCCGTCTTCTGTTTCCTGTCTGCACCTTTGGGCTGGAGCAGGAAAGGTTTGCGTCACCGTGCTTGGGTGGACCCGATTCGCCTCCGCTCCCCGTATATTTCGCTCCTCTTACCTTGAAGACTTTGACCTGGCAGGAGGCAGAGTGAAGGTGCTCTGTGTACTCTCCGCTCTCGTTCTCCTTAAAGGTGTCGATCTGGATGCGGAAAGGGACGCCCTTCTCCCCCCCGTGCTTGCGCATGGTGAACTCCGTGCTGATGCAGTGAACCTAAAGAAGAACCGAGTATGACCCGGGAATCGGCACCGGAACGGTGGGGGAAAAAAACTAAACTTAATCAGCGGGCCCTTAAAAAAAATGAAAGTGTATGAAATATTAACAGGTTTCGTGCAGTAGAGAGCAGCATCCCCCAAAAAATTACCCATACGGTTCAAAGAAAAAGTCTGTAAATGACTACAAAGCATTACAAGCTGAGATGTGGTTAGCATTGAGTGAGGAGTCCGGTTAGCTGTTAAAAGCTTAAGTTAGTTAAGTGTCAGCAAAGATAAAATTACTGCATAACTTTCTACTTTCCTCAGTAGAACAATATACTGCTTTTCACTGTATTCTCGTGCTGACAATTGCTCTATAATCAAAGCTCTCCCAGCACATTTCAGTCAGCATAAGCCTATTCCATTTTTTCTCCCATTGTTTTTTAAACTAACAGTGGAAAAAAAGACATTAACATTATTCCACATTTTCAAGCTCATGCTACACATATTCTTGCCTGTATCCACCTGTAACTTCTCAAAGGATCTTTAGCTTGTTTCCAGTTTTTAGTCACATAATCTAACTTAAGGGTACATGGAAGATGTCTGCGCCCTGACTCTAGGATGTCAGAGAGATCTAAAATGTCCCAGGTTAATGCTCTGTGTTAATAAAGCAGAAATAAATCAACACTACGGAAGAGGAGAACATAACAGCATGTGCTTAAGAAACAGAAGTGTTGACAGTCATGCTACCTGGATAAAAACAGAGGTTCTCTTTGAGGGGTCCCAAAGGAACTCCACAGTGTTAAGCTGAGTGGGGTTAGCCCTGGGGTCGATTATGCCCACTGACATGGGGATATCTGCAACGGATCAACGCAAAACAAGCTTTAAAAGGAAATTCAAATGTGCCCCGCCTGCTGTGAAATAACCACTCTCATTTTAGGTCATGATTTGATTTTAACCCCCCCCCCCCCGAAAAATGACTGTGGTTAATAACACAAGGGCTGTTCAGCAATATTATTTGTGAGCCCAAGTCCAGCACGGTCAGGGGAACGGCGACTGGCGTCCAGAGCTCACCCAGGTCGAGGATGCGGTCCCCGGGCCGGTTCCAGCGCCAGCCCTCCAGCTGCTGGTGCTCCGTGTACTGCAGCCGCCGGTCATGGAACACCACGCGGATGATGCTCTGCAATTGGGACAAATCCGGGATAACCAAGGATTTCCCCCCGGAGTGAAACGGACATGTTTCAGAAGACAGAGGATTGCCTAACTAGATCCCTACCTTCACCATTTTGGCGGTGATTTCAGGAAGTTCCCCAATTTTCCGATTGTCAAGCATTCTGATTTCATAGGACTGACCTGTGACGACAGACAAAAAAAACAAATCGTGTAATGGCGACAAAATGACCACGTTAACATTCAAAAATAGCCTGAGCGGAAGGTAGATTTTTGCAAGCAATATGTGACACGATTTACGATGTTTATCTCTCACCACCGAAGTGCATTAAAAAAAATAACCTGAAAAAAATAACCAAGAACGGGCTGCTTTAAGCATTGTTCTGGGCATGTTCCGATCAGTGACCGCCACAGCCAATAATTTCCTCTTTTGTAACGTTTTGTTTTACCTTCAGTTCACATACTTGGCTTTTTCCTGCTTTTTTTTTTTTAATGGTGGGGTCACTGTCAGCCAGCAGTGTGAAGTTTCATTCAAGCAGCTTTTAGAAAGCATGAGGCAGCTTCTCATTGGAGGGATCGCCATCATACTGCCTGCATGGTGTGTTTTTAGGAAGGCAAGCTGGAGTCCCGCTGGCCCCGAGGACTCAAACCGGGAACCCTCTTGCTGTGAGGCGACGGTGCTAACCACCACACCACTGTGCCGTCCACAATTATTCTCATTTGACTGTATTTTAAATACTTTAAAAAGAAATTATACAACCCAGCCCATATGAAACATACGGTACAGTTGAACAAGCAGGACTGAGGTAAAGACTAATCACTGCAGGGCTCAGGCAGAACAGAGCCACGTCTCAACATGAGCTGGCAGATAATCACTTCTAGCCTCTGGGATTTGTCCTTTTTCAATTCTATTCGACAAAAGCCTTGTTTAAAAAGTTTCAAAAGCAACACCAACAGTTTTATGGCTAATAAAAGGAGTCTGTTACACCTAAGTGAAATGAATAATTAAGCTGAGAGAAGGTTGTTATTTCAGAAACAGGGTACGCGTAGCTTCAGGGCCAAAACGAGTCTTGTTACTATCGCTGTGTTATGGTTTGGAAATGTTATTTATATGTGTGGATCTTCTCTACAATGGAGGCCTGTGGTTCGCCATTCATTCTAAATCTCTTACTCGCAACAGCATGTTGTACGTTCATGTTGGGTGGTCTGAGGCCCGAGATTTCACACGTTGTTATTTACTAGGCTATTCATTGGTCTGGTCCCTCAGTATCTACGGGCACATTGTACATCCTTCAGAAAAGTACGGGAAGTTATTGTTTTTCACTCCTATCTGCACCCAAACCTTGTACTGACCTGGGAAAAAAAAGTTGTAAACATTTGCTTGAAATCACAAAAAACTTGATAAGGAGATAATCTGAACACCACACAGAGAAACAAGTTCGTTTGAACGTGCTTTTTACTGACTTGACTTCTCACCATTTCCACCGCGCGAGATTGATTTTTTTCAATATCAGCTCATCCATGCAAAGCTCAAAATTGACAGTGTTTTGAAATTCCGGAAACTGACCTTGGTTGAGGTAGGTGAGTGTTTCGTCATGCAGCTTAATGGCTGGTGAGGTAGCTGCACACAGAACATACTGAAAGGGAAGGATCTTGTTTTCGTTGTCCGGGGGAAGGTTGGATTCCTCCTGTTTAAAGATGGGGAGGGCAAGCACGTCGCTGGAAGACACAGCCACGAAAAATACATTGTAACCAAGTTAAAACTAAATACATTCTGCCCTTCCCTCTACAACCACTGGCAAAAATAATAAACTGTCATAAATTTGAAAAAAAAAAAACAGCGGTTTTGTTTTGTTTTCTTTAGATTTACTACAAGAAAAAAAAAAGCCTGAATATGCAAATGAGTCACCCAATTAAAAAGAAGAGTTTAATAAGCCGGGGGGACTTGGCTGACTGGCAGTAAACATGAGAGCAGTCAGCACAAACAATAGATCCCATTTTAAACCTAATTTGAAAATGTAAATCTACTTCAACATCTTGAATGTCCCCTAAAGGAAAAAAGGGGAAGGTTGTAAAAGGGTAATATTCAGGCTATCAAAGAAGATATCGCCTAAAACTCAAAGCAAGTTGCTTTGAAAACAGAAAATGCATATCATTAAAGAGGAGAAACAAGGGAAAATGTAATTTACTCTCAAAGGCTGCCTTTGTGTCACATCTATTTATTTTCGTCTTTATTTGCTTTAAACCTTTTTTTTTTAATAGCGAAATGTAGGTTCTTCAATTGTGACGATTCCACTGTTTTTACCAAGGATTGCAGATAGCTTTGATAGGCTTTTAACAATAGAGTTAATATCACATTTATGTGTGTGTGTCAGTTTTAACCACCAGTTAAACATAAGGCTGAGCTGTGAGTTATGATGTTCTCTGGCTGTGCAAGCCATCGAGTATAATGTGAGCTAAACTACTAAATACCATGGTATCCAGTCAGTGTGTCACTGCTCTAGTCAACACAGAAATTTCTGCAACAACAAGCCAATTCTTAGGACATCTGGGTTATCAGAGTGGAACACAAAAGGATGGACATTTAGAGCTGCAAAGCATTTCCAATTTTAACTCTTAAAATGAAAACTGAAAATGTTTGCAGATATTAATAGGAATCAATTAGGAATGATTTAAAAAATAAGCATCGGTCGGATTTGTTCTGGGGCCGACTTAAACTGTTGCATGTATTGTAGCTATATGTGCAAGTCCTGATTCATTTGCAGCTTTGCAGTTTTACCAAACAGGTCCACAAATGTTCTCGTCCAGATTCGTAAATTCTACTGCTCAGACAGAGCCAAGTTCTTGGCAAAAACTATTAAAATGCCCAGTCTCTGACCAACTTAAAAACAGAAGCTGGAGATTAATTTTGGAAAGCAATATCAGTGATCTAATAATAATAATAATAATAATAATAATAACAATAAACACACTGCACAGCTTAGCCTTACCTGGTCTAACAGCTTCTTCTAATTCAAGTTAAGTGTTGAATGGAGGTGGGATTACTTTGAAATATCAGTGACACCCGTAAAACTACATGACTTAATAACTCTAGTGCCTCTGAAACTGTGTATTGTACTAATATTAACATTGAATCCAACATTTGCGCAGATAAAAGGCACAAGTGGCCCACAGCTCATACCTCATACTGTACGCCCCGGCGCCCAGCTCCTGCCCTATGCCGGACAGGCTCGCATCGAAGTCCTGGACCAATCCGGACTCTATCACTTCATCCGTGAGGGGCAATTTCAGAGCCCACGCCATGGTGACGATGAGTTGATCTTTATGAAGGGCAGTTCCGGTTAAAACTCAGGCAACTTTTACCTGTTTCTTGCAACCTTCAAACGTGGAGAGGACAAAGCCCAGTAAGAGAGTATCAGCAAGTGTGGCTCCTCCACAAAAAAAAGGACAATGTTAGGACAAAGTCGGTTGGCGGCTGTAGAAGAAGAACACGACGGAAACGAGCTCGTATGCCCAATAACAAGGCTGCGAAGTTGTCGGTAACAGGTTACCAATCTGATCAATGCAGAGTGGTCAACTCTAACGGGAGTCACGTTTTGTTGGCACCGTGCAATGATGCCCTGCTGAGTTACAACTAACGTGCGTATAAAAACTAATAATACGTTGCTTCCAACCGTTCTATTTGGACGAGTAAGCGTACTCGAACTAAAGCTTACCTTAAGTTGATAACTGTGGGTATTCGCCAACACCACTACGGTTCATGCCATCATGTCGCGCTCCTTCGCTCCAGCACTAAAATAAACATGTCGAGCTAACAGTTTAGCTACGTAGCCTGTCTGGCGTTTCACGTTGCTAGCAGGTTTGCTAGCTTTGTGATTAAATTTGGTCTTTGGTGTTCACTCCTCCTGTTTGCTGCTCCTAAACAAACCTATACGTACATTTACGTAACATTATGTCATACTCCATATTATTCGAAAACTATTGTATTGCTTTTGTTTGTTTATCTAGCTTCGTCGGGAAAAGGAGCCGCCGTAATTTCCGGTTTCATCTCTTCTTCGCGGACGCGTAAAACCTCTCTCAAGAACGTCAGCGCTCATTATCGCCACCAGTTGGTGGCAAAAATAATTATACACAATTATTCACAATTTAAAACAAAATACAGTACCACACAAGATTGGACAACGTACATTCCAAACATGAAAATTTAACATAACATGAATATTTTTGTCATGTTAGTTTTTTTTTAATTGTCTTTAATCTGATTTAAAAGCCAAAAATGAAACATTTTAGAAAGTATCTGGAGATATAACATTATATAAATTATGCAATGAAAGATAGAAAAAATTACTCCGTCAGAGCTCTGTTAAGATAAAGGTGGAAATATTAAATTTAATTAATTCTAATTGGCAAGTACTTTTGTGGGCAAACATTTTAAACAAAATAAGAATTTTACCGCAAAACATCCATCCATCCATTTTCTGAACTTCTTATTGGGGATTGGAGCCGATCCTAGTCATAATAGGCGAGAGGCAGGGTTTACCCTGGATGCTCAACAAAACATCTTCATCTTTGTTTAAACATTCTATCTTTATGTTTTTTAATCTTATAAATACCAATTTATAAGGGAATCCATTGAAGTATCCACTGTACCAGCATATCTATATGTTATATAAGCACATTTCTATTATTTGCATAATTTATTTATTTGTTCACATTTTCTGTCAAACAGTGTGAATTATTAGCATCTGGGAATCAAAGAAGCCCAAAGATAAGAGCATTAAAAAATGTCTATTCTGTATGCGGCTAAAGGCCAAGTTATAGTTCATATGCAAAAAAAACAAAACTACAAAAAAAACAACTTTCATCTACACTGTAAATTTAAAACAAACAATATCAACACACAACAATAAGGAATTATTAATAAAGACATGGTTTATTTATCTGACAAGAAATGACAAAAAGTGTCATACCATTTTCTCATTTTGTTTTTTGTATTTTTTTTAAGGTTTAGCTGAGCCTGGACATTTTCTGTATTTTTTTGAGTTAAACCAATTTTTATTTTTCATTTTATAATTATACTCTTTTTTAAATTTCTTTTCATCATTACTTAGTTTATCCAACAATATTATATTTTGTCTTTAATAGCAAATTGTAAAGGTAAAAACATGTTCAATAAAGACTGTTACGCTATTTTTCTGACCAGAGACCTACTGTCATTCAAGAGGCAAGTTAAATGTAGGATAAAATGTATCATTTAATGTATGATTACATTATCTCTGAACTTTGTTTTAGTAATCAATGCATATTAGATTTTTATATTCTGTAGTAAATTACATTTCATCTGCATAAAAAGTTAGCTAATCTCGATTAAATCGAAGTTTTGCCAGCACTGCTACATCGAGCACAGCTTCTCACATCCAGACATTTAAATCTCTGTCGCTAAACATACAGGAAACCTGTACCGAAAATCCACCCATCACCCTTTCCCGTTCCCTGCAGTCACTAAAGTGCAATCAAATCTTGAAATATTGGCAAAGATGACTAGAGCTGACTATTTTGTTTCCTACAGAGAATAACATCATATTGCATAAGCAAACCCTTTCACTCTGGGAGGAAGGGGACAGTAATCAATAAAATTCTCTCCTATTTCTGAAAAGTTGTTATTTTATGCAGATTTTTAGGCTTACTAAGTTTATGTTAAGATCTGACATTAGGGTGTTAGGCGGTATGAGACTACTGTATACTGGTTTGACTTACAGTCTTTTCAGTCTGGAAAACTCCAGGAACATTGTCAGGCGAGCAAATTAAGTGTCAAAGCAGTGAACAAATGGGATGGGGGGGGGGCATGTTACCCGGGGGGCTCCACACCCCTGTCAGTAGCCTGAGCCTGTTTTATCGGAACAACTTGGTTCTTTCTGGAGCATCTGATACGACTTATGCGACATGACATTTGGCACGACCGAGTTCAATTCAAAGAAAGAGAAAAATAAAACAATACAATGCACACTTTCGGCTCATTTAAGCGATTATCCTTTGAAAAAAAACACAAAAAAAACTAAATGGTGATTGTCCCATATCAGTGGGGCAGAGTCGGGGTCAGCAGAGGTTCTGCGCCCAGGAGATGTAATGAAAGTTATTGCCTCCAAGGCGTTTACAGAGTCCTATGTTTATGGAGCTGCTCGCTAAATACAAAAGTTTTTTCAGCCATTGACACAGGCTTCAATTCACGTGGATAAAACAATGGATGGGGCTCAATGTGCAACCGCTTTCAATAAGTGGGAGGAGTCCGCTTATAAAACCGCTTGTATAAAAGTTAATCAAATGTCTTAAATACGACACTTTCTCGTTACTAGATGAGATAAAAAGGACCATGCAGTTTAACTTAGTATGTACCACAAAGAAGACATGTTCACAAATACAGCCTTTCAACCCGGTTACAACTTTTTTCTTTCCCCCCACGTGGAATCCCCTCGAGTTTCTCCAAAAGTTTAACACCTTCCCCGGACCTTCACGGGGATGGATTCAGACTCCATTCAGTATCCCCGAAAGGCCCCAAAATGGACGGAGGGGCGGAGGACCTCTGCCACGACGGTGGGGCTGGGGGTGGGGGGGCGCTAAACCTGGAAGACGTTGATCTTGCTGGTGTTCTTCAGCGTCTGCCGCCGGTTGCAGAACCACACGCGCACCACCTCTCGGTCGTAGTTCAGTTCGCGCGCGATCTCCGTGATCTCTTGGCCCGTGGGCAAGGCGTTCTTCTCGAAGTACGAGTTCAACACCTCTATGGCCTGCGGCGTGAAACTGGTGCGGCGCTTGCGTTTCTTGGAGGGTTCGCCCCCGACGAACTCCATCAGGTTCTGCTGGCCCTTCTGGTTCCAGTGCTCGGCCTCGGCCAGCCACTTCTCCAGCACCGGCTTCAGCTTCTGAGCGCTCTTTGGGGTGATGTCCAGCTTCTCGAACCTGCGGCGCACAAGACGGTTCACTTCTGTTCAGTCAAGAAACACAACTGCGAGTACGCAAAGTAAAACAGAGCAAAGAAACTGTGAAGCCAGATTTTGCATTTCAGGGTGCACAAAATTAGTTTTTTTTTGTAATTGCTCGAAATCTGTGGAGAGCAGGAAGAAAAGCCCAACAAAACAAAGCTACATTGTAAGAGATGCAGTTTGTTCCTCCATTGTATTGCCGAATGATACAAGACCTTCACCGGTTATCTTTAGAAGCCTGGGAAGCTTTCATTTTTTAATTTCCTATTGGCTGTGTGAGTTGGGCTCACTGATTGCACCCTGACTACGTAACAATGAAGCTGATTCTAATTGGCTCATACTGGGTTCTTGCAAACGGATGGCCGAATTGTATATTTGAAGTTCATGGTCGGTCACCTTTGTTGTTGGATTGAAAGGGACAGAATACCAGATATCGGTCTGAAACACGTGGTTCAGCACTGAAGGTGCCTTTTCTGAGGCACCAATGGAGCCTCGTGCCCTCTAAGATCCAGGTTTGATTTACATTTTACAGAGTCCTCACTCTTAAAGCGAGGCCCCACTGTGTTTGACCAGCACAGTGTTATATCTCCACAAAGTAAAACCTCTTATTGAGACGTCACCTCAGAGTGATTTGGGTTTGCAAACACAAAAAATCATAATCTAGAGCGACATACACACCGGAGTGACTTCCCATTTAGAACAGCAACAATAATCCATAGCAAACTGACAGAAATAAAGACACTGATGGTCTTTGTGTCTATTAGAACTGCGGTATCAGCAGGTGCTCTGCGAGCAGCGTGAATGCAAATTCTTTTGCAAACAGTTTTGAAATGAGGAATAGCTCTTGTTTGGCCCCGGGCGAAAGGTTTCTTTGCCCCTCGGTGGAGCATGACCACCATCGGTAATGTGATGACTCCAATGTCTGCCAGGTGCGCTGTGCACACATGGTTAATGGCGTATCCCTGATGTTTTACGAGGTGAAATGCCATTTTCACGGTCCATTACAGGGGTGGAATAAAACAAAGGTCTTCCATGTGGAAGGCAGCGGTAAGCAGAGGCGTGATTTACCTGCAGATGGCAGACTGGCTGTAGGCCGGCCCCTCCGTGGCGGTGAGGGCCTGCCCCACTTGCGTCTGGGTCAGTCCCAGGGACAGCCGTCGGATTTTGAAGTTCTTGGCAAACTCGCGGATCTCCTCCAGATTGATGCCCTCCTCGCCGCCCGCCGTCTGCTGGGGTTCTGCAATAGCGAGGCACCCGGTTACAAACATGAGCCACTCTTTAAAAACACGTCTGCGCGTGGGGGAAAGGGGGGAAAGCGTGGGAACGTACTGCTGACCAGCTGGCCCACTTTGGCCACGTCCCCGCACGTGATGGACGGCGCGGAGGGCTTCAGCGCGGTCGGCTGCGGCGCGATGACCACCGGCGACTGAGTGGCGGGCGTGGCTGAAGCCTGGGAGAGCGAGAACGACGCCAGAGGGGCGGTTTTTTTTTCCCCAAATGACACACTCGAGAACAAAATCCAGGATATTTTTCTTTAACAGTGCGATAAGGAGAAGCCGTTTGCGTTTCCTTGCCTGTGTGGCGGCTTTGTTCAGCGTCAGAGGCGGAGAGGTTTTGGGCAGGACGGCGGCGGAGGTCGCCACGGCGGCTGGCGCGTTCCCCACGGTGGCGATGATTTGGCCCTGGGCATTGAGGAGCAGCTGGGGAGTGATGGTCTGGACCTGGAGGCCCTGGAGGGGGAGAGGGGAACCGGCCCCTCCAGCCAGAGAGGCCGGGTTCAGCAACAGCGGGAGGGTTCCTATGACCTGGAAATATCGTTGGGGGAAAATAAACAAATAAATCTTTCTAATATACATACACTTATTGTAAATCAATAAAACCTACAGAGATATGTATAGTATATGCAAACTGCTGTAAACCTCTTGGCCCTCTTTTGTACTGCATATATATCTCCTTAAAGGTATATTCTGATTAACACTGATTAAATCGCTGCACGATTCTTTTAATTGTTTTTCCCAAAATTACACTCCTTGTATGAAATAAAAGCTAATATGATACAAAAGCTATTAATAATTTAAATGATCACCCAGCGATAGCGAGTTGATGTCATTTGCTTTGTGTTTATCTGGCAGCTGTCTGAAAAATGGCTACCCGAAAGTGCAAGTAAAATATGTGCTGTATCCACTGCCAATTTCAGACTCAGTCCCCCCCCGCCCCAAAAAAAATGTAAGATGGCCTTTTGGCAGACTGTGCCTGTCAGCTGAGCCGGCATTAGCCAGCTCTCAGCCTGACCCACAACTGCGGATACTTCTGACTGCCATTCTCATTACAATCAGAATCCCAATCGGTTTTTATTGCCAAGTACATTTTCACAATCTGTGCGAGGCACTTAAGCTGGTGAAGCTGGTGCTTTTAAACTGAAGGAAAATAGAATACTACAAAAGAGGACGGAACTTTCAAACCTATGATGCCAGAACCCGAACCACTGTGCAAAACAGCAGTGAAAACTTCCCCAACAAAAGACAGAGAAATGACTTTATTAATCCAGACTCTCACAATATGGGTTTCTTTCTCATTTTGTATTTCCAAATTGGACATCTGGATGGTGGCCGTCTTAAATAAATATATGTCATGAAATTTTGAAGCCACTCTACAGATAAGCAGGAATAGAAAAAAAATCTATTTTGACAGAATTATCAATAGAGAATGATTACTGATCAATAACCCTCCTCCCTCACCTCTACATCAATGTTGTGGGTAAAAAAAACAACAGACCTCCATTGATTTTTATTGTGTACTATTGTCAAGCAATTGGATTTTCATTTGGCACGACATATTATTATTACATGCCGATTGTCTTACTATATGATAGTATATTTGATGGATTTTACCTGTCCCTGGGCGTTTGTGATGATCTGACTGGTGAGGCCAGCCATGCCCGACATGGCCCCGCTGATGATGGGGGCCGAGGTCAGAGAGCTGAGAAACTGGGGCTGCGCTCCCAAAGAAGCCGCGTTGATCTGAGCAGAAACACACCAGGTATCACTCACAAGAAAAGCTGTAAGTAATGAAGAGCCCCCACCCCCCGGAGGCCCTTACGATGGCCGGGTTGATGGACAGTCCCGCCGTCTGAAGCGCCGCCACCGATATGTTGGACTGGGACACGGTGGTGCTGGCAGCCGTGGCCTGAGCGCCGCTGACCTGAACGCCGCTGACCTGAGCCGTCCCCTGCTGCTGCACCGCCTGAGGCTGGAACACCGCCTGCGCGTTGGCCTGCAGCTGGGGCTGGATGGAGTTCAGCACGGTGGCGGCTGGGGGCGACGGAATGGCGGTTACGGTGGGGTTCTGCTCTTTTGACGGACCGGGTCCCTTTTTTCTTAACCGTCAAACGTCCCCACAGACACAAAACACCCACTTAACGATGGGTTTTTTTTACCTTGTAGGCCAGCGAAGGGCAGTTTGAGGAGGTTTCCAGCTGAGGTGGCGGCTGCTAGAGCGGGGAGGGTGGCCACGCTGGTGGTGGGGAGGGTGAGGACGGCCAGGCCGCCCTGGCCGCCGATGGAGCCGGCCATGTTGACGGGGATGAGCAGGGGCTGGCCCAGCGAGCCCGTCTGAGCCATCATGCCGGTCATCAGCGTGGCCAGACTCTCCTGCGTCAGCACCTAAGGCAGCCCGATGAAAGCAGAGTTTTTAAATGGGCCCCCTGTGTGTGAGGGGGAGGGGGGTAGGTTCACGGCCAGTACCTGTGGGCAGCCCTGCACAGTGAGAGGCATGGCGGCCTGCGGCTGGTGCAGGGACATGCTGATGGGAACGCCCGGGTTCAGGGCCTGGACAGCAGAGGCCGGAGCTTCCACCGACACCATCTGCTGCTCGCCGATCACTGCGGAAGCACAGCCTTACTGACGTTTCAGATCTTGACAACGTTTTCGTCCCAGGCCTGAACCGTCTCCGTCTCCTGCTAGCCTGGCTGCGATTTACCTGCTTCCCCGCTGCCCTGGGGCCCCGGGGGGCTGTTCTGGCCCCCGCCGGCTTCGGCTTGCTTCGGAGCCTGAGCCCCCCCCTCCTCGGGCTTGCACTCGCTCTTGCCGTCGGGCACCGACGCCGGCAGAGACGCGTCGACCTCCACCTCTAGAACCCGAATGGTCTCATGGCCGGACATGACGATGACCTGCGGCGATCAGGGGCAAACTCTGAGGCCACTGGAAATGCCGAGGGGAACCTGCCAAATGCTCAAACGGGCCCAAATCATGTTTGACTGATACCCCCCTCCCCCCCCCATCTAGCAGCATGCCATAAACCCATAGGTGATGATTCATGGTACGAGGTAATGAAAGATCTGGCGGACAGGCAGCAAGTCAACCAGGGCTGGAGGACAGCGTGCAGAGACACAGAGCAGGAGGAGAGGAGGATGATGCATACCTGGTCGTCTCTGGCAGGGAATGTCAAAGTGCAGGGTTTAAATGGCTGAAAAAAGACTTCTGCAGTCAGACAGTGAATGGCTAAGGAGAACAGAGAAGCCAAGCACATGTTAAGACACCATGCCCGAAAAAACCAACCAACCAAACAAACAAACAAACAACAAACAAAAACAAGGCAACAATTGAAAGGCGCACGAGTCCACCAAACAACGATAGGAGCACGCTGGCAAACAAGCAGCTCAAGCAACGGCATCCTCCAAGCCCCGCTCTCCGCGTGGACAAAGAGCGTTGCCTCGGTTTGCCGGCTATGTCCACACACAATGTTACCAGATAGCGAAACCACACTTTAATCACACAAGCATGGCAGTTTAGAGACTTATAACCCCCACAAGCACGGAGAGGCCGGTATTATTCAGCAATAAAAAGTCACAGGCACAAAAAAAAGATGAATAAATAAATAAGAATGGAACCCGATTTTAATGGAATGCGTTGCGGCCCCTTCCCGTTGCACTGTGCGGTGGTATGCCGGGGCATGGGGGGACGGAGGGGCCGAGGGGAATACATCTTGTCACCTGCTCATTAACGGTGAGCGAGGCATCTTTGGCAGGCAGATCCTGGGAGTTCATGGCTCACCACACCACCACAGTCGCTGTCTTCCTGGCATTCTGGGTAAAACAAAAACAACGTTTATATGCAAACGCTTCCCCCCTCCATTCCTTTGAATTTGCCTATCTGCTATCAGACACAAAGATTGGAAGAAGTTAAGTTATTCCTTTTTGCAGAGATCCCTAGCAGCCCACAGTGTTTGCACTTCTCAGACTAAAAAAAAAAATGGACCTGCATCTAGATATCCTCTTATTCCTGGCTATTTTGGGTCATTGCTGGACCAGACTATTTGAAAGGGGCCTGTAAACAGGCTGTGGCGTGCTGCAAGAAAAAACATCCCAAAAAGCGGCCGCCTGTGGGCACCAAGTGGTTCCAGGCGCAGCAGGGGTTTCAAACAGACTCGAGGTGGAGCGTTTCCTGCAGCTAAGAAGCGTGAGCATTGAGGATCTGTCAAAAAACTTCAGCGGCTGTTGATGGGCACCCCACCCCCATTCTGCCCAATAAAAGTCGACCACTTTTGAGGACAAACAGCAAGCGCAAACCGACAGAGATCCCCCCCTCGATCCGAGCCCGGAGACCCAATATTATGTATTTCCCTCTCTTTATCATAAATATATAAATTATGCTAATTACGAGCATTGCATATTAACCAAAACTCATTTCCCCTCGCCATTTCGCCGCTACGCGCCAGGAGGGAGCGAGAACACAGTCCTGTGATTATGTGCAACTTACCGCGGAAATGCAGCTTATTTTCCGTAATCCCCCGCGTTTAAAAGGCTCCTTGTCACAGTTTGATTCAGTCACACATAATTAGAAATTCATCTCAGCTCCCAGACAGGCGCTGTGACGGCACACAAAAGCCAGCTATTTGCATTGATAAGGAGGGCTGCAACGTTCGGATCTCCTCTCTCTTAATATTTAATGACGATGCCCTTTCGGGAGCGGTTCAGATCGCCAGGAATCCTCGGGGTGTCTCACAGAGTGCCTCCGGAGCCGTAAAGTCGCGCAAAATTTCCTCAAAATTGTCCTTTTGCACTACGTCATGAACATAATTTATGCAAGAAAAAAATCTTGCATTGAAAAATGTCTGCCTGGACTCGCGCGCTGCCATGGTTTTCTTAAAGGGGCCGCAGCCCACAGAGGAGCCCGGCGGAGTGTGGGTGTGTGTGTGTGTGTGCGTGTGTGTGTGTGTGACACCCCGAGGCAGCCCCACGCTGTGTGTTTCCCTACAGTTTCAGTGTGCGACTGACAGCGTGTCTTGGCTGGGAAAGAACTAAGTGGATTGCAAAATGAAGAGTGGCCACATTGATCTGACTGTTAAAAGTTCGCTGGTACTCTGGATCAACTGTCCTCAGTTTTATTTATTTATTTATTATTGCTTATAAGAAATAGAAATACCTCAAGTCGTTAAAACCCCTGGGCGTTGGATTTCTAAAGATTAGGACTTTGAAAGGCGCACCTTAGTGTAATCAACTTAGTGCACTTTCAAGTAATTAATTCACCAGCTATTTTTATTTCTGGTACTTGTTGGTTGGGTTTGTTTTTGGAAAATTCAGGGTGAATTTCATAACCCATTTGCTTTTTAAAATTCTATTTACACACTAAAACATTAAAAACGGATAGATAGATAGATAGATAGATAGATAGATAGATAGATAGATAGATAGATAGATAGATAGATAGATAGATGTTTAATTTATTTATTCTTTACATTATTGTTGGTTAACCTCTTTTCAGTGTTCGCCGTTTCCGCCTGTAGGGGGCGCGCGCGTGCAGTCGAAGCCGTACGTGCGTCCAAACGCAGATAAAGAACGGGTGACGTAACCACTTCCACAACAACAAGAAGCTGAGAAACAAGGAAGTGGACGATTGTGTCAAGCCGTAACCCGAAAAAAGGCCGTAACTAGATACGCAGAGCACCGTTCAACCTGATATTTTCGGCCACCGGAACAGTCCACAGCAATGAATAACAAAGGTATTTCTTCGTACGGTGCGTGGTAAATGGGCCAGCTGTCCGTTGTACGGAGCTGGGGTTATAAGCAGAAACGGAGGGCTGCCGTTATGGCTATCTGAAGCGGACTTCACGTTTAGCTACGTACATAACAATAAACTGACGCCTTCTGGGAAGCACACACGGCGAACCAAAGCTGTCAGTTGCTAGCTGTTAACAATGGGCATCCAAATTTATTGTCACTACGTAATATTGGTTGGTTACAGCGCAGGACCCATATTTTTCATCCGGTTAGCATCGTTTTAGGAGCAAAGCTGCCGTGACTTCATTGTTTTGGTTTTCTCTTCTACCATTTTGTCACCACGTTAGTCAGTGCAAATATCAACATTTCTGGTGGAATTTGTCCGTTTTCATATCCGTTTGGTGTAACTAGCCTATTATTAGCATTATTATCATTACTGTTAATAGTGTTGTTACATCATTATATTCTTCAAATAGGTTTTAGGTCACTAAAACTGTAAACCTCGAGCAATAGCTAAAAATAACTTTTTTGTTTTAATATTTATTGTGTTCACAGTTAATAGTTTGTCCGACAGAAAACAAGCTAATTACAAAGAAAATGTTTGTCGCAAATTTAATTAATTTTATATTTTTTTTTAAGTAGGAAAACGATAAATACTAAGTTCTTGGTGATTGTTCAGATAGATGATAGACGATGTCGTGCTTTTTTTTGTTTGCAGTTTAACGTACTATCAAAAATGGCAAATTTATTTAAAACCTGATTAAAGGCTGCCCATTTTTTGTAATTGTAATGTATATATATATATATGTGTGTGTGTGATGAAATTTAGTACCCGTTGAACTCAATTACAAAAAATGGGTAGCCTTTAATGAGGAGGTTCATTAAAAAAAATGATAAAAATAAAAATATATTTTATTCTGTACAAACAATAGCTACAGTTGCGTGTAGCCTGCTGAAGTTAGATCCCGTAAAATATGCTTTTTCCCTCTCTGCTTCCCGAAGATTGTCACAATAGCACAATGGCAGTAGGACTTACTCGACTATTTTCTGGTTTGGTTATAATTTGCATTTACCTGTGGGTCCAATGCTGTTCACCGTCACCATTTTCTCTTTCTTTGGATGAGAAATTTGCACTAATGTTTTATCAATTTTTCCCACTTGCATAAATGCATTCATTTCACTACATATTGTCATCGTGTACTAAAGGGGATGTCTAAATAAAAGTGCCTGTTCTAGCCAAAAGGGGAGATTGCCATCCTAGAGATGTAACCATCTTATAGAGTCTGTGTTGTTAAACTTCTGCCAATCTCTGTTGGGTCATTATATTTAGCACCTCTGGCCTGTGTAGTATCTCTTTAGGCCCCGTTGCCTAAAGGTAGTCTCTGAAAGCTTTGCAAGGATGGTGGAAATTTGGCGCCGATTTACTTATTTTCTTTTCATAGGAAACTACATTTTCCATTAAAAGTATGCAACATCACTCCTGTCTTCTCAAAGCAGCTGCCCCTCAACTGGTGCCAACTCACCTCTGAGAAGACTTAAGCGCGACAGATTTCATATTGCAGACGCTTGGTGTTCACCGATTCTCATGTTCTCACTCAATATGAGTGACGTAGTATTGTTCTAGCCTCCTATGATTTACACCCAGTTCAAAGAGAGGAAATGGTGGTCTGAAATTTAGAACAAACAAAAGAAAAAAGGAAGAAGTGTTTTTTAAATGAGTTCTTAAATATTGAAACAACCTACCATCTACAATGTCCTTCTTTGCACATTACAGGATAATAAATTTGGCACGAAATATTTTTTGTATCCAGGAGCAGACGTGACCTTTCACCCTTAAAGCTCCTCTGTACACATCACATGTTTGGGAGGGAAATTTTAGAGCCCTTTGCTGGTTCACAATCTGTGCCACTCTCGGAACTGATGTCTGTGCTCTAAACGTTTCTCCTGCAGGTTCGTACCCCCAGCAGGCTGTGTACCCTCAGCAGAGCACTGCACCCGTATACCCCCCTGCTATGCAAATGTCTCCTCAGGCCCCCCCTTACACAGACACACCACCTGCATATTCTGAGGTAATTTGTGCGATTCAGGAAGTAAAAGGATTTGGAGTTAATGCTCTTGGTAATATTCCTGTTTGGGTTTTGTTTTCCTCCCACCCCCCCCTGCCCGCTTGTGCAGATATACCAGCCCAGATATGTGCTTCCAGCTCAGGTGCCTGGTCAGGTGCCTCAGATGTCCTCTCACTACCCCGGTGCTCAGATGTACATGCCCATGCAGCACCACATGCAGGTGGGGCCGGTCAGCCAGAACGTCCCCATGGCTTACTATCCCATGGGGGCCGTCTATCCCCCCGGATCAACGGTGATGGTGGACAGTGGCTTTGATGCGGGCGCTCGCTTCACAACCGGCAGCAGCGTTTCCATCCCAGTGAGTATCCACTCGGCGCCATAAGAACGCCGCCTGCCGCCACGCCGCAGATCCATTTAGATCCGTTTTTTTCTCCCGAAGACGATCGGCCGCTCACGCCTATGCTTGTCTCTCACCCTCCCCAGCCCCCACCTCCTGGACACCCCCCTAACGCAGCTCAACTGGCCGCCATGCAGGGTGCCAATGTCGTCATGGCACAGCGCAAGAACAACTTCTTCCTGGGTGGATCCAGTGGAGGTTACACCATCTGGTAACAGCAACTCCTCCCCTCCTTCTTCATGCCTGAACCGCGCCCCTATCCCCAACGATTCCCCCGTTCTTCCCCCATCCCATATGCCTCCCTCTTCAGGCTGCTTGGCCATGCCACAATACTGATATCACCTAACGGAATGTAATATTTTAGAGCCCTTGTAAAAGGTACAGTATTCCACTTCTGACCTAGAGATCAAATGATAAATGTTACCATCCGGAGAGGATAAATAGGAATCTTAAATATTGTCAAATTCATTCCATAAGTCTCCACACGAGTTAACCCCTTCGGTCATTCCAGATTGGACTTCTTTCAGGCATTAGTATCGGGCCAGGATACCTCTCCTTTGATCGAATGGTCACAAATAACATAAAGATGTTCTTGTATTCCTGTAAAACAACGTAGATGAAAATGTTGAAATATCAGACCTGCATTATATAGTTTAGCTGCTTTATGGTGAAAGTGAAATGCAAAGTTACAAAGTTGCAGTCGATGCGCAAATAAAAAAAAAAAAAGAATATCCACTTGTCTTTTTTGAAAATGTTTAGTGTAGTTTAATTAATAGGTGTGTAATAGTTTGTGTAAATACCAGTATGATGATCATGAGATGTAACATCTCAGCTATCAAAAAAAAAAATCAGCATCCCAGATGCTTTTAGATAGAATTGTCTTGTCTTTTGCACAGTATCCAAATGACAACATCAGATTTGTTGCACAGTGAACTGTCTGAAAGGCAGTTCTATTTAAATCACTTGTAGATGAGTTTAAAACGAAAAAAAGTTCAAGAAAAGATTTAACGCAATACCTTAAGTGGTTTACTGTACCTTGTTGGGCAACTTGTAGATGAACATAGTCAAGTGCCAAAGAGCACTGGGGTTAGCCCCCAAAATGAAGCAAATTAACTTCAGTAAACTTAAAGGAAAGAAATTTAAAGTAAATCCAAATAGTAAGATGAGCTGTAAAGGGTGGTTGGTGTAACATTTTAGCTTTTACTGTTTCCTGTTTCTATTTCACGGTCGGATACCCAGAGTTTATCCACTAAATGTTTTATGATACAGAATTCAAGAGCTATCCTTTCTTTTTACAGTCTTACTTTAGTATCGTCACGTTTTTCCAGTTCTTGGTCAACTTAGAAAATGTCACCTTTTGTGATGGCATTCGTTTATATCTTTCAAAGTTGAGGAGACCTCACAATTTCTTTTTTTTTTTCTTTTTTTTTTTTTTTTTTAAACGATATCGTTCCTTTATTTCCTTTCCACACTCCAAGTGAATCACACAAGTAGTTAGGCTAATAGGTTTGGTAGTATGACCAATGAGCTGGTTGTACCAAAGATCTGGTCTGCGGTGAGTCCATGTTTGGTTCCGGCTTCAGTTCTGACCGTCGCAATCTAAAAGCAAACGTGGCGCCGGAACAGCGAGCTCACCGCGCCTGGGTCACCTGCATTTATGAGTTGCTGCATACTTTTTGCACCTTTTTGCTATGTACTTTGTATCTGAAATGCACTGTTAAGCAAAACTGAGAATCTTCAGACAAGGGGCTACTTTGGTTTTAAAATCCAGTTTTACATGTTTTTAAAGAAAGCTGTGACCGTTTTTTCGAATAGTCTTAGATTTTCAAACGCATCCGATCTGATTTAGTCCATTTTTGATGGGGACAAACATTCAAAACTTTGAGGGAAAAAAAAAAGAAAAAAAGAAAGAAAAGAAAAGGGGGTCAACGTGTGCTGTGTTGTTCACTTTGCCTGAAAGTGTATGCAAACTCTCTGTGTGACGAGGCTACATGACTGTCAGCATGTTCATTTCCAAGTCAGTTTTCATGCTTTGAAACATCTTTGAAGTCATTACATACTTCAGGATCTGTCAAATGTTAATAAAGCATTTGAAGCTTGGTAAATCATTTCTATGGGTGCCATCCAATGATATCTGTACAAATATGTTCTCCATTGTGGTGTCAAATGTGTTGCTGGGTATCCGACGCACCATTTCAAGTTTTAACAGCTGTGGCTGCTGGAAAACGAAGGCTGTTGCCGTCAACACATAATGTAGTGATTTCAGTGTTATTTTTACTCAAAAAGCAAAAGGACAAAAAAAGGAAAAAGCTCCATGTGTCTGGGAACCCCGCACAGTCCACCCGATGCGGCGAGGAAGCCGACAAAGACGATTCCACACGGCTTTTAATCCTAGAAAGGAGCCACAGCTTTCAAAACTTCCATAACTGTGTTTTAAACAAATGCTTTCTGTTTGTTTGTTTTTGTTTTTCTGTTTGTTTTCCATCTCTGCTCTGATTGTAAAGCAGCGTAATGGTGGCTTCATTCCAGCAATATGAAGTACTGTAAACCACAGCTGACCGGTAGATGCTATGCCAACCACAGCCAGCAAATGGAACACTCTCTGTTGAAGGATTATGGACATTTATAGTTCAGGGATTCTCTTTACAATATTTTGTAAAAAAAAAAAAAAAGAAAAGAAATAGATGCATGTACTAAAGTGATGTGACGGACTTTGGTACACATTCTATCTTTTAAGATTACTAAAGGAGATGAGTGTCACTACAGTTTGCTGAGACATGTCGAAGGTGGAATACTTTGAGAAAGAACTTAGGTGCACTTAACTTTTTTATACTAAACTTAAAAATTAAAATGTAAGTTTAGAATAAAGGTTATTTTGGAAATTTGAAATGTGGCAAGTTTGTGCTTCTGTTCACGTTTGTAGTCTTTAATAGAAACAAGTACCGGAGTGGTTTCTTATGGGAGTGGATAACACCAGAGGTTTTGATTTTTGTATATTGGTTTTTTGTTTTTCATTTTTTGTTGTCATGGCTTGACTCCTCTACAGGTAAATTATAGTTTGATGTTTCCATAATAAAAAACAAAAGGTCTGTAAATGATTTATATTGCATATTAAACTGACAGGGGTTAGAAAAGGACTTTTAAAAAAAGACTATTTTAAAACAAATCAGTGTGATTAAGCAGGTTGGAAAAGGTGAAACCTCTATAATCCTGCACCTAATGAGGTTTATGCCAAACCGGGGTGTAATATGATGGGCAAACGGTTCAACAAACTAATGTTTGAGGTCAAGGAGCAAATATCTGGACTGAAAGTTTGTCAACGGAAATAAGAAATAAGCAGACAGAAATAAGCAGACAGAAGTGGATGCCCTGATCCTGTGGGGCCTAAAACCCACGGAGGAGCCTGGTCAGGCCGAGCCGCCCCGCTCCGTCTCCGGTGAGTTTTTTAATTCATTCACTCCCACAGCAGCGACGCAAAGCGGTCGAAAAGTGAAAAGGAGCTGCAAAGGAGGAGTTTGTCACCTAAGCGGAGGAGGGGCCACCTGTCAGCAGCCGCTTACTGCTCATGGATTCTAGATCAGAATGGAGGGATGATGGTTTTTATCTCAGTACTAAACGCCTTTGACCCAGTCCAGACAAAATTACCATCTTGTTTTTTTGTTGTTTTTAGTACAGACTGAAACATTAGATACCTAAAACCAGGAATTCAACCATTGCTTTATGAATAGCAAGCTACTTTTTTGTCTCCAGTTTAATATTTGAAAGAGTTATAGGTGACATGGCAAATCTAATTACTGTATTTGGTGGTTTTCCTTTCGTATCTACTCAACCAGGTTCATTTGGGCTGGTTTTCCATTCCACGTTTGGGAAAGATGGGCTGAGCGGCCTGTGACAAAACATGACAGCAACGAAGGGCACCACAGCTAATACTAAAAATATTATATACATTGCCGTGTTTTTAAAATGGGTGAGGTTCTCCTCACCGAGTTATGGGACACTGTGGCCAGTTAGTGGTCTGCTAACAGCCGTCAGTCCACTCAGGCCCTCTGCAGAGTGGTGCTAAAACTGTAACTGTTAGGAGGCTCCAGCGTCTGGTGGAAATGCAAATAACTAAAGTACAGCTGAAACAAGCGAGTAATAGAGGGAAATCCCCAAATTGAGGGTACTTCAAGCATGTTTTTGATACAAATTCCTCTTCTTTTTTATAGTAAAAAAAAAAAATTAATTAGAGAAGAGGCTGATTTATACACAAATCTTTCAGACTCATGACAAGAGACATAAAAAAGCTTTATTGCTTTCCATACTAAAAAAACATTGTAGTTGTCAGTAACTAGAGGAGGTCATTAAAACAGATTGTCAAAGCAAATGACTTTTTTTTCCTCTTTTGTATTCCACAAGATTTTTTTGTGATATAATAAAAGTGTTGAAAAAAAATCATCTAAAACCATAAACAATATAAAATAACAGCCCACGGGAGGAATTACCCTTCCTGTAACAACAGCTTGTGTGAATGGCACATTTCCTTAACAGAACAGAATCAAACATGGAGGATAAATGTTGTCTCTGAAACTCATTTTACATTCCTATCTTTTTTTAAACTCTTTTTCCTTGCCATCTTTAACTGAACGCGAACATGTTCAAAAATCCCTGCACCCGTTTCTTGCTGGGCTCACACCTGTCGCCTGCCACCTGCTTCACGTCAGTCAATGTCCACTCCTACAGTGGTGTTTCTATCTTTGGTTTCACTTGTAGTCCTAGGACATTATTCTCTCTGCTGAGTGTACATATAGCCAGTGGCAGGCTTCACTTAAAACAACAAAAAAAAAGATGTATAAATCAGTCCTATATTCCTATCCTTCAACAGATGCCGTTTTTCCTCCCTCCCTCCCTTCCTCCCTCCCTCCTCCCGCTCACTCTTCCGGCTGGTTTAAATGAAGTACTCCTTCTTTTCGCTGGCAGCCTGGTTGCTGTACTCCTCGTCGGGGTCTTCTCCTGGGGCCAGCTCCCCCGTCGTCCGGTAGTCTCCTTTGTTGTGGCAGAGATACCGGTAGAGGAGGAATGCCAGAGCAGCTACGGTCAGCAGGATGAGAGCAATCACAACTGAAAAAGGAAGAAAAGATGATTTGCAAAAAAAAAAACTAAGTGAAACATGGGTAGAAAAAGCTGTGAAATGATACCTGCGATTACTGCGGAGTCGGGAGTGGAGGGAGCTGCCGTCGTTACCACTGAGGGAAGAAAGTGGGGATTCTCTTTAAAAACGTTTGGCCACAGGTAATACGCAAAAGAGGAGGATTAGAATATTCTTCAGTACTGAAGTCACTTGTGCACGCCGCATGAGCCCGTGAGCAGACTCGAAGCGGTAGAAAAGCGGGAGAAACAAAGTGTAGGAGTTACCCTGAATAATGGGGCTGTCTGTGTGTGTGGGAAGTGGTGAAGACCCCGCAGCTGACGCTAAGAGGGGAAAGAAAAACAAAAGCAGCTGTTGTATTCGCTGGTTGTAGTTCAGCTCTCTAAGAGGGATCAAGACCGGGTGGATCTTTTTAAAAACTCTGCACACTCACTCGCCATCGCAGTGAGGTCCGTGAGCAGCTCCTTCGTGAGGGCCTCGGCTGTTGTATCTGGAACAAAAAAACATGTCAAAAAATGCCACAGCGCACCGGCTGCAAGGAGCAACTTGTATAACAGCACATCATGTGTTGTGGCACAGTAATCCGGTTATGACCGACCAGGAGTGAAACAAATTAACGCTTTATGATTTATTTTGGAATACCTTGTGATGCAAGGCTTTAATCGGAGATCAGAAAAATGTAAAAAAAACATTATTTTAAAAAAATGAAATAAGTCAGAAAGCCTTAAGAGCATTTGATCAAGACTACTATAAGAGTTTCATTTATTGCTGATGTTTTTCCAGCCTGTTCCTAACAGCACTGACCAGCATGGATGTGTGTGAACAGTTACATTTTTTACCTAGTTTTAATGTTAAAGACAAAAGAGGCCCAAAACCCCACAATTTCCTACTCAATTCTACCTTAAAAGGACCTTGTTGGCAACGCCAGAGAAGCCAGGAATACTTTGCAGACATGAAGTCAACGGCGGGCGTGAAACTGATTTTAAAGTGAATTCACATGACTTCATTCTCAAAATAGTTACACATTTAAAGTCGTCAGGCAGAAGAATCAGGAATGATGAAAACGCCACAGAGATAGCGACCTAAATTGGACTAACGAAGAAGAAGAAGAGGAAGGTAATGTCACAGAGTACAAACTGGATTCATTAAAACGTGGACTTACAATTCATCGTTAGTTCTGCTTTTGTCCGGCTACCTGAAAGAGAGGCACAAACAGTGAGCAAACTGACAGCTACCTGGCTCTCCGCTGTGAATGTTCGCATTTCCGAACGCGTTTGGCTAGTTTTTGTGCGCCCTCGCACGAGCGCACATCTTTATCCAGCCGAATCTCTTTGTCCCTTCTTTTTTTTTAAGCACTGGTCTGACCTGATAAACCGACCAAAAACTTCCTCGCTACTGGGGGCCCCTGTCGGTTGACGTTCCGACTAAAAACGGGGGGGGGGGACGTCAGAGTTGAGTTGTGAACCCTCCGCACGCGAACACTAGCTTATCAAATCGGGCATTGTTCATCTCGGCTGTGGCGCGAGCTTACCTGAGGGCGCAGAGGGGCACGAGCGCGTCACAAAAGTTGACCAACCGTTTTGTCTTTTTTTTTTTTGTCGTCTCTCCCACAGGCTGGCTTTTACGGCGTAGAAACCCCGACGCACGCTGTTATTTGAGGTCCGAACTTTAAACGCCCTGCCACTCCCCAGACGTCCGTAAAACGTAGCGAGTAATGACACTTTTTCCTCCTCGCGCTCGTGAGTTTGGAGGACGCGCACGCTCTCGATTTCCGCCCCTCCTTCTCCCCCTCTCTCTCCTCCGTGTCAAAGATCGTCTCCTAAAAAAAGATACGTCACTAAGACGCTTAAGCGGACGCCCCCCCTTCAGTAAAAAAGTAGTTTTTTGTAGCTTCTTTAATTGGTAAAAATGTATCACCCCCTTTATATTTTTTTCAAAAAAGGGTGTTTTTTGACATTTGAGCTATAATTTGGTCTTCAAACCCGTATGCAAAGCATATCAAACGAATACTCCAGATGGAAGTTGGTTAAAAAAATAATTGAAGTTGCGGAGCATCGTGGTTAATGAGACGCCAAGTCGGAAAAGCTTGACAGCTCAACTAAAAACTACAGTTGCCAGCTGCCTTCTTTTTTTTTTCTTTTTTTGGGGCAAAAGCTGGAGAACCTGTCCACAGGTAGGCGGTCTAAAAGCCGCTGGGGTCAGGTGACACGGGGGGGATCTGCTTGTCGTCCAAAAGCCCTGTCGTCCGTGAATGCGCCCGGTCAGCGTTTTCCTGGGCGTCGTACAGTCAGGCGCTGGTGTGGCTTCCTATTTTCCAAAGAATTCGTCACCCTTCTGAATCAGGTCTTTTCCAACTCATTTGTTCATCATCACGAAATCTGATGTTTTTTTAGTTTTAAAAAATTACTTTTTCAGGGACTTTAAAATCCCCCCCGCCCCCTTTCATGGTGACCAGAGACAATTACGCTGAGACTATTTAAATTGAAATTATTTATTATATTAATAGTGCACAAGTTATTGTTCTTTACATTTAAACCTTTAATGTCCTTATTAGTGTAATATTCTAATTAAATCAAGGATTGCATTACAATATGAGAGCAAAAATTATATATTTCTTTTAGTGATTATTTTTTTGTTCATGGAACTCGTATTGAAACCCAGCCTTAAGCACCCAACCATTGTGTCTCCAAAACTAGTAGCTTAAAAATGCAATGAAACAAACAAGGTAAAGTGAATAAATGACCACAATCACAACTCTTGGTTTTCAGTATCTTTGGTCAGTGGCGTGAGAGGAGTTTGTTGAAACTGGGACCCTAACACCTTTACATCAGTGCACATTCACCGTGTTGCTGTCAGTCAGTATCCTTTACAAGCCCTTGGAGTCCTATTCTATTTGCTTTTAGGTTTATTTCATGTTTAATGTTGATTTTTACGTGCAGGTAAAGCAGAGAGATAACCACTGGATTTATCTGCATGGCTGTCCTCCTAGTTTTCCCCCGTTGACCAGATGGTGCTTTCAGGCTCATTGTTCTGCCCCGGCTTCCTGGGATTCATGAAAAGCTGAGTCAACCATGGAAACAATCCACAAATAACAGAAAGATGAAATTAAAGCATGTTTTGTGTGCAGACAAAAAGAACAGACTTACTTCCTGTTCAAATGTGGACACCTTAAACATCTGTGCTTTTTGAGTCCGGGGATGCCACTTTCTCTGCAGGAGCATCCTAGGTGAAACAAAAAAAAAGTACAGCTCGTAACATTTGCTGTTACAAAGGAGGAAAAACAAGCAGCAGCATGCCTCGACTAACGGCTAACCTTGGGAGGAATGCTGGGATCCACGGTGTCGGCGTTCAGGCCGCTGACGTCTCCGTTTTCCAACCCGTTGGGTTTCCCAGCGTGGAGGTTCCCGGGGTCGTCGCCCTCCTCTTCGATGTGCAGGGTTTCGCCGTCCACCGTGGACAGCTGGAGCTCCAGGCTCTCCGACTCGAAGGAGTTGTTCAGTTCAGAGCTGCTCTCGCTCGCCATGGCCTTTCCGTCATCCCCCTTATTTCCCGCCCCCCTCGAGTCCTTCTCCTTTTCAGCCAGACTGCCGCCCTCACCAGATTTGATCTCCTTGCCTGAAGTCTCCCCAGTGGCGTCTTCTGGGACCGCCATGCCGGGGTTCTCGCTGTGGCACGAGGCTACTTCCAGGTCCACGGACTCGGACACAGGCCTCTCCATGGTGGACGATCGCGATGGGAACCCTAGTGTGCTGCCCTCTCTGGACAGGGTGCCCTGGCGAGGTTTATCTGGGGACCTGAAACTGTACCGCTGCCCGCCTTTGGGACTGTAGCTCCTGTGAAACTCAGAAAAACTGGCTTTCCATGCCTTAGGGGACATCAGGGTCCGTCTCCTCAGGGAGCCATACCTGGAATATTTAGCAAAAGTATGACTTGTAGGAACACCAACACATCAATTAAGTACAGCTCACACAGGCTTACAGTGCATCTTTTTGACCAGGAAAAAGAATGAATATGTATGAAAATCCTGCTTCAAGGCCCAAAAACGGGAGAGAGATTATTGGAAGCATTCTGTGGCCTGTGAATTTTCAAAGGACAGAACGTTAAAGGGCAAACTGACTTTGTTCCCTGAATTAAACTAAAGCTAAATTTACCTCTGCACTCCCCGCACGGCGAATGTTTTGTCCGGAAACTGAGCCTGGAGCTCTTTAATCACGTTCTGCAGATCACCGTTGAACTACAGGAGGAGACGGGAGGGGGGGGGGCGGTGAGAAAAACGAGCTGATAATGAGGGATGTGGAGCACCGGGAGTGGGCGAGACGCACCGTACTCAGCTCCTTGAAGAAGGTGTCTCGTAAATTTCCCAACGCTGAGAATACAGACACGTAGCATCCGATGCGGCTGAGGGGAAGAGAGAGATTTGCAGATTATGTATCGCACTCGCATACGCACAAACGCAAATCTAACGGCAACAATAGAACATTTCAAAAGACCTTTCATAAAGAACAGGAAGCTCCTCTTTCAGCTCATTGTTGATTCCCTCATAGACACTTTTGGCAGTCTTCATCTCTTCCTTTGCCTGCGGAGAGACAAACGGCTGATTTTAATTGCCTCTTTCAACAAACAGCGAACCACACTTGACAACCGAGATGGCTGACCTTGTTTATCTTGATGTCGTCCCTCTTCTTGGCCATCTGCAGGGCCTCCAGGTGGTGGAGCGAAGAGTCGTAATCAACAAGCTTTCTTCCCCTCTTGGCCACTTTCTCCTACAGATTGCAAAATAGATGCGCCCGCTTGAGCTAAAACTGTGTCACTTCATAGCTCGGTGGGTTTGCCCGCGCATTCACTCCCGTTTTGGCTCTCTCTCTCTTACCCTGACATCTGGGAATTGGCCCACATAAGACTCCATGGTGCGCACAGCCTGGTCTAACAGCTTCACCTCATAGTCATTCCACAGCAGGTCTTCCCCCTTTCATGAAAAAGGCCCGGCATGAATATCTTATTAATTATGCATAATGAGAAGGGGAAGAAAAAAGGAGCTCTTTATCCCCCCCGGCGATTGCATTTATTTAGCCGCTTCCACGCTTGAAGAATCTGAATGCACTTTCTTCCTTTCCCCCACGTCCACTGACCTCTACGATGGCTCCCAAATCCTCCTCGCCAACCCAGTCGCTTTCGTAGACGTCGAACAGAGATTGAAAGAGGCGTCTTGAGGCTTCACGCATGTCTGTGGAGAAACATAGGGGGGTCAAACAGCCACTTTATCGCCTGCAGGGGCCACAAATCCAAAGCTATGCCGCATCCCCGGGATATTTCTGGGACGTCTCACCTCTCACTGCGTTGATGTAGTTCCTGAAGTCCTTGTACATCCGATTCCCATCAGTCTGTAAACAGAAAGGAGTCAGGTGGGATTTTCCGCATTCACATTAGTTTCTTTTGCGACGTTGGATCCACTGTTTATGATCAATAAACCCCACCGGAGTTTACAACCATGAGAGTTTTTCAACCTGAGGAATCACTGAAATGAGCTCTGTGATTTCACTGATGATTACCTGTTGGTCATTAAACTGTTGGAGGCAATGCTCAAACTGATCGTCTCTGGTCTCTGTTGTCTTTCCCAGCCTTTGCAGAACCTACAGATAATAGAATAAAAGAATCTGAATCTTCACTTTTTCCCCTCTTTTCTGGGGAAATCAAATGCTCACGGGTCGCTCACCTTTTCTTTTCCACGGCTAAGCCGTCTTTGGACTTTCTTTGCAAAGTCACCAGAGGTGCCTTTAGAATTCGTGCTCTCTGCCATCCTTTGTTTTGCGTCCAATTACTCCTGAGACAGAGCAGAAAGGAAACCATCCATCACAATGTAATATGAGGACATGACTAAAATGTCACATTCCAGTTAAAACCTCTGATGAAGGTACTGTCCCAGTCTCCATCCTCTGAAAACACATTTGTAAATGAACAAAATCTTCAAAAAACTGAGATGATGAGGGGCTGTATCACTGTTCTTAGCTAGCACTATTTTATACTTGTATGATTACTTTTTAGAGCAGCATATTTTGCTTTCAAGAGGATGTCTTTTCCCAGGATGTCCAAGCATCAACAAAACGTTACATTTTTCTCTCATCAGATGGTCATATCTGCTGAAAAAGAGGGTTTTAAGAGTCGGTCTGGCCTCAATTCACCCCAGATCTGTTCTGAAATGAAGATCAGAGGGGACTTTTGAAATGGAAAGGGGTGCAACAACAACCCCATGCTGCTGCAAACCTTAAGGCACAATTGTGGGAGAAAAGAGACGAAATAACATCTAAAACTCGGTGTGGCTGAATTTAGAGTCCAGAGGATATTTGAGAGGGAAAGAAAAACGATAGAAAGTGGTAAACTTTCCCAATTTAAAAGATGATGAAATAAAAGCTAAAGTGAATTGTTTTATTTTTCCATTACTTTTTTTCTGATTTTTGCAGATGAAATTTTACTGGTTCAATGGTTTTTAAAGGTCAAAATACTAATCCACACAGGAGAGAATGTAACAAATTAGATATTATCTTGGGGAATTATCATGTATAATCCTGTTTTTTAAACCCTGTAGGCGGATAACCATTGAACTATAAAATTTATTCAGGAATTCCATGACTTTTTTCAGTTGTTTCCTGGGATGACAAAAGTTACTTCTCTGCTTACACAGATTACCGAACCTAGCCTAATTACGACCCGCCTCAACCGTAAACAGGCTGATCCCCTAATCACTACACTACCCAGAGTTCCGCGCGGCAAACACTACATCCTGTGTAGTACAACCGCTGTGAACTTTAACCAATTTGTTTGGGTTCGTCGGGAAGTGGAGGAGTGGCCGCATGACAGACTGGCAGATAGCTCCGCTGCTCGCCGGGCTGCAGGACACGATCATGGGGAGCACTTTGGTCAAGTGTGCCGCCACCGACCTGGGGATCCAGTGGGCCGGCTGGGCTCTGGCCGCAGCCTTCAAAACCGAGAAGTTCTATGATTTAGCAGGTAACGGGCAAGGGGACACCCACTGAACGACAACTTGGACACATGTGGCCGCTGGTCTTGGCAGCTTTAAAAAAAAAAAAAAAACGATTTGGCTAAAGTCATTGTGCGAAATGGGAGTTGAACAAAAAGCGAAACACTGAACAAGTGACGGACTCGCCTCTGTTTACGTTATTTGACTGTTATTCGTGTTTTTTTTTTCTAAAAAGGGTGGTTTTGACCCCGTTTTATTCACGACGTAACGTAATCATTACAAAACCATTACTATCTGAAATGGGTTTGTTGTGAAACGAGTCCAGAGGAGGAGCTCCTCCTCCAGCTTAGGCAGCGTGAAGCTCCAATAAGCGGCTCCAGCAGGGCCGTGCAGGAGAAATCTGAGGGCCGCGGAACCCATTCAGGAACAGGGCCCCCCAATTAAAACTTTGTTCTAATTGGGGGGCTAAATAGTCAAGAACTCTCCCCTCCTCTGGCTTTTATTATTATACAATTTTTTTCTATTAATTTGCTTTAGCAGTTAAAATTCAAATGCATCTTTTTAAATAGCGATAACGGGATTTATCTGTCTTTTACTAAGCTGAGATAGAAATGTTCATCTTTTTTCAAACTTTTTGAAATCCCTTTTTTTTTTTTTTTTTTTTTTTTTATATATTTTTTTTTTTTTTTATATTTTTTATAATTTTTTTTTTTTTTTTTTTTTTTCTTTTCTGTGTCTTATTTAATTCAAAACTGAATATGACCAGATTATCTTCTAAAGCATTGTTGTTAATCTCTGTATCATTTGTGGGGTTATTGACAAAATAACCCCACTGATGAGGATCAATAATTGCTTCCCTGCTCTCATCAGTTCAGCGTTCGGACTGATTTGAACTCAGATAAGACATTTGATGCGGCCTCTGAAAGAGTTGCTGAGAGCACAAGCCATGAGGAAGTTACATATTCACACATTTATTCACTCTGTCAGGATGAAGTCTCGAGAAAATCTGACCACCGCCAGTCTCTGCCTGTAGAACACAGTCACTTACCTGCCAACACCAGGTCAAGTATATATGCTTTTCCACAAAAACAACTCAATTTCAACAGTCAGTCACTGCGACACTCCTTGACGCGTCCTCTTGTGCTTCTCCACGCCGGTCTGTGGTCCCGCAGATTTTTTTTTTTACCCTTGAACTTTGGAACCAATCGTCCGCAGTATCCTGGGTAAAAGATTTATTGGACACGCCTTTCTGTGCAGCAGGTCGTGGAGTCGTTTGCCATGCCCACTGCCCGGGAGCGTGGTGTAACTCTTATCTCTCCGTTTGCAGGCTCTGGCACATTTATACTGCTTGCACACCTGAGTCGTATCTGGGGAGGAGCCAGACATACCCGTCAGAAGGTGCAGACCGGGTTGGTGACAGCATGGGGACTCCGGTGAGCAAAGAGACACTGACCCCGAAATTTCCATCGGCTTGCAATAAACCCAAACCGAGAGTGGAAGAGATAATATCTTCACACGCAGCTCTGTGCTAAGACTTGACACCGAGGGTCCTCGGAGAGGACAGAAAAAGCTAACATGTTAAAGCCAGGTCACTTAAGTTAATGAGTAATACGTTGGTTAATGGGAATGGATGTTAACTACCTTCTGTCTGCAGACTGGGGACATTCCTCTTTATGCGGATCATGAAGGACGGTCATGATCGCAGGTTCAACAATGTCAGAGACAGCCCAGGGACTTTCTTCGTGTACTGGACCATTCAAGGTACAGGAAGTGGTAACCTCAGTGTCTTTACAAGCTCTGCACCCAAGTGGGCCGAAACATGCCTCCCATGAATCACTGTCTAGTTATGAACCCTTTATATTCATTTATTCAAGGCAGGGGCTTTTCTTTGCAGCGACATGTGTGTATATATATGTGTATGAATGTAATGGAAAGATTGAAGCAAAGCTGGTGGATAATTACCCATTTTTCTCTCCCTTAGCCTTGTGGGTATTTGGAACCCTCCTGCCGACCCTTATGCTGAACAGTGAGAAGCGTTATGTGCCTTTGGGGGCGAGGGACTACATCGGCTGGACCATTTGGGGCCTCGGCTTTGCAACAGAGGCTATTGCCGACCAGCAAAAGTGGAATTTCAAGCGTGACCCAGACAACGCCGTAAGTTAGGAGGCCTCGCCTTTACCTACTCGTATCCTTCACTCACCGAGCATGACAGCCCCACGTCCTGATTTATTATCACATCCCCAGGGGAAGTTTATCCAGAGCGGGCTGTGGGGCTACAGCAGACACCCCAACTACTTCGGAGAGATCCTGCAGTGGTCGGGCCTCTGGCTCTCAGCCTCATCGGTGATGGAGGGGCCCCAGTACCTGAGCGTGGCCTCGCCCCTGTTCGTCTGGTTCCTGCTGCGCTACGTCAGCGGCATTCCTATCCTCGAGCAGCAGGCAATGAAGAAGTGGGGGTCCGATCCGGCCTTCCAGGAATACGTCAAGAACACTCCCCTCCTCTGGCCATGGGCTAAATTTTGATGTCATTTCTTATGTTCGAGTGGTTTTTTTGTCACACATTAAAACTATAAATGATTTACCAAAAAAAGCCATTATAGTTCAGCTTATTTGACTTCTGGCCACCCAGGAAATATTAGAACAATTACTTTATGCGTGAGTCGAACAGAAAAATGTGTTTAAATGTGCAAGTGAGAGCAGGAATATATGAAAAAAAGGGAGGAGTATTCCTCATCAGGGTGTACACCACCGCTCATATTTATATGTATTAATACTTAACGTTTGCAAAAGCAGACAAGTGATGATATCCCAAAATGTAAATTCTCTTGTATAACTACAGCAATGCATCATCTGAGGGCTAAATTTTCCGACTTTCACATCAAAAGGACTGCTGCCCCGTGCTTCTTATTGCCTTCTATGCAGTCATCTTAATGATGCATGACATGAAAATTGCTCTCATTTCCATTTCCACACATGAAAGTGAATTAAATACCGTTCACAAAGCCTTTCAGATGAGAGCTACGGCTTCTTAAAGAATCCAAATCCAATCCAGCTGTCTCGGATTTGGCGCATAAAGCTGGTATTTCTAGGTTTTATCACATCTGACATGATGTACTAGAAAGTATACAAGGCAATTAAAAAAAAAAAGACAGGACATTTGTGTAGATGGTAGAAATGTATTTTTTTCATATAAATTCAGAGATTTCAGAGGGCACACTTTTGTACAAAATGGGTATATGGAGAATCCTTTAATGCCACAGTAACTGAACTGGCTGCTATTACAAATGTGTTGCCCTTTCCCTTGAACTTAGAAGCAGCCTCCTGGAGTATAAACATTAGCCGGAGGAATATACCCAGGGAGGCGCAAAATGACCAAACAGCAGAAAACAGACTGACCATCACTGGTATTGCGACTTCAATTTTAACTTTACGAAAAATAAATGTTTGAAAAAGGAATAATGGCCGTGAATAATGCCGACTTTGCAAAAGCTCCTCCTGATATTCAAAGCATGTCAAGAAACTCCCACAAACAATTCTACACACTAACAACACAAATCACTGGCTAAAGAGAATAATCCCAATCAAAACAAACAGAAAAAATAACACTAAAAAAATGTAGATCACAATCAACTCACAAAGGTGAAATGCCAAAGAATTCGTCCCTCACCTTCTGAGTCAAACATGAGCTGAGGGACGTTTAAAAGGGAAATGACTCCGGGCGGGAAGCAGGGCGTACAGTACGCGTTTTCTCATCTGGCCGAACACCTCTCACAAACAGCAGTCTCATATTTTATACGAAAATGAGAACGAAATGTTGCATTTTGCTAAATAACTAAAAAAACATGAGACATGCAGGTGTGCATAGAGGAGAGAAACCTACATTTGGTTGAATAACAAAATAAAATAAAAAAAGAATTACCCTTTTAGACATGACAATCCTTCTTCTACACAAGCATGTGGAGGCATTGTATGACAGAGGCATCCAACTCTACAGGAAACATGTAATGGTTCTTATTGTTGTATTCTTTTAAAAAAAATTGTGCCTCGGGGGTTTATTATTAATATTATTATTTGAGTAGGGGGGAGGCAAAGAACTTCCCTTGGCGGCCAAATCCAACAGCCGACTTGCTCTTGCTCCCGAACCTGCAACGGAAGAGCACATTTAAAATGAAAAAAAAAAAAAAAGGGGGGGGGGGGGGGGGGGGGTAAAGTTACAGCAGCGTTAAAGCGAGTCGAGGCGTTTACCTGGGGGTCAGGGAGGACTTCATCCTCTGGGATAAGGAGCTGGAGGAGGGGGTTTTGTTGAACTGGTGCTCTGGAGTGGTCAGAGGTCCGAGCATGCTCACTGCAACCAAACGGGAAAAAAACAAACAGTCACCATCTCAGCATTCCATGAAGATGCCTGGCAGTGAGCAGCTGTGAGAGATGAGGAGTTTCCGTACTTCTCTCGGGGGTGGCGTAGCAATTTGCGTTCTCGATGACCAAATGGTCCAAGTTGGGCGTCTCGATCTCCGCCATCACAAACTGGCCCCAGTAATCCACCGGCAGAGCCAGCAGACGCTCCACAACCTGAGCCCGGAGCAGATTTGTTGAAGAATAAAAAGAAAACAGGGTACCATTTCAGCGTGTTGCCTCATACCGCTCTAAAATGTGTTGGGCTGATTGGGTTTGCCTCGGGCCAGACAGAAAGCCTTCACCACAAAGCAGTGCCGGGGACGCTAACAGCCATAAAACCGCTCTGGAGGATCAGCTTCTTAGACTATTTTTGGTCTCTTCGATATGTACAAGTATCCAATGTTGATCACAATATCATATCTAAACTTCAATGAAAGACTTGTTCGGGTGCCTGGGATTTCATTTCCATCCAGCTCAATCAGAAACGCTGTGGGTTTCTCCTCACAAAGAGCATCTGATATCCCCGTGCCAAATTCAAATAGCTGTTCTGCACTGGAGGACACCACAAGAGAACTGTGTTTTTTAAAATAATCTTCAAAACCGGCCTTGATGTGCTTTTCATCAACTGGTTTTTTAATACTTCAGTGTGTTCAGTGATGTTAATGTATTAAAATGAGTTGCATAACGTGTTTACAAAAAGACTGGCTACCTCTGGGGGGCAGGGGAAAAAAAGTTTTCTCAATGCCTGAAGGAAAATAGAAATTTAAAAAAAAAAAAAGAAAAAAATAGCCACATCAATTTCTGCTGTAGTTCTAACTTTTAGATTGAAATCTGCAGGTGAAACCTTCAACTCCCACATGGAGCCAGTCATTTCATCACTCAGATTTTGTGACAAATTATCCATTCAAAGCAGAAGTTTTGTTGATGCTCCTGAAATACATGCACCACTTCTTCTTCTCCTTCATTATCCCCTGACCGATCGGGGTTACGGTGAGCTGCTCGGACCAACCTTTGGCTGCCGTTTGGTGTCCTGGAGGATGGTCATCGGCTCTGGGTTGGGAATGCTGTGACCGACGATAGTCGGACCAAAGACCCGGGCCAGATTGCTGATGTCCATCTTGGTGTCCAAACTGTCTGCAACCCTGCAGGACAAGAAGTAGTAAATGACTACATTTAGTATCTGAACCAAACTCGAATGAGCTCGGGTTTGTTAGCAGCGGAGAGTTGGGTCAGAAAATTAGATGCGTTAAGAACTTTGTCCAACTAAAAAGAAAGAAAAGAAAAGGCTGGGGTAAAACAAATTTAGTAAATTTGGCTAAACTAGGGTGTTAGTTAGCAGGAGTTCTTAAGGCATTAAAGTTCAGCCAGTGTGATCCTCAGAGGAGGGCAGGTGCTGCTAACCTCTGCAGGTGAAGGACTAAGAAAGCCAGCGTGTCTCTGTTGGGCTGCGGCAGGTCGCTAATGGTTTGGTACATCAGAGCTTTGCTGTTGTCGTCATCTGAAACCTCTGAGGGAGCACGGAGAGAAATGGAGTTAGCGGAGGAAACAGTCTTTTACATATGCAACCCAATAAATGCACATTTCTTCATTGGGTTTGTGGCGGGGGGGTGGGTCTGGGTGGCACAGAGGGCTTACCGGCCGCCTGCATGAAGGGGCGGTTGAGGCGGAAAGTGAGGAGAGGCTCCTTCAGGTTCCTCAGGAAGTCTTTGAGGAGGCCGGTGATGGCGTGGATGTCATCCACCTTGCTGAGCACGGGCACGGTCTTGCTGCGGAGGAACTTCTCTTTCAGCTCCTTCACCGTGCGGTCGGCACCGGACAGACGGTACAGACCAGCCTGGAAACGGAATTTTAAAAAAAGGATAAAAGGCATAATGGTCAACACAATGTTGAACTAGCTCAGGAACATTGACCAAACTTGGAAAATGAGGAGAGATATAGTTATTTTCCTAATTAAAAAGGAACAATTTCACATTTTTCCCCCATGCTTCTAAAACAAAGAGGTGCACTTTGATGCTCGGACTCCCTTCATTCACCTTTAATTAGTGAAAAAAGTTAAATCTAAAGAAGAACATTTGCTCAAGATTAGAAAAAAAAAGAAAGACATTATTTGAATAATTATACATATACACACACACACACAAACATCTATAATTGTTTTGTTTTAGGAGGTCTGTTTAAAAAGTAGGCTGGGGCAAATGTCAGCAAGCAACACATTGTCCATCAATCAAAAGATTTGGAGCTTTGCAGCCTCCCGGGAGCTGGCAGTAAAGCTTAAGGAACAGCTCTGTCTCGGCTTAACGAGTGTATTAAAAACAACCAGCCGTGGCGATGCCTCCACTGTCAACACGATGTCCAAACAGCTGAGCGGCGCTCACCTCGTGCAGGCCCCTCTGTTCAATCTCGCTGACGCAGTGGACCACCAGGGGCGGAATCATCGGGGAGGTGTCCGGGACGTAGTCTGCGAGCACACCCTGGAAACGAAAGAAAAAAAAACATGTGGGAACATGAAAGAGCGCCAAGACCAGGAGGATAAAAAAGCAACAAAACCGTGATCACACACACCTCGCCAATTTTAACTGGCGTGCCCCCCATGTTGGGGATGCAGGGCAGAGGGCATCGGTCGCGGCACTCAGGGTGGGAGACCACTCGGCAGTCGCGGCACTTCAGAGAAATCTTCCCAAACTTGATTCTCTTTCCACACGGGACGCAGGATTCCGGCTTGATGACCTGTTGGAAGCGAATACATACACAACCCCATAAATGAGCTGCGAAGGCTGCAAACGCACACATTTTACAGGCCGCGATGTCTTCGGACGGATATCAAAATGAGGAGGGCGATGCAGACTAAACTAAAAATCGTTTGTCTCCTCGTAACGGCACGCTCACCGTTTTGGAGACAAACTCGTGAAGACGGACACCTCCGTGGCTCTGCGGGGTGCTGGGCTCGGCTCTCATCTCTCCCTCGGGGTTTCCAGGTGGCTTGAAAACATCCTCAGACCTGACAGATTCGGAGTCCCACTCCATGGCAGCTGAAGAGGGGAAACAGAAAAATTAACTCCTTTTTTTCATATAAAGAATACTTTGAGGGAAAAGGGGAAAAAAAAGGTGCAGCTGATTGGATGATTTTCTAGACCACCAGGTGATGGCTTTAGGTAACTTTGCCTTTTTGGATATACATTTTCTGCATCATTATCATTTCACACTGAATAGATTTTGATCTGGGATTTTGTCAACTCGTTAACAAATTCACACGGTTCTGTGTGGGACCTTTCTGTATGGAATTTGCATGTTCTCCCTGTGTCAGCGGTTCCCTCTCGTACGGCCAGTTCTTAATTAGTTGACATAGCACAAATGAACTTGGCTTTGATCCAGATCTAATTGGATTCTAATTAAACCTTTAACAGGACTCAATTTGGCTCAAATTAAACATATTTATTTTCCCTTTTTAAGTGGCTTAAGACAACAAGCTCACTGAAATGAACCAACAACTGTGACCCTAACATTTGACCACACAACACTAAAAACTACAAAGGCACACTGAACAAAAACAAAGGTTCATGGAAATGACTTCAGCCTCAAAGAAATAAAAAAATGAATCAAAAGTAAGGCATTTGTAAAGAAAATGACATGAAGTGCCTTCTAAAGCAAAAAAAAAAGAAAAAAAAGGCTGAGGCCCACAGACACAGTGGATGTCCACAGCTCCTTAACAGGAAGCTTACCGGTCCTTCTCCTGCTGCGGGTCCAGTAAGGAACCGTCTCAATGGTGGAAATGGCCTCGACGGGTCCACCGTTTGCAGGGACAGTCACCGTTGTCTTTGTCACGAGGGTCTCATTCCCGTGCTGTGGTCGACAGCAGTCAGAATAACATCAGGCTGAGCTTGAAGCTTCAACTGCTCACGTTTTGAGTGATTTTTGTCAGGTCTCTTTAGGTCACATGTTACAGTTATGAAAAGATGAAGATGAGGCAGTGCACCCACCCTTTCTGATGTTCTGCCGGTCGATCGAGACCTCTTCGAGGCAACTGGAGGACCATCAACATGATTTCTGGAGGAGCGCTGAGATCAAAACAGAACACTTGACTTATAGCTCACACATTAGCACTGGTTTGCTCTTGAAAAGCGATGCACGTGTAGCCATATGTACCCTTTTTTCTCGTTTCTGGAGTCGCGCTGTCCTCACAGTGGATGAGTCCCAGTCCTGTCGTAGATCAAACACATAAGAGTCAGGTTCTGAGCTTGGGAAAGGGTTTTTAATACTGTTCTATGCTGAAAGGGGGAGAACCTACCAGAGAGTCGTCCGTTTTGTCGTAGCTGATGTCTGACAAGATGGACGCGGACTCATCTATTGTCACCAGTCTGTGGGAAGAAAGAGAACACACATACCCCCCTGTGTTTAGATAAAAGCAGATACAGGACATATTGGCATAAGAAAATAGGTGAGAAACACGAACATCTTCATCTACAAGCGTATTACCTTCGGCTGGTGTTCAGGTTGGCCGCCGCTTGACTATTTGTGTTCAGGAAAGCCAGAGCAGAGCGCTGCTCTGCACTCAGCTGAATGCTGTTAGAGGATCCCTCACTTGTTAAGAGGTCCCGGATCAGCTGAATTTGACGGTCCTGAATCGTAAACAACGCACGCAGAGCACATTAAGAGCTAGATTAAAACAAAAAGGGGAATCAAGACTAAACAATAAACAGAGGGCAGGCACTGAAATCAACGCACCAGCGTCTCACAATCGGCCTCGGCCTTCTGCCTGCGACGGATCTCCACGTCCACTTGGTTACGGGCATGTTTCAGTTTGACTTCCAAGGACCCCTTCTCCATCTCGGCTTTTCTGAGCGTCTCTTTGCAAGAACCCAGTTCCTGCTCGGTCCACAGCCACTTGCGACGGCAGTTATCAAAGTTTTGCGCCATCTGAATGAAGTCTGAGGGAAGATCCACACAGTCATCAGACCAGCATCGGCACAAGGCTGTAAAGGATGTGCGTCATATAAAAAGACAAAGATTAAACCAAGAAGCACGGTCTGCGTACTGGGTTCAATGTTCTCATTGAGAAGGTCAACTTGTGTCCTGAGCTTATCATGTAAGCTCTGGAGATTCAACACCGCCATGTCCATGATGTCCTTCAATTCAAAATCCTCTGAAAAGAAATCATAACACGTTTACCTTAGATTCAAATCATAGTTTAACAATTGATCTGCTTAAGAATGTATGTTTCTCTCGTTTGGTTTTGGGTTAATGAGCTTTTTGATCGGTCAACCCTTAACAATAATATAATGACTCAAAATGTCAAAGTATAGGCACGAAATCTCTATTTCTTTCAGTAATTCGTTTTTGTTGTTCCGCTTTTCTTATTCTCTCAACGCCACCTCGCTAAGACATAACGTTACTCCCATTCAGCCTTTCCTGCTATATGTGCTAGCAGGAAAGAAAATCAACACGGAAGTCACGATAACTTTTTTATTTGTTTGTCCTGCTAACTAACACTGCCTCCCAACAGTTTCCGACTTACCTGGAAATATTTACACGCATCAAAGGCGTGCGGAAATATTCAATAAGCGAGCTGTTTCGGGGCTTCTCTTTTTGTCGCGGTCAGCCACTTTGTCCACATCCTTGCGCATCCACGGCGATTCTGAGCGCGTTGCATTTCAAATTTCGCCGCTGGCCAATCAGCGAAGACTACTGCGCCGGCGTCAAGGCGACGAGCGGAAACAACTTCCGTGGAACAGTTTTTCAAAAAATAAAAAACAGTTACAACTGCCTTTCGCCTCAAATACATTCGCACAAATAACAGAAGCAAGGTAACAGATACTCAACAGATACGTTTTCATTTTGAAGGCTGAAAAAGATGGCTTAGACTTACTGACCTGTTAAAGCCGCACACAAAGAAAATATGGATGAAAGCGTTTGACTTCCGGTGAAAACTTTAATAAGATGTACACACACACCAGGATGTTTCTGGTAGAATGTGTCAGTTGGAATTGTCGTGACTCCAGAAATCCTTTAAATTCGAAGTGTCATTGAGGTTAGTCCATGTCTTTAACTGCAGTAAAACGAGGAGAAACTATAACTTAAACTGCAAAGTGTCATCTTCCTGGAATAAGTTTGTTGTTAACGTCTGTTATTTTATGTCTTTTCTGCCGCTTTTTGTGTTGTGGAACAACTGAAAGAAAAACAGTAAAATATTTTCTTTTAGTTCAAATGTCTGCCCCATTGCCTAAGTATACATCCCAAAGTATACATCACGAGTGTGAAAATAAACAGTTTAAGAAATCTAACAGCAAAAACGTCTGTCGTTTTAGAGCTGAGCTTACTGTAAAAATACCTATGAATTGCAAAATGCAAGTGCTGGTCTTTTAGTTGCATAAATTAAGCTAGCTTGATTAATTTTACACACCTTAGAAGAAGTCATTTGATTGTCTTATTATAAGAAAAATATTAAATGTCTGTATAGGCTTGGTTTTAGGCTATTTCTTAAAAGAAAATCAATCCACATGATAAGGGGGGGAATATTTTCACTATTTCTCCTTCGTATTTCTCCATTGTCGAAATGGAAAATGATAAGGAGACCGTGAAATACCACGTCCAACGACCAGGGTACCGCAGTTAAACAGGCTTCCCCATTGACGTGTGCAGCTTCCACGCGTTGGAATGTGTCCAAAACGTCTGAATTTCACGAGAAGCCAATTAAAGTGGCGCTGATATTAACAATTTAGGAGAGGAAGAATCCACCCCGTGTAATTAAACTGTGCGAGCACATCCAACTGACCTAAAACAAGAAACACACTGTTATGTTCCCCATTCACGTTGCGCTGCCACATTGTTTCCCTTCTCTCTCTTTTTTTCTGTCTTTGCTGAAACAGGTTTGCGCCATGTCTCCAACACCCTTATCAATCTCAATTAATCTCCAAAATGAATCAATAGTCCATCGGCGGATTGTAAATAGCTGAGGGGAATGGACGTGTCGACCCAAGCAGAGAGGGAGGCAGAAAGGAGGGAGGGGGAGAGAGGGAGGGAGGGGAGGACCACCAGCCCCTCTGAAGACAAACTTACAAGAAGCGGAGCATGCAGAAAAAGCTCCGCAACACATCAGTGCAGCTGCTCGGCTCTTCCTGAGGCTCGGCGCTCCGCAGGGCTTGTTGCGGATTACAATGATTGCCACAACTCAACAAAACATGACCACGGAGCTGGTACGTGTACCCTTTTTCCATTGTTTTGCGCCTATACTTTGCTTTCCACTCCCCCCCAGCTTTGTCATTTTTTTGGAGTATATGTTTTTGCGTGTGTGCGTGTCTGTGTATGAGTGTGTGTGTCTGCAGTGAGGGAAATGAGTGTTTTCCTTCAGTCCCACTTTCCTCGCTGCATGGCATCCATCTGCCGGACAGAGCCCCGGCGCGTGCGCTGCGCTGCGGCTCGCCGCAAACTCGATGTCCGGTCCTCACCACTCTGTCACCGGGTCCCTCCGTCCCGCGCACACCGGCGGAGCAGCATCATTTCTCTGCATCCCCTCACACGCTCAATTGAATAGACCCCAGCTGCCCCCCCCCCCCCCCCCCCTTCACCACGGGCATGCTTCATATTGACAGGCGGGCAGCCCGCAATGTATGATTTATTAACCTTCTGCTACACACTGGATTGTCATTGAGTGAAGATAATACACCAACAAATTCAATTTAACGCTCTCGGGCAGGGCTGCTTGTCCTAAATGGGACTACAGAGCCTTGTGGTGAGGGATATTGGATGAATCATTATTTAAAGCAACTATTGTCTGTAGCTGATTTTTTTTTTATGGCTTGTTTCCAACCGTGTGTCTGTATTGTTAGGAGAGAGATTCTTTATTTTCATATTAGGGAGAATGTTTTTGTTTTTTATTGCTTGAGTGTAATGGACTGACATCCACTTTAATAGGCGGTGATGTGATATTGCAGATTGACAATTGAGCATCACACAGGTGTCCTCCATTTAGACAGAATGTATTTGCCAATCTATGCGCATAATTAATGTGCACTGTTTTTCTTTCATGCTTCTTAAGCCATTGTGCATTTCCATCATGAATTTCCGTCTCTCAACAGGGCAGTTGCCATGCCAAGTTGACTAATTAACTGTCACCCCTCTCGGAAACGGCTTTAATCCAGAGATCAGTTATGCTCTGTTGAGATTTGTAAGTTTGCATAAACCAAGTGTCCCTGATTGGTAAGATGCTGAGTGTGTTGATCTTTGACGCACATATTTATACTTTTTTTTTTAACCAGTGATGATCTCAGTGAAGCTTGTGGAGAAGAAAGCATTAGACTAATAATCGCACAGCACCTGTATTTATTGAAGAGGGCTGCATGAGGGAGCTGGGTTGATCCTTTTGCCTGCAGGTTTCGTCTCGTACCACCACGGTCTACTATCAATGTGCTTCAGAGTAAAGATACTGATGAGGCGTGTTGGCATATTTGCTCATTTTCAGTCAAACGGGTAACAAAAGTTGCAGCTCTTCATTACAGGCTGCTATGTGTGACGTCAAACCAGGAACCTATCTTCAACCTTTGATTCAAACACAAAAAGCCTCTTTTTTACCACCTGTTTGGGTGGTACTGTATTCAAATCTGAGTCCAAATTAACACCACAATTATTTTTTTTGCAAGAAAAAATTGCTGCTCTTGTTCAGGCTCAGTTATTCCTTTGCATTTAGGGATAAAATACACACATATTTTATACATTTATTTAGATAGTGGTGAAATAACACAGTGACTTCTAACGTGAGCCAGGTTATGTGACAGTCCCCAAGAGGACCCTCTGTTTTACTCAAAAATGGGCTGTTCTTTCTTATATTTTACTGTAACTATGTGATCATCATCCATAGCCCCCCCCCCCCCCCCCCCCCCCCAATCTGTGTTTTACAGATTCAGCCTGCTGCCTAAGGCAAATACTCAGCCACTTTAAGCAACTCTGGACTTGCCGGGCAGGAGCTCCCTCACACAGGCTCCTTTTGTACTGTAGTTTTCTAGCATGTGATAGAGAGCATGAAAAGAGGGGCAGTCCTGCAGCGTTAGGCTAAAGAAGCAGCTCTTTCATTTCAATGAGGCTTTTGCTGCATTGTCTGGCAAAAGCCTCGAGGGCAAAAAAAAAAAAAAAGCTTCACTGTTTGTCCTAAAAGATGTCAATACCTCCTCTTTTTTTTCTTTTTTCCTTGCGTTTGTTAATATAAGAAAAACAGAGAAACCCAGGATCAGGGATTGGGATCACAGACATTCCTCTGAATAGGATAAAAGATGCCCTGGATATGAATCAATACTGAGCTGTAGTAACTAATTACTACACCAGGTCGGTTACCACTCGTTCGGAGCATACTGAAATTGCATTCTGCTGTAATGACGGCTTTCATTTTTAATGAGGCAGCGAGAACTATTGACAAGATAATACATATTGGTAACCCGCTAATCTACATACCCCCCTTGTGAGCAATTACAATGAATCATTAGAATCAACCTATAGGTAATATGGAGGGTTATATGTGCCTGCCAATGGATTTTTTTATGGGAGTAGTTATTCTTTTATGCTCGTGTCAGTGTCATGGGTTTAATGAAAATTACCAGCCAGTGTCAAAAGGGGGAGTTAAGAAGTATGCAAATCCGGGACCAGAATCCCACAGTGGTTAGAATTGGTTCCATCATTCCTGATTTATGGGCTGCCTCAAAGACACAGAGGAAAGAGTTAAGGAGGTCTCTTGAGCCTAATTTATGAATTCTAAGCACCACCACAATTCTCAACAACCTAGTTGTGGTGTTCAGTCTGAGTAATTGGGTTTGGCATAATTTTGACTTATTTTGCTTTTGTTTTGTTTTTCTTCTGGTCTTCAGACCCAATCGATACAGATGCTATTGTTTCATTTCACGTGAAGCTCTGGCAGCAAAGAATCTATCAGCTGGAGTCTGCTTTAGAGCCGTTTGGTGAGCGGTTACAGTCTGAAACGTTTGATCTCTAAGCTGAAATGGCACATAGGGGTTTTGAAGCTCCCCAATGAGGTGTTGGAATTTTCAAGAAACGGCGTTCGGGGGGGGAAAGTGCCTGTCTAAAAGTCTGCTTCGTGGCTGCATTCCCTTTATTAACTGTTTCCCAGTGGACTTTGTACGACTGTACACCTTATCGATTGTCTCGTTTGGTTGAGTGAAATTCCACAACAGCAGCTGGCAATTGGAAGCGCTCCTTTCATTAAAAGAGAAAAAAAAGTTCTTCATGGTTTGTACCAGAGGACGCGTCCAGGTGATGTACCCACAAACATAAAGACTGTTCATGTGCACGCTTATGGTTATTTGTCCAGCCCCTTATGCACCTAAAAAGTGGGACACATTAAAGAAGTCAATCCATTCTCAATTAGGCCCAGCAGAAAAAACTCCCACAGATGTTTTTGCGTGTCCATCAAAGTGCCGAGTGAAGCAAACCGACACACACAAACCAGCTTGTCATCTGCTCACCTGTGCCAGCAGATTGTGCTGCATTGGATACCCAAATGCAGCATGACCAGCAGCCAGTCGGCACCAGCAGCTTCTCCAGTCCCCCCCCCCCTCCCCCCCCGGGGGACTGTGTGCAGTGCATCTGCACTTCATTTGGAAGAGTGACAAAACGCCTTATCCACCAAATGGGGAATTCTCCCTGACGTGACCTTAATTGGAAGTAATATCCCGGCCCTGGGGAGGCGGGGTTGGAGATGCGGGTACCCTTAGGAGGGAGCTGCTCACATCATTTGAGGGAGGACGCCCAGTGAAAAAACTGTATTGCAATCAGCCAAGCGAGTAATTCGCTTCGAAATGTCTCTGCTCACCACAAGACCCCGGAATGCCAGGGAAGTTCTACTTCGCGATACGTTTCTGCGTGGCGCGCAGTCGCCATGACGCATCCCCGTGGCCGGTCGGGCCTCCATCTTCCCAGCGCGTCAAAAAGTTTTCCCTCTTTTTGATTTCAAATTTTCCCCTTTTTCAGCGAGTGTGAGAGCTCAAGGGGCAGGACGACTGTATCATACCCAAGCCTTTACGGTCTGCAGGTTGCTTTATCTGATAGAGGGATAATGGTGGCTCCCTGCGGGATTATGTGCTCTGAGGGCAGGAGGAAAAGGGGAAAAAAAGAGACAGAGTGCAACAGAGGCCGGTAGATACACAGCCTCGGACATCAATCACCCGGCCTTGTACGCACTGAAAGCTCAGACATCATTTATGTGTTGCCTCTGCAGGTGCAGCTGGTAGCTGGTTTTTAATCTCAACATGTTACGACACCGCAGCCAAGTAGATCTATAAAAGATGAGACCTTAGCGGGAGTTCTTCACCGGCAGACCTTTATGTGCATTTTAGACATCTCGGGGATGAAGCAAACCTTTTCTCTTTTTTTTTCTCCAAGTGTAACACACCGGAAATTATATTGAACTGGAGAGAAAGAGGGTGACCAAATGCAGAGGTTTTTGGATAGAGTGAGAGAATCAATGTTTGTGGTCAATCCAAAATGACCATAAATCGCATATCCTGCCAACTTTAATACATTTTCTCTTCTTGAATAGTGTTTTCAGACCCTTGCCTTCAGTTAACTAAGAACCGCATCAGTTTTCAAAGTGAAAAATCAGTATTCCTTTAGTTCTTACATTGGAGAGGAAGTCTAACATTTGATAATTGATGGGGTTGAAAATGGTGTGTTTTCTTTCCCACACGCTTAGAAATGCCCAGATCATCTGGCGCTCTCGGTGGGATGGAGAGAGGAGGCCACTTATGGTTGTTTGGAGGAAGTGCTGAGGTATTTAGAGTGGCTCTCCAAGCTAATACGGTCAATCGCACAGACTCAGGGACAGCTGGTGCCCCCCCCGCCACCACCCAGGGAGCACGGAAAGGCTGTTGTCCAGTGGGCTGCACAGATGCCCCTCTTCCGCTGCCCGCTGTTCCGAGGCCTGGAGGAGGGCGAGCCAGACTGGCCGGGTTTCAAAGGTTAAGCCAAAGGGGTGGGCGGGCGTAATGAAGGTTTAGCTTTATAGCTGCTCTGCTCTCTCGCATCTCTCTCACTCTCCAGCAGGAGCGGGGCTCCAGCGGAGCCAGCCACTCGTTATGACGGAGTGCAGTACAGGCCCCGAACAGCACGCAGTTGCCTTTAATTGTAACCGATACCGATGCAGACTCATTCCATCAGCTCCCCCCTGATTGCATTCAGCATGCACACTCGAGGTTCTGTGTTTTGTTAAAGACTTTAAGTCCTACCAAAGACGCTCGTGTAACCAGTTGCGGTAGTTTTGGAATCAGGATTGCCACCAGTTTTTCAGGCGTTCTGTCCCCATTTTCTGGGCTATTTTGCAGACCATGTTGTCAGTTCCTATTTATTTCCAGTTTGGGTTTACCCTGTTCTTTACTATTTTATGATCTGTGGTTTCAGTTGTGCTTGTTTTGACTCCACCATTTCAAGATTTATCATGTTTTGGCCCTATCTTATTATTTATCCTTTTCTGTCATATTTATTTTATTTAGATCATGGTCATTCTCCCCCATTAACTTTTTAGTCACACACAATAATTTTATTTCATATTGAATCCTTATGTCAATAGCTGGCATTAATTCATAAGTATGAAATTGTACAATTTGTACTTTTGTGTGATAAAAATACTTTTTTTTGGAGCTATTAGTATGAAGAGGAGTATATTTTAGCCCATAACATTTTTTATCTTTAGAATTTGTGTGTTTCCCCACAGATCATTGCTATCTTATTTTGACATGGACTCAAAGGTGTCTTTTATCTTTCAAATTGTAGATTATATCGATCAGATGGTGAAACCGTGAAATTACATGCAGTTTTTAAGATCTTAAACCGTTTGGTTTTAGATTCTTAAAGAAACACTGAACTCACTCCACATATTTTTACATCTCAAAAAGCCTCTCCGGGATTCCATACTCCTTCATGTTACCCACCTGTTGCCAGTGAACCTAAGCATTTCTGACATATTCCACTTGGTGTTTACCTTCATTTTGTTCTCCTTGTGTCTCACAGAACTTTGATAAATGTAAAAGGTTTCAGCAGAGCGATATACAAGCCGCTGTCTCAGCTTCTTTGAGACGTATCCTCCCACTGTAATCATCAGATATACCGCCTTTGCACTGCTGGCTTCATATAGGGTAGGAATAATGTGAAAATAATTGCAACTCAGTTTTATCCATGTTTTTACCGCTCCTCAGCATTTTTGGAAGCTGCTGGGGAGAGAACAACTCTTTTTCCTTTTTCTTTTTGTTCTTGAAACCTGTGTAAGTTTCAGGCTGCACATGTTGCGAACACCCTGTCCCCGTCCCGCCTCAATTTCAGCACACACCTCATCAGCCGCGCACAGTAAGAGCTGGAATGAGTGAAATAGTCCGGGGAGGAGGATAGAAAAATTGCGGTGCAGCCGAAATCGCTGCTTTTTCATTATCAAAAAAACCTCATGTCATTTTCTCTCCCAAAAGCGTGCGTAATTTAGTGAGGTGTCTGTGAAGCTGAAGATTGGTGTCAGTCCCCCGAGGGCTCACTGCAATGATCTGTCTGCCGGGAAGAAAAAAATCTGCTGGAAATGAAGCAGCACTAATGTCCTCCTATTTAGCTGTGTTCATATTCATCACTGTGTTTGTGTTCTCTCTCACATCAGGACCTGGGGAGTTCAGACGGTCCCCCGCGGAACTGGAAGGGCATAGGCATAGCCATGGTGGTGATCCTGGCCGTCATGTCCCTGGTCATCCTCTCTGTGATCCTTCTCACCCCCGGTAAGAACGAGAAAGAGACGACAAAAAGGAAAAGAAAAAAAGGCTCAAAGGGAATGCTGGCATCAAAGAGTTCTTGATGTGGGAAACCGAAGGATTGCTTTGACATTTCTGCCGAAATGCCCCATCACTTTGTGGTGGCAACTTGTGTGAGAAGGACAATTACACTTGTGTTTTGTGTAAACATGAAGCGACTGCCAGCAGCTATTAGTTCAGCTTAGCACCAAGACTAAACTTTGGGTAGAACTGATCAGACCCCACTTGAAAGTAAACAAAAAGAAGGAAGAAAAAAAGAAATCTTCTTACTGGGACATCTAAAACGACCTTTCCGAATGAGAATGCTAATATGTAGAGGAACTGCAAAGTAAATAAACCAGGCCACATTTTTGTGGGGTTGAAATCCCTTTGACAATTCCTAAGCTCTTAGTAGTTGCCAGGCAACCAGGGGAGAATACAGAAATTTACTAGATCCTACCAGGAGAGATCATAAAACCTCATAAAACAGTGAGCGACTTCGTGGTTTTACATTTGGTTTTAGTGCAGCGGCAACAATCAAAATATAATGTGTTAATTAAAGGGCCAGAGAGGAGACGCTGTTTTTCTTATTTTTATTTGTTGAATTTTGTCTCTACATCAGCATGGTTTGTTACCCTCTTACTCCACATCTGGTAATCTACAAGACTGCTGACTGTAGCGTTTTATTGAGAGCACTGATTGGAGACTCCCGCCATCCTTTCACGACTAAAAGAAAAGTTGGCAATTTCTCATGCACATTTTATGTCCATGTCACACTGAGAATGAAAATAAAGACGAGCCCACTACGATGCTTCCCGTCACAAATGGTTCTCTAACTGGCTCTTTTTCTCCACCTTTACAGACGAGTCTCACTTGTTGCTCCGCTCCCATGTGACCATGGAGGACCTGGAGAGTGAGAAGTTCAAAGTTCACGACCCCTGCGTGGCATGGTTAAACGGTAAGACTGGAGGCTCTGATTCGTGAAGGACTCCTGATGGGAAAAACAAAAGAGTCGAACGCCGTTTTTTAAAAATGGTTCTCCCTGCAATGCCGGTGCTGCTTCTTTTTTCTGACGTCTTTGTTGAACTGTTCTGTCAGAAAACGAAGTGGCCCTGCGCACCAGGGAGGGACACGTGCTGACATTCAGCCTCAGCAACAACCAAACCACAGCTCTGCTGGACAACAGCTCGCTGGTAAGCATCAGCCACGGAAGTCTTGGGGACGGATTTTAGAGTGGAGACTTCCACAGAAAAAGACTGAAAGACAGATGCTGTGGAGTCCCTCTGCACCGCAGCCCACACTTCAGACAAAAAAAGATTTGGCAGAGTGTTGGTCCCCCCACCCCCCCCCAACATTATCTGGCTGCTCTGCGAGCCCCCCCAACATTCTTCAAAGAGAATTTTCCAACTGAGGGCATCGTTTTGAACACCGCCTCTGCGCGACACTGACAGACTTATGTGGGTCATCGCGTACGCGCTTAAAGCAGGGTTGTGTTGTCAGGTTGGGAGATCTCTCCTCCATATTGAGATGCAGTTCGTCATCTCTGCGGCTGCTCCCCGCTGCAGCAGGAAATAAAAAATATGTATTCTTTTCCGATCACAGAAAAAGCAGAAATTGTATGATTTTACATACGTGAGGAACAGAGAAAATGGATGCCGGCCTTTGAGAGAAGGACTCCAAATGAAAATGAGTTCCTTTTCAACTGAAAACGGGGGCATCCCAAAGTGCTTCAAACGCATTTTGAAATTCATGAATGAATTTAGTTAAAGGTATGCGGCAGTACTTTGTGGGCATGAAAGTAAGCACCCTGGGAAAAGACTAAATCTTGTTAAACTTAACCTCCTGGAACATTGTGTGTGAAAACAGAGAGGGCAAACGGTGCATGATTAATTCTGTGGGCAACGCAAAAAGGAATGCATTTTGTCTCAGAGAATCTGAGCTTAAGTGTTGAGGTTGTTGCATTTCATTGTAATAAATTCTGCATTTGCTTTTCCTTTACTAAGGATATATATATACCGCCCTGCTTAGTGAATAATCTTCCGAGTCTCGCTGGACACACCTAATCAGTGTTTTTTTTTTTCACATGTCCATTATGTGGCAGTGTCATGACAAACACCCATGAGCAGGTGGTCGCAATTGATCGGCTTTTTCTGTAGAAGCCAAAAATTCAGAAGAATCTTTAAGTTAGACATAGACATAATTCTGGAAGAGAATATACTAGAGGAAAATGGTTAAAAAAACAGAGAGCCAGAAAACCAAACATGCATTTATTGATAGTCAAGGCTAAAGGTGTTCATTTTGTCTGTCTAATTTAGGCTAAATGGGATTTTTTAAAATACAAACAAAAAAACAACAACAAAAGATGAACCGATGATGACATTTGTGTAGTGTAACAAATTAGTTTGGTTTAGTTTATAATGTTTAAAACAGAGATGAAACAGTGAAGGAAATGTTAGGAAACAGACTGAATATAAACGTGACATTTTAAAATAATGTTATCTTAAAATAAAGTCTCTGTTGGTCAGACTGTAACTTAATTTAACTGCAACTCTGGTGTGAGAGTTGCAGCCCCATCCTTTACAGAAAAAGAAAATGTATTAAAATACATATATTTTTTTTCTATAAAAAGCCCAATCAAAAGGAAAGTTTAAAGCCTAATCTTAAAGTTACAGAGAGTGTCTGCTTCTCAACCCACACTGGCAGCTGGTTCTATTAAAGAGGGCCCTGATAAGTGAAGCCACTGTCTCCCATTCTACTTTTAGAAACTCCAGGAACCACGAGTAAGCCTGCAGTGTGAGAGCGAAGTGCTCCGTTGGCAGAATTATGAATTAGGAGATCTTTTAGATATAATATAGAGCCTAGTCATTATGAGCTTTATATGTAAGAAGAATAATTTAAATTCTATTCTTGATATTACAAGAAGCTTATAAAGGGAAGCTAGAAAGAGGAGAAATATGATATCTCCTGCTAATTTATCATCAGGATTTCGGGGACAGCCCAATAATAAAGGATTTTCCAGTCTTCAAGCAACAAACAATGTTTATTCTAATGCCAAATTCAAGCATGCTACTGTTTACAGTAGGGGAGGTTTTTGTCTTTTTCTCTTTCATGCATTTACCCTGATCATAGCATTATTCATTTCTCGTGAATCAATGAAGGACACTAATATTTCCTTTTAACTCTGCTAACACCGCCTCTCTTCACAGGACCTGACCTCCACAAAATTTCAAGTGTCTCCAGACAAGAAATTTGTCCTCTTGGCGCACAATATTCGACCGGTAAGTCTCAAACCAAGGCAGAGGTTTAATTTCCCCTGGACCGCATCCCCAACTGTCTGATTTTCAGAAATAACCCCAGCTAGGAAGCTTCCACTTATATTAAAGACAGCCAGTCGATACGAACTAACCACAGTGTGTGTGATAGGCCACCTGTGGTTTTTAAACAACAGGGACGTGCAAAATTAATAACAGCCTCGATGCGACAACAGAGAGATGGAGCAAGAACAAAAAGGAGGACGTTGTGGACAGTGTGTGTGTTAGTGTGTGTGTGTGTGTGTGTGTGTGTGTGTGGTCATGGCGGTGCTTTGTGTGCCACTGCAGCCACTGCTGTGACGCTCACAGCCAGGGATAACAAATGAGGGAGCTGAATATTTAAAGGGGCTGATTGTGGAAGGTGCAGAGGGTTGAGGAAAAGCTCAGGGTTCCCCCGAAGAGTGATGAGGTGGTAAATAAAAGTTTGAGCTCAGGCCGGAATTTTAACAAGAGCGCGTCAGGGATAGCCAAATTGCAGGTCCTCTCAGATAAGGGGAAGCACAGACAGCAGGTTTTGCTCACTTAGGTTAAAACAGCACATTCTGGGTTTCTTGTTTGATCTCCACAGCAAATACCCTGACTTTTTTTTCACTTTTACACTCAAAGGCCAGGCGGAGCTGTGTAATGTGCAAATACACACAGAATTAGGAGAAAATGAAGGTCCTCAGCATATTCTCCCACGGCATTTTTATTAAAAAATCTTCCAGCGGATGCTGCAGCCCTCATTTGCTCAGCCCTTCACTCATCTCTGTTTCTCTGGGTTTTCCTTCAGAGACCCACTTCTCCTCTAATCACCGCGTATCATATTTTCTCTGTGTTTTCGCCGGGAAGGAATGAGCCTGTTGCTGTGTTACAGCATTCGTCACAAACACGGCGCATCCATTCTAACTGAATTATTGAGCAGTTAGCATGCGTTCAATCTGTTTCCACATATCTCTGTGGAGACAGGGGCTCAGGTCTTTTGCCCAGCTTCTGGCTTAAATAAGCACATTCTTTTTTTTTTTTTTTTTAATTTCAGTTCCTCATTTGCATATTTCCCGTGAAACAGCGGGAAGTTCTCGTCCCTTCTGTAGGCTCAGAGTGTAAGCCAGCAGGGAAATCAGAGACAGTGGACGTGCCTCTTGGAAAATGTTTATTTATTGAGAAATGAGCTTGAATGTTGGCATGTTGTCTATTCCTCTAGTCCTTTGCAGTCTACTCCCCCCACCCCCCCCACCGCTTCCTTCATCTTCCTCGTTCTCATTCACTTTCTTCTGTCTATCTGTGGGGGGAATTGTGCTGACTGAAGCAGTTTGTGCCCCTCGTCAGCTCTGCTGTTCAGGAGAGCAGCAGCACGCTGCTCAGAGCGGCAGAAAAGGCAGGAGAAAAAAGGCCAAAGCGGCGGGGAGAGCCACTCGGGATGGAGCTGGATGATAAATGGGATGCGCTCTGTTTGCCCTGAGATACACTGTCCAGTTTAAATCAGTCGGAATGACTATCAAAGAGTTTTCGGTGATGCAAGGAGGAGAGAGCTGCAAGGGACGGAGTCAGATGAGCAGGCTGTGTGTAAAGTTAAAAGGCTTTCCTGGATTTTTGTATTAGCTCAGAAGGTTTTTGGAGGGGTTGGGGTGGGGGTGAGTCAGGGATGGAGCCACAAAGGAACAATAGAGAGCCGATTTTTCTACAGGAGAAACGCCTGCCTTCAAAGGCTGTGTGAATAAGGCAGGTTTGTTTTCAGAGTTTGGATTTGTGTGCGTGTGTCAGCAGGGAGAGTCAAACAGAAAAGAAGACCAACTTATATTCAAACAACTGATCGTTAGATACGTCAAGGGAGCGTTTTCGGGGGTTGAGAGCAAAGGCTGCTGCACTGGAATGTAGTTGGGCCTAGTTTGGGGCCAAACAACATGCCATGGGGGTTCTGTCTGCTCTCTGCACCAAAGGCTGGTGGGGGCTACCACTGGCGTGCTGCTGACAAGACGCCTGTGAGGCAGCCACAGTGTCAAACGCCATTGTTCCTGCATTGTGCGCCTCACACTGTGCAACAGATCCTAATACCTGCGCTCGTTCGGGAGCTTTTTGTAATCTTTCTGCGCGTCCTTTTATCGCCGGTAATCTGTTTGTAGCGCGCCCTCTCCTCGGCGCTGGCAGCGTTGAGGAGGTGGGTTGTAAAAGTGGGCCGACGAGCACGGTGAGCCGGAGGATTTATGATATGTTACTGGCACTCGCATTAGAATTCAATCTGCCTCTCCCAGACAGATGCGTTCGCTGCTCCTTGGCTTTATCACGCAGACAAACATTGGAATTGCAATAACACACGGGGCCCCGCCGAAGGCGTTGTGTAGCTAAATTACTTGGAGAATCGCCGGGTTTCCAAACAAATCGTAAAACATCTGATTGAACACTGTACCGGTGGCGACGCCGTGGCCTTTTCCACTCAACCAGTGGCGTGACCTTTCACTGGTTGTCCTGTTCACGTCCCCCCCGCCACCCCACTACTCCTTACCTTACTTTTTCCTGTGGCACCAGGCTTTGCTGCTTTTTCATGTCGCCAAACATCTCTTTTCCCCGCACACTCTATTGCCCCCCGTGCTTCAGCTTTACGCTGGCAATCAGACTTCGATTTCATTCAGGTAGCCTCCGAATTTGTCCCCCCCCCCCACACACCCACACACTTTTATCCCTGCAGCCTTGCGCCTGTGCCACCCTGAGCGTGCATTCTCTAACAGACAAACAGCACAGAAGGAAAAATCCAATTTCGCTGTTAACTGCTGCATAGAGGATGTGACATTTAATTTCTGTGGGGGCTGAGTTTCCAAGTGGCTGGGGCTTTTTAGAGGCCAGCGGCCAAACACGCTGCCTCCTATACCCTCTGCTTCCAGAAAACAGAACGAATGGTGGTAATCAATATGCAGAAATCAAGTACAGTAGATAGGCCTTCGATTAGAGTAGGGAAGCGCACACATGCACATGCAAATGCACGCGTTTATCGATTCTGATTTCTCAAGTCTTTTACTTCAGGATGTTAATTTAGTTATTCAGAGCGGCTGATGCTCCATTCAGTGCTGTGAGGCGCAACAGAGCCCAACTGGATAGATATTAGCTGCAAGAATACTACTTAATAAGTGCATCTTGGTTCACTTGTCAGCCTTAACGGCTCTCCTATTCATTTGCAGTCGATGTAACCAACTGAATCAGATTAAACCACTGCCAGTGGTAATGATAACCTATACATAAAGAATTAGAATGCAATAAGCAGCAAAAGCAATATTAAATACTGCCTGTTTAAAGACAGAAACATACAGGACAAGACACTTGGGTGCCATTGCTGGGAGAGAAGCCAACATAATAATTCTGGGATAACTGCTCGTCTGCCTTTCTAATTTTTATGTTTCTGTAATCATTCCAGTGTTTTCTGCCTTAGAAGCAATAGCCCATTTAAGGCGGTGCTTTGCAGTTGTCTGGAGATTTCGAACACGGCTTCTTGTTGCCTATTGTGTCATTAAAAGGCCGAGCTCACCTTCACACGTGCTTCGTTTGCATTTAGTTGTGCTTCTACGTGTGCGGGAGCATGCGTGGGGATCTCTAATATGCGTGTGTTTTCATGTATGTGCGACACACTTGTGTGCATGATGTCCTCTACCTCTTTCAGGTGTTTTCTCAGTCCTTCACAGCCTCCTATGCCATCTACAATGTGGCTAATGGGTAGGTAGAATCGTGAATGCTAATGCATGAGGTGCACTGGGCATGACGCGTTACCAATGCAAGCAGACTCGCAGACAGAAAAAGCTGTCCCAAAACCCCAGAGTGCATCTCACTCAGTCAAAACTTCATGTTTCTCTTGAAATTGCATCCATTTGTCGCCTTTTTTTTTTTTCATTTACTAGGTTCCATAAAGCACTGTTCCGTTACGTTTGTACTGTAACTCTGATGTCACTGCTTGAGACTCATATTAAGTGTTATCAGTGGGAAAACGTCTTGGAAAATCCCCGGAACCTTCAGAGGAATGATTTGGAAAAGGATGCCTTGAAGATCTCCAGGGCTGATCGTTGCCTGACTGTGTTGGATTTTTTTCCTTTTTTTTCCCTTTTTTTCTTTAAACTTGTGCCTGGTGAAGATGGAGATCGTGGAAAAAGAAATGTTGCACTCCTGCATGAGCCGGCGCCCCTCTCTGTTTCGTCCTCGCGCCTCTGCATCTTGCCCCGTCTCCCTCACAGTGCAGCAGCTCCCTGGTGGGCAGGGCATGGACGGACTTCAGAGGGTTTTCAACCAGGGCAGGCGTCCCCGACGGGAGGCTAATGGCTGAGTTGTTGTGTGTGTTCCAGGGATCTGATTGAGCTTCGCCCTCCGGAGGGGGAGAAAACAGAGCTGCAGTATGCTTCATGGGGACCGCAGGGGAGCCAGCTGGTGAGCAAGGCGCCAGCTTATTTTCCCGCTAAATGCGTTGTCATCTGCTTGGACTAAGTTTAAGAATATGACGATGAGACTCTCTCGCTTACCTATCAATGCACGCTCCGTTTGACACAGTTTCTATTCTGACAACATCAGTTCTGCTGTGTTAATATGAAATTGACTCCATCTGCAGTGGCTGTGTGACTATAATGGGATTGTTTTATAGTGATAATGTCATTTATCTGTGTGCCCTGTGAAGTAATTGGCTTTTGCTGTGATGTCAGTGCTCATCCGCAGCATATTAACTGGCAAGTAAAGATGCATTGGCTCCCATCTGTGTGAGTGCTGGCCAATGATTTGTTCGCACTTGTAAATCAGGCGGCCAGCTGGGATGTCTGTAACCTTGCTGTCTTTGATAATGGCCTGGCAATGTGTCTCTGTGTTGCTCCTGCCAGGCCTTTGTGTTTGATGGAGACATCTACTACAAGCCCAGCGTGACAAGCCAATCTCTGCGACTCACATCCACCGACCAGGAGCAGAATGTGGTCAATGGGATTTCTGATTGGACTTATGAAGGTAGAATGAAGTTCATTTTCACACTCCTGTGAGTTTTTGTTAAGCCGTCAATAAAACTGGAAACTCACCTTTTCAGAACAGATTTTAATGGATTATTGATGTCCTGTTCTATGCTTATGTATTTTTTAGTGTCCACTGCTATCCATTTATTTGATTATTTAGATTTATTCTATTCTAGTGTTCTTTTTGTAATTTTGCTTGATTTTTGTAAAGTGTCTTTGAGTTCTTAGAAAAGCACCACACAAATATAATTCAATTTATTAAATAATGAAATAAAAGCAGCCTCCAGCTTTAAAGAAATGTATTTTGTTTTTTTTTCTTTAAACCAAACAGAGGAGGTGCTTTTGACATACGCTGCCCACTGGTGGTCGATGGATGGTGCGCGGCTGGCTTACCTCCAGATCAACAACTCTGCTACACCTGTGATGGAAATACCTCACTTCCTGGGTGGTCTTTACCCCTCCAATGAGCTCTTCCCTTACCCAAAGGTGAAAAAGTGTTTTAAGATGAGTCATGCTGTCTGGAAGGCGTACACTGAGGCTGTGCGATGCTTTTAGAACACTGCTGTTGTCAGCATGTTTGCGCTGACAGTGACAGCGCTGCTCCTCACTAGATGTGATGCTCATTTTGTGCCAGCCCAACTTTTGAAGTGGCTCAGAGTGATACTAGAATCATCAGTTTCTTGTCACTGGTCTAATGCACATGCAGTAAATCTAGGTCATTTTGACCACAGCCACTTTTCCTCAAGTACCAGAGACTTTTTGAGTGTCCTTTCTGATTTTTTCCTATTCATTTTTCATTTTACTAATTAAGTTTCCTAGAAATGTTCAATGCAGACTCAATTAAATACTGTGTGTGTGCGGTTGCTAAGTTATGTCAGTACAATATCATAATACAGACCAAAAAAAAAAGAGAAACGCTTACATGCTCTCTGGCCTCCACTCAGAATTTTGTGTAAAATCTGTTCGAATTTGAGTGAAGGTTTAGATTTCGGGTAAGTAAACGCCTACGGTCTTCTGAAGGGCAGGCAGCGCCCCAAAGAGAGACGGGCTGTTAAGCTGGTTTCTTTGGGAACGGAGGTGGGATTAAAGAGGCGAAGGAACATTAAGGGACTTCAGGACAGTATGGCCCAATGCCAACTATTAACCACAACAACACAGTTACCTTCATGTGTCTTTTTAAATTTGAACACGCAACGTTTCAAAATGAAACAAGCAAGCATCATTCAATGTGTGAAATCACATCCTTTTTAGGGGTTGTGAAACTTTTGTGACAGTAATGCACAGGACTCTTTTTTTCTTATATATTTCCTGTCAGGCATAGTTTGTTGGGGTGGAGAATAAAAATGTAAAACGTTACGATCTCACATCGTTTTGCACCTTTATTGTTACATTATGGTGGTTGAGAGTTGGTGAACTGAAAAACTCTCCGCCACAAAATGGCTCTCCGCTGGAGAGAGTACTTTGGAGGTTGTAATGTACTTTTCAGGCTGAATGACTTTAAGCAACTCTCGCTGACACACGCCTCCCCCTTCTCATGCTCCGTTGTCAACCATGTGAAATGAGCATAGCGGTGAGACAACACAAAAGTCTTTTAAAGTTCAGTGGAACTCTGTTCTAAGTATTTGTAGGGACTTTAGATGGAATTAAATATGGAGAAAACCCCGGTCTCGGTTGGCCTGCTTAATGACAAAGCGGATGTCTGTCCACTTTTTACTTAGTCTTTTCCATGAGCAATGTTCCGGCCAGATGTGTGATTTTGAAAAATCAGCATCTCTTTACATGATGATGCTCGCACTCAGTGTCTCACTATGCATGTCACAGTGTCAACTGTGTGTGGCGTTTAGCCTACACCACACAGCAAGACATGTCCTGGTCCAGGTGGTTCACTGCAGCTGGGAGAGTTTGCATGTTCTCTTCCTCCTGCCCAAAGACTTGGATCTGTCGGTAATTCTGTATCCTTGGCAGTTGCTTTGGATGAAAATGCATGATTGCAAATAGAATTGATGTCTAAATTGGCTCTTGCAGTGTGTTGATTTGCATGGTTGTTTTTCTCTATGTTGGATATCAGCCCATTTAGAGTGTGATTCATTTCAATTAAAAAATACTTTATTTATCCCAGATGGAAATGAAATAATAATAGAATATAAATAAAAAAATCAAAAAGCCCTGACTCTTGGTCTGCAGATCCTGGAAAAAATCTAAACGAATGGATGGATTCCCATCATTTCTGGTGGAGATGTGTTCAATGTGTCACTCTAAGTTGAAATCTCACACCAGATTGTGACACACCTCAATTTTGACACGTGAAAAAATGTTACCCATTTTTTTTTTAAAGCTGGCGGTTAGAAAAAAGATCTTAGATATTCTAAGATATTTTCAAATTTGGTACTAGTAGAGGCATGGTTTAAGGCCATCACTGATGCCATCATTTGCCATAATAAGCCCTAACATTTGGCTGCAGAGATTCAAATCTGTCATGGCAGCTGAGAGCTCTTCTGCAAAGAACGTCATTAGGATTCTGAGCACTTGAAATAACAAATGAGAGAAGTTGTCTTGGATATTGATTTTCAGAATGTTATGAGGCGTTTTTAGGCCTTAATGAGGTGTCTTTCTATTCTTGTGGCTGGTAAGTTGCCTAAAGTTTGTTTTCTAAGTTTGATTTTTTTCCCCATTTATTTACATCTTACAGGCAGGCTCCAGTATTCCATCAGTCAGTCTGTTTGTGGTAAATCTGTATGGTCCAGCTCACACTCTGGAGATGATGCCTCCCGACTCCCTCAGGGCCAGGTACCTATCTGTGAATTAAGTCAGAATGTCTACCAATCCAGACACCACCTGTCAGAACTCAATTCTCTGTCAAAATATCTCTCCCTTTCACCGCCTTTTTTTTTTATTTTCTCCGCTCCTCTGCACTCTTTTTTTTCCATTGCTTTCCCCCCACCGTATCATTTTCTGCATCACCTCGTCAGGGACTGTTACATCTCCATGGTGACTTGGATCAGCAGCACCCAGCTCGCCGTTCGCTGGCTGAACCGGGCCCAGAACCAATCAGTGCTCTGCGTGTGTGAGGCCACCACGGGGGCATGCTCAGAGGTGAGCGACCATCTCTTGTTCTGCAGAAGTAATCGGAATGGCTTCCACTGCAAGATGCAACTTTAATAGAATTTTCGTTCATTTACACAATACTGGGAGTTCAAATTGATATCCTTAAGCTCTCCAATCGCCACTGGATGGATTAATATTTGAGGGCATTCGACGCATGAGAAGAATGTTCAATGATCCACTGCAGTACTTCGATGCTTCTGCCCCTTCTGAGCATCTGTGTAGATTTAAGCCAATTTGACTTTCATATGTTGATGAATACAATTCCCTTTGCCCATACATGTTATTTAAATACATCTAAGATTTTGTTGTAAAATTGTGCAGATGTTAAACAAATGTCTCCGTCCGTGTCATGTTGAATCCACAGAAAGACAAAATGACCATGGATATAATGCAAAACCAGCGACAGGTATGCATGGCAGTTCAAGGAAGTCTGCTTACACCTTTTTACCACAACCAACTTTCTTTTTGACTCGACTTGAACTTTTTCCTTTTCCAACAGGAGGTGCCCTTGTTTACACAGGATGTTTCGATCTTTTATACAATACTGCCTGCAAAACAGGGCGCCCGTGGGGAGTTTCATCATATCGCTGGTGTTACAGCTCAGGTCAGTTTTGTAGCAGTTGCTTTTTATCCTCACATCTTAAGATAATCATCAAATGCTAACCAGCCATCCATGTATATGACTTGTACATTTTTGTCCATATGCAAAATGTTTTTGTTCAAATATGAATCCTTGGATATTAAATTAAAAAGAAAAAAATAAAGGAGAAACATTCCAAAGATTTGAAATTAGATTAAGGCCAGGACTGGTCATGTAACTTAAAAGAGTTCATGTTTTGATCTGTTGGATGTGTACTTTGGTTTGTGTGACACAGCATGATAGCTCTTCTATCATGTTTTATTGCTGGTAGGGTATTATCCTACTTATAGGCTTTATTTCACTGCCCATTTAAACAAGCTGGTGCAGCGTCCCCGGTCCCTGAACCACTAATCCATAAAAGGTACAGCCTTGTGAGGCCCTTCAGTGCATTTCTTTCAGTAGTGGTGTCCTTTTGGGTTCCGTTATCAGCAAAGGGCTAAAACCACCGCTACACATTGCTGTAGTTCAGCATTTAGAAATCATTGTGAGTAGTTCGGGAAAAAATGCTTTTAAGATCTTTTGGGGTTTAATAGTCCTGACCAGACCTTGGTTTGTGCAGAGCCTTTTCATGTTAGCTTGTTTGTTTTCAGAATCAGGATGAATAATGAGTATGTTTTTCCCATTTCAAACCAATAATTAAATTCCCATCTCTGTGCCAAAAGATTCATCAGCCCACATTCAGAGTTTAATCCAAAGGATCTCTCTGTTATCAGCCTCATCCAAGTAAACACGAATGAATTAGAGAACACTTTTTACGGGGTTTATTCACACTGAAATCCTTGGACAAAACCCCTCGCTGTAAGGCTGAAGCTATTTTTATTTTGTCCGTGTGACTGTTTCTGCTTTGCTCTTTATCTCTGTTTCTGTGTGTAACACAGCCTGCCATTCCTTCTGTTCCCCCTCGCTTCTTGACATCGGGGAGCTGGGACGTCACCTCGCTCTGCGCTTTAGATGAGAAGGCTGAAAAAATGTATGTGAGGGCAACCGTGGGGTAGCTCACAAGAATCACCCTTTATTAGCTCACGGCGTTTCTGTTCCATGCTCGCACAAATGACAGTGAGGGTACACCCGTGTAATATCATTAAAATGATCATCTCTTGGCTGCCAGCTGAGAGAAAACTCTGAATGCGCGTGACAGTAAATGTACTTTTTTGGTCAAACTGCACAGTTGGTGATTGACGCGCAAGTAGATAAGCCATTTTAGCATTTAGCATTGATCCGAGTTTTCAGGCAAAAGGACGTTCCTTTGAATTAGACTTTAGCAGTCAAATGTGCTGACTTGAAAAAAGGCCACCGGATTAGTGAGACTCGAGCACAGCAGATTATTGCTTAAACCTGTCTTTATCCTGCTGGGCCAAGAACTCCAGTGACAGACTGAGGCGTGTAAATCACAAGCAAGGTGGGGGGGAGAGTTAAACGTTAAATGTGTCCCTCGTCTTTTTCTAATTTCCCTCAGCTTTTTGCAGTTTGACAAAGACATTTTCTCCTGCAAGTACCGCAATCGCTTATAATGAGATCAGCATGACTCACACAGACTGAATTTGCAATCACTAGCGCTGCTTTATAAAAGAATGTTATGCAAGTCTGACCTCATTAAAATGCAAGTAAATAGATACTGATAGATTCTTGTCATGAATAATTGCTATCCAGAGTTGGGGGGATGTTAGGGCGTGTAAATGTTGAGACAGCATTGAGAATTCCCCTTTCTGTGTCTGTCACAATTTCAGCTATTTCCTGAGCACAGAGGAGTCCCGGCAGAGCAGACACCTGTACAGGTATGCCCTGTCGAAATGGTCTTAGTGGGTGGGGGCACATTAATTGTTAACAAGTCAGTTATTCCTGGTTGAAAAATATCGACAATGACCGATTTCAAATGCTGAAAAATGGACATTTCCCATATAAAAAATCCCCACAAACATTTATACACGCATGCGTCTGCCGATGTGTGTTCTGCTCACTTATTCCAATTTTTAAGAGTTTATTAAAAGATTTTGATACGATTCTCCTCTCTTTGTCTCTAAAGATCGGAAACAAGTCGGTAACACCTTTGCACAGAAAGAGACAGAGACAACCCAAAGGCAATCGAGGCAAAGTTGACGAGGGTTTTACAGAAATATTTGTAGAATGTCAGGTGAAATGTTCCTCGGTTTGCGTCACTTGAGGAGCAGCTGTGATCAGCACACTCGCATGTGATAAACACTCTTGTCGATTCCCTCATCAGCCGCACAGCTTCCATATAATTGTATTAGCTCAAATGGCTTTGGGCTTTAGAAGACAGTTATCTTTCATTGAGGCAGGAAGATTAAACTTAGCTGGAGCTTAATCCTGTATAAAATTTGTAAGCAGTTGAGTGGAGAGGGACATTTACAGACTCGATCTGATGGACCAATCTGTGCAATGACTTTTATGTCTAACCTCACTGAACCATACGCCTCTAAATACTCGACCGGCAGTAGTTTGTCTTACGATACTTTCTTTAATGAGATAGCAGCCGTTTGACCTTTTCTCCTGGAGCAAATCAAACCACTTTAGATTGACCCATTCTTTTTCAAATTTTGTCAATAACCCTTCTGTCATGCCTCCAAGTGTGGACCTGAACGGAGTGTTTCAGCGCCAGTGCATCTCCTGTAACCTCATGGACGGTTGTCGCTTCTTCAAAGCTGTTTTCAGCCCCAATCAAACCCACTTCATCCTTTACTGTTTGGGTAAAGCACACACTTGCTGCGAATGGGGACAGCTTCAGACCACCCGGTTCGGTTTTTACATTGGTGTGAATTTAACATTCCCCGCAGGCCCTGGGATCCCGAAAGTGACGGTTCACATGACAAAGGACCCCTCCAGTGAGTGTAACATCTGCTCGTCTGTAGCTGTTACAGCAATGCGCATCTTCTCAAATTGTCTGCTGTTTACCCCGACAGCCTGCAGAGAGCAATGCATCCAAGCAGACTCAGATTTTCATTCAATGCCATGCATGCAAACACTGCCATCTGTCTGTTACTCTCAGTTATATCAGTTGGAATGGAGATAGTGGGTATTTTAATAAAAAAATAAAAGAATTACAATATGAGACCTGTGTTGATGTTGGGGACAAAATTGTAACACTGTGATATTTTTCTCTGGTAGGATATGTCATTTTGGAAGATAACAGCCCTCTATCAAAAGCTCTAGAGGACAAGAGGCTCCCTGAGACTCTGTTCCGGACACTCCCAGCAGAAAACTATGGTAAAACAGGCAGAGACAGGGTATTTTACATGTATTTATATGTATCTTTTTCATCAGAATTTTTTGGGACAATTACTTTATAAAGTGGCAGGTCAAAGTAAACTAAATAAGCCTGTGCACAAAAAGAAAATTAGATGTATCCATGAACAACATTTTACCAAATAGCAAACTTACCAAGATGATTATGTGTTTTTTGGGCAATATACATCTATTTTTTTAACCCAGGCCTTCAAATAGTAGACACATGTAAAAAAACAAACGTAACATAAGGATGTGTACAGCAAAGACACTTGATCCATTAAAGGCCGAGTGTCAAGAGGAGCAAGGATAGGCAGAGAAACACAGTTGGTCAGCAAATGTGTGGTAAAAACATAATCTAAGAGGTCATTTAAAGAATTCATGTGAAACATAATAGACAACATCAACGTGTTTTGCTTAAGCAGTATTTGTTGAAGTATTGGCACCATGCAACACTGGAAAGTTTTCATGGCTTGTTATCTTCAGTAGGAGAATCTTTTTTAAGTCAAGGAACGCTGAAATTGAAAAAAGTGGGAAAAGCTCTTTTTTTCTAAACGTTTCTTAAATTTGTTGCAGGTCTTATATCTAGGTGTGGATTAACAAATCAAATTATGCTGACAAAGCAATACAAGAAATAGCAATGTTGTCTACTAGGAAGTAAAAGACCAAATAAGTGTTATCCTTACAACCCGATTCTCGAGGGTTTCCTTTACTGTCCTTAGATTCTCTATTATAGGAGTCCTTACATCTATGGATAATTGATAACACCCTGTTTATTTTCTTCAGATCTGCACCTGAAACTATCTCTACCTCAGGGCTATGAGTCAAACCTCAACCCACTGCTCATTATAGTGTAAGTGCCACGGAAGAGGCATGCTCAAGTCACTCGACTTTCATCCTGACTCATAGCATATTCTATACTTCTCTAAGCCTCAAAACGTCCATTGGCTTGCTTATCCTGTTCGTCTTGATGCTCAGGGAAGGCAATCCCGGCAAGCAGTCTGTGACGGAGGAATTCGCCCTGGGCTGGCCTCAGGTCCTCTGCAGCACGCACAACGTGGCGTTGGCCTGGGTGGACGGCCGGAGCGGGGTCGGGCGCGGACAGAAGGCCGCGACGGTGGATACGCAGAAGCTCGGCACGCTGAGAGTCAAAGATTATCTGGGGGTTATTGAGTCAGTGCAGTCACACAGCAGCATAGCACAACATGCCCGAAATGTGAGGATATGGCTCACAAAAAAAAGAAACTAAAGGATTTGTGTGATATTTCCAATTACCGCAGGTTGCTGATGCGACTACCTTACATCGATGATCGCCGGATGGCCCTCTTTGGAAAGGTCGAAGTATTTTTAGGTGGAAAGTTAAGTCACAGAAGGAGAGATGCGGCACTCTTTTAAAAGCTTATTCTACTTCTCATCACAGGCATTTGGGGGATATTTAACCCTCAAAATGTTAGCTGCGACAGATAAACTCTTTCAGTGCACAGCAGCTCTGGCACCCATAACAGACTTCCGGCTCTACAGTGAGTTGAGATGGACTATTGACTATTCACAGTACATAGGACCATTCAGCCTATGGTGGAGATGAGAACAACAAATTAATCCATCTACTGTCTTTCAGGTGCTGCCTTTTCAGAAAGGTATCTTGGCCTTCCAGCAAAGGAGGAGCATGCTTATGCGGTGAGGTTAAAACCCTTCTTGTTCAACTTTTAAGGTGGTATGTGACGTACAGAGGGAAGTGGATATGCAATCAATGTCAACTTAACTCCCCCAAAACCAAATGCAATACAATCCTAAATTAGATTTGGTTTTCATAATGGTTCAAATTTAAACTTTCAGATATATGTTGATTGAAGTTTACAGTTGTTTTGGATCCTATCAGCACTCAGAGCCATCAAACTCTTGTTGAACTTGAATCTTTGGCATTTACAGTGATCTATCATAGCGAGATGGCCCAGAATGGATCCTCCTAATGTAGGCTATAAAAAATTACTCACATTTTGTAGTGTGGCCAAAGAACATGTGACGTGTCCTGTAGAATCTGGTAATAGGGTGTTGGTAATAGATCCATCTTGTGGGTCTTACGAGTTGTGGAGTAGGGTCTTTATGGACTAGGGTTGCTCCCAAAGGCCTCATCGGATTTTGTCCATGTTTGATTATATTTAATTAAGGTTTGATTTGTTGCAGTCAGTGAGACAAATTAAGATATAACCAAGAAATAATTCATACAGTAAAATAAATATATATTTATCTTTCATTTTTCAGACTGCCTCTTTACTGGAAGATGTTAGCAAGCTCAAGGAGGAGAACTTCCTTATTCTGCACGGGACTGCAGACGGTGAGGTTCTGAGCAGTGTTTTCGCATGACCATAGTTAATTATTGAGGTAATCTAATATCACAATTTATATTTTTGTCTCTCTGTTCATCCAAAGCAAGGGTACATTTCCAGCACAGTGCTGAGCTCCTGAGCCGATTGGTGAAGGTGGAGGCCAACTACTCACTGCAGCTGTACCCAGATGAGGGCCACGTCCTGAGAGAACCTCGCAGCATCCAGCACTTCCAGCGGACTGTGGCGAACTACCTCCAAACCTGCCTGAAGCACAGCTCCCTTCTGGATTTCCTAGAAGATGAAGAGGAGGAAGATGACTGAGGCCAGTGGCCCCCCTTTCCATTCTTCTGGAAGGACTCTCAAGAGAACTGTATGCCATGTTATGCTTTTCCTTGGTTCAAGTTACCAGGCACAAGAGCAGAGGAGTGGGGACCAAACACATAAGATCACCTCCTATAACTTCTGGAAAAATTGATGTACTATATAACGTGTTGCACACAATTATTTCTGCTATTCTGTAGTATATTTGAGGCCAGGCCTGTTTACAAAATTCACTTGGGATGATGTGGACTTGACAGCCACTGGTTCTGCCAAAAGTTTACAAAGATTTTGAAACATGCATGTCACAAAGGCTGCATGATGTTCATTAATGCATTTTGTGTGTTTTGCAGGTTTTAAATCTCACAATATTTAAAATGGCAAAATCTGCTAACAGCCGGGGACACACTTGCAAATGTTGAAAATACTCGATGATGTTACATTGACTCAGCCTTAAACAATTTAAGATTGCAAAGATGCCTAAGGTCTTCCCTACAGGTGTCTAAATAAACCAGCCACAGGATCATATGCAGAATGGGGCATATTCAAGTCTTATGAAACAGAATATTTGGGTCATCTCTTATGCAGGGGATATGAATCCCTAACTATGATTTAATATGCCAAATGTCTCTGTTGATCCCTGGTGATGTCACTTTAAATTCAGAACTATTTTAGTATTTTTATAGTGTGTTCCCGGCTTATATAAAGTTATGGTATAAAAACATTAAGCATTAGGATCATTCTAAATGTGCCAAATTCATTTTGTGGACTTTATCCTCTGATTTTGTTTGCATTTTGTGATTAACAATGAGTGTGCAAGTGAGACATATTTATAAAAGGCTCGGATCCAAGAGTGATTACAAGAACATGTAGATGTCTTTGTGCTGTATTTGGATGTAGCATTTCTGTTTTGATACATCTTGGCATTTTAATCATTGATTGTGTATTGCGGAAATAAATTATTTCTTTGGACAAACGGTTCATGAATTATGTTGTAGTTCTTAAAGCTTGTGCACATACTGTATGCACAGACAGTCTGCATATTTCAGTTTGCCGGTTAAATGTCCAAACGCGTCATGCCCATCGGATCGGTCGGCGTCACCGACTTTGTGATGGTGGTACCTATAAAGTCTGTTCTTTAAAAGACTAATATGTTCAACTGTCGTCAAATAGTGAAGGGAGAACTCTATCCAATCAGAACGCACTTGAATGTACTTCAACCAATAAGATTCTTCTACGCGATTTCGACATTTCTACCCATCATCCAATCAATACCACCGGCAGTCGCAGGCCCGAATCCCTCTTCAACCTTCTACTTTCTGGAGGGGCACCTTCAACTAGCTCCACGGTGCACTGGCAGTGGCTTCTTTTGCTATAAAGAATAAGTACACTTTAACATAGACACAATGTCCTTTCTGACAGTCAGCAGGTTAGCGCCTAAACTCCTCAATTCAAAGGTAAGACAAGAAAAAAACCGGCTATCCTTTTTTCTTTTTCTTTTTAGAAGTCTAAGCCGCTGACGTTCCATTAAGCTAACTTTATGCTAGCCCGCTAGCAACGTAGTAGCAGGCTAGTTAACGTTAGCCATGTTAACCACATTGTGAAATGCCGTTGACTAAACGCCAGACTGGGGATTTCAAAAGCACCGAGAAGTGTTTGAACAGAAGCCCCCGTTTGTAGTTGTGCAATACGCCGAATGTTAAAGGTGTACTTGTTCTGTTTATGAACTTGGCGTCATTTGAGCTAGCGTTAGCTTTTAAACGGTTGCTCGTCTGCTGGCCTGTTTGAAGTCACAGCCTGGACATGTCTCCTCCAACCAGTAGTCATCAGACCATGATAACTCGGAGCTTAAGAGTTGGTTCATCCTGTGCCTCTTTGCTTGTTAATCATTGTTTTGTCTGACCTCTTGGAAACGTTGTGATTATCTTTAAACTCAATTTCACCGTTGTGTTTATTCTTCACCCCCGTTGACCTTCACGTTAAGATTCCAACTAATAATCTAATGCCTTATCATACAATAATGTCTACCGCACACATTGTAGTATGCCGTTGAAACGTGTGCTTTGTCTGCAATGTTAGTAATTCAATGCCATCTAAAAATGCAGTCATGAATGAAAAACGATGCAAGACTAGTTTGCATTTCTACAATTAACATTTCTTGGTTTCCTGTGTAACTAACAATATCACCTGACTTATGCACTGGCCAATCTGCTGATACAGTCAATAAAGGCCATAAAGTGGGTTGCCTTCCATTGCCAGCAATCTGCTGTCCTCCTCAGATGAACTCGCATTGATGACCCTCAGGTCAAGGTGTCTCCTGCCACTGGAGTATTTACAGTAACTGGCCCACCCTTGCGAATGAAATGGGTGACATTGGCTTCCCCACCTTGTTTGAACTCTGTTTAAACAGAGGTGCACAGATGTGTAGAGGTGATCGCTGACATGCTTGGCTTGTGTCTCTTATCATTTGCTATCTCTGCTCATGCGATTTAGTAGGGAGCTGTTACTTTTACATAACATCTTATGACTCCAAGCTGTGATAGTTGATTTTGTGAGTTATGTTTGGAATTTTTGGTGCAAAATTAGTTTTTTGGCGCATTCTTTACTCAGTATGATTTTGTATTTTTGAAGTGTGACCGTGATGCTTCTAATACTGGAAAGTAACTATATCCTTTAAAATACAGCGCTGAAGTGAAAGTTTTAGTTCTGTAGATTATATAACCTGTCTTTGCCTAAAGTAACATGTTCTCTGTTAGCCAGGCCAGGATTTCTTTAAACCCAGTGCAGTTCTTTTCTTTAACCTTCTGAAATTGTAATGTGTTTTTGGGGGACTTTTAAAGTTTTTTATTTTAGTCCTAAATGCAGCCTTTTGAAGCTGACCCCTTTGGCCCCCCTCGGTTTTTTTAATTGTTCAGTACTTGCGCTTATTTTTATTTATTTATTAATTTTGCTTTGGGATCATTGAGTGAAACTAGTAGTTTAATATATATGTAAATTACACCCCAAGCTGTGGGGTAATCTCTTGCTCAGCTTTGTAAAGGCAGCTTTATCCTATTCACTTGTGTTCCTAATGGGCAGAGAATTCTTTTGGTTGTTCTCTTCAACCCCCGAGTCTCCCCTTTATCCATTGATGAGCTTGCTTAGGTGATAAAAGAATCCAAATGAAGTGCTTAACACTACATGGATCACTACATAGAGCAGGAGTGGTATTTTGCCCCATTTATTGTAGAAATGTAATTTTATCTATTAGAAGACATTTTTGTGGGTGTAATACCTGCTATGTGTTAAATCATTTGGAGTGGAGTCTTGGATGATAAATTACCAAGACAGACAAGAGGCGTACATTAAAATTGTTCCCAAGATGAAGAAACCTTATTTATATGAACGTCTTACACCATGATTGGAATGATAGAGGACGAGCACATGAATTAGTCATTCATCTCGACACTGTACACTGCTTGCCCTTAGTTATTTATAGAGCTGGAGTATTATTTGGATAACCAGAAACATCTTCACATCAAAAGCAAACAGAACGGGAGGGAAACACAAGATAAAATTGGACATTTGGATCAATGATGCACAAACTTTTTACATTGACCGCCTGCTTAATGATGTACTAACAGACAGCTCAGTGTATAGAGTCCTTTTTCTGACCTGTGTGTACGTGCGCTCTGCTCTGTATTTGAAAAAGCCGACATCCTGTCAGTCTGTGAACTAGCAGGAATTTTCATTTAAGTAATTATTTTTTGTTGTAATAATCAAGATTGTTTTTCCTCTTTGTCCTTCTTCAGAATGCCACCTCCTTATTTGTGGCTGCCAGAAATGCCAGCGCGTCAACAACAGTAAGTGCACTGATTTATTTGTTACATTTATTTATTAATTTTTTCCCGCTAGTCTGAAATTTCTCTGGACTATTGTATAATTTTTAAGTGGTGAAACACACACATTGCAGTAGGTGGAAGAACTAGTTTTGACCCTATGATCTCTTGAGTGTTAGCAGAACATATTGACTCATGTGGAGCTACATCTACAGATCAATGATTTTCAGAACTGTGCTAGATTAAACCGGATGTGCGCACCCATTGCAGGATTTTTTTTTTCATAATTTCCTGAAGCGCAACTTTTCACGTTGTGTTTTTCTTTTTCTTTTGTCTTACAGAATCTGAAGGATGTTTTGGCAGACCTTATCCCAAAAGAACAGACCAGGATCAAGAACTTCAAACAGCAGTATGGCAAAACCAACATAGGTCAGATTACTGTTGACATGGTGAGTAACTTTTGAGATGCTGAAAATTAAAAAGGGGCCTTCAGTTGAAAAGGGAGCACAGCTCCTAGTTCATTATATTTTAAGGAGGGGCATGGAGGCCATTGACCATGCTGAAGATTAGCCATGACAGGGTAGTGGCACATAATCCATTTAGGCCCTCAGTGGTTTGTTGACCGTCAGGTATCACTGTACGGTCATCTCCCTCAGAGGTCACAATACCAACTGATTCCTGCCAACGGAGGCATTTTAGCTGAGTCACTCAGGCTCGAGCCATAAGCACAAATGTACTCTGTGCCCATTTACACCTCTGTAATAAAGCAGAACAACTGGTTTCATAAGGACTGAGAGATATTTAAAATGTCACTTACCAAAGGCTCATTCAGCTTTTACCTGTTTTAACCCAAATTTAAATCAGATTGAAAATACACAAACAAAAACTGATTCTTCAAATGTTTAAAATAGGGAGGGGGGGGACATTTTTTTGTGCGAGTAAGGAAGGTTTCAGAACATAATTTCTTGTAGACAAATGATCCTTTTTTTCTTTTCTTTTTCCTTCATAGGTCTATGGAGGTATGAGAGGGATGAAAGGTCTGGTTTATGAAACATCTGTGTTGGATCCTGATGAGGTGAGTTTGATACCTCACTTTAGTGCCCAGTACTGAACAGTGCAGGTGTACACCAACTGATAACTGTATATATAAACTATCTGATAATCTAACCCACAATTTTCTTTTTGCCTCCGGCCATCGACATGCAGGGCATCCGCTTCAGGGGATACAGCATTCCAGAGTGTCAGAAGTTGCTGCCTAAAGCTCCAGGAGGTGAAGAGCCACTGCCTGAGGGCCTCTTCTGGCTGCTGGTCACTGGTCAAGTGCCCACTGAGGAGCAGGTGAGTGGGAGAAAGTTGAAAAACTCTTTGCACACGTGAAGTTCGGTGAGGAAACTGCTTTGTTATGGTGTCCAAGCCCCTAAAAATAACTCTTAAAATCAGAATGTTGCTGTGTTTTGTCTTGTTTTTCCGCCAGGTGAACTGGGTGTCCAAAGAGTGGGCAAAGAGAGCAGCACTCCCCTCTCATGTGGTCACCATGCTGGATAATTTTCCCACTAACCTGCACCCCATGTCTCAGTTCAGCGCTGCCGTCACAGCTCTGAACAGTGAGAGCAGCTTTGCGCGGGCTTACTCCGAAGGAGTCCACAAGTCTAAGTACTGGGAGGTGAGGTCACATCTTCGCACTCCTCTTTTGTTGATTAGTGGAGCAACATATAGGCTGAAAGTATTAGGTGGAGATTAAATGGCAATGAATTTGATACAAAAAGTATATTCCTGAAATGAATCAATTGCTTAACCGTTTTGTTGCATTTAGTCTTCAAACTTTGTTTGGTCTGAGTTTCTGTTTCTGACCCCCCCCCCCCTTTTTTCTGTAGTTTGTCTATGAAGACTCCATGGACTTAATCGCTAAGCTTCCCTGCATCGCTGCAAAGATTTACCGCAATCTGTACCGCGAGGGCAGCAGCATCGGAGCCATCGACTCAAACCTGGACTGGTCCCACAACTTCACCAACATGCTGGGCTACAGCGAGGCCCAGTTCACCGAGCTGATGAGGCTCTATCTCACCATCCACAGGTGAAACCCCACGGCCGTCACAAGACCTGATCAAGTAGATCTGATTTTGATCTGAATTTTGTAACGGCATACTTCTTTCATAAGCCATTATCTGGCTTTCAAAATTCAATTTTTTACAGATGATTTTGTATTACTTATGATGCGCTGTGTTATCCAAATCTTTACAAGGATGTTTGAATTAAGAGAGGAAATTTGGTTTAGTTTGGATATTAAGTGGTTCCACAGATGCTTTTTACATTAATAACATTAATAGAAACTCAAACAGAAGAGTAGTTTAACTCATGGAGGTTCTGCAGGTGTAGTCTTATTTGGTTATCAAATTAGGTTAGAAGAGGTGGGAGCGGTGACGGTATTACAGCTCTCCTGAAGTCGCTGAATGCCGCAACCGATTGCTTAACTGAGCACTTCTTGTCGAGCTGAATTTGTGCCAAGAAAGAGGCTCGTTCCAAAGGCAAAAGGCTGAAGGGATTAGTCTGTTAAACTGAGACAACGTTGTACTGTAATGGATCCGTCACCTGCTCAAAAATCCTCCGGCTGCTTTAGACAATGTTTAATGTATTTATTTGTGACATTTCCTAGTTAAGATTTTCTCCTTTTATTTGGGGGGGAATAATGTTACAGTGACCACGAAGGAGGCAACGTCAGTGCCCACACCAGCCACCTAGTAGGGAGCGCGCTGTCCGATCCCTACCTGTCCTTCAGTGCAGCCATGAACGGGCTGGCCGGTCCCCTGCACGGCCTGGCCAATCAGGTATGTCCTCCTCACTCCATTCTCATGAATTTCAGAGTTCCCCTCCTCTAAGTCTGTCGCCGAGAGGATAGATTTAAATGTCACAACATTCCACACGTAGACGTCCTGTCGTGATTTTAGGTAACACTGCCTGTTATTAGTAGAACCTGGAATTGTCCTCCTATGACGACTCGGAAAAGTACATGTCAGCACTTGTCTCTGTCATGTGTTGTTAAAACACACCAAAGAGCAAATCAGCTCTGGCATTCTGAGAAGATAAAAAAACAGCTCAGAAAATTAAAATGACTGAAGTAGGCAGGTGTACAGTCTCACAATTTTTAGACTTATTCAGAACAAAGTAACTGTTTTAGTTATCAATAGAAAATTTGATAAAAGTTACAATATATTTTGTAGAAATACTTAAAATGTAAAATTGTAGACAATTGTACTTTAGTGGGGAACTAGCACCAAGCGTGTTGTGCTCTTGTGGCAGGAGGTGCTGGTGTGGCTGACCGCCCTGCAGAAGGAGCTGGGAGGAGAGGTGTCCGATGAGCGGATGAGGGATTACATCTGGAACACACTCAAGTCGGGAAGGGTAAAGACACCACCCCCCTCCAAACGCCGTCTTGTTTATGTTGCTTTGTTCTTCAATTCAGAGATGTCTCGACAGGCCCAGAGAGCCCCAAGTCGGCTGTAGCATGGGCTGACTTAGTTTTTTCTTCTAAATCTATATAACCAAAAAATGAAAGTTGGCTGCATTCATTAGAGTATTTGTAGTATTACTTGGATTTTAGAATTTTTAATAAAATGCTCCCGTGCTTTTTGTCTGCAGGTGGTGCCGGGCTACGGCCACGCTGTCCTCAGGAAAACCGACCCGCGCTACACCTGCCAGCGCGAGTTCGCCCTGAAGCATCTGCCCAACGACCCCATGTTCAAGATGGTGGCGCAACTTTACAAGATCGTCCCCAACGTGCTCCTGGAGCAGGGCAAGGCCAAGAACCCCTGGCCCAACGTGGACGCCCACAGCGGAGTGCTGCTGCAGGTCTGACCCGCTCTGAGCCGCGCTCCCGCCGCCCGGCGCTGGCAGCCCGGCTGACCGTCTGTCCCTTTTGTGTCCCCTGTGTGTGCGCAGTACTACGGGATGACGGAGATGAACTACTACACCGTGCTCTTCGGAGTCTCCCGCGCTCTGGGAGTCCTGGCGCAGCTGGTGTGGAGCAGAGCCCTGGGCTTCCCCCTGGAGCGCCCCAAGTCCATGAGCACGGATGGACTGATGACTCTGGTCGGCGCCAAGTCGGGCTGAGGCGCCACCGGAGAGGAGCCGTGAGGGGGGCGGGTTAGTGCGAGGGGTGGGAGGATGTGGAAAATATCGAAAGGCAGACATCAGTTGACCCTCTGTCATTTCCAAACCCCAGGGATTTACCAGGATTCAAAGAGACAGTACGCTTTTACAGTTATTTCACTAAAAAAGGGCCTTTCCCCATCACGTTTGTCCATTTGGAACACGAGCGGTCCAAACTTCAGACACCCAGGCGTCTAAAACTTTTAGTAGGCTCAGATTATATGTAGAAGTGTTTAGTCTGCGAGCATCTCAACCCATTTCCCCTGAGCATTGCCGGCATGTTTCTCAACGGGCACTGAGTCGGAACTATGAACAGGCAGTGGCATTCAAAGGGAATTGTGGGAGTGAAGTACACTTCCTTTATATTTGTCAGACAGATCTCCTCTCGCATATCTTACCAAAAGCTTTTACCGCTTTGGCTAAATTTGACATGTGATTCATTGTCTTTCTGGATGACATTCCCAAACAAAAGAGCGTCAAATAAAACCCAACTTTATTTTCTTCTATGCAATCGTATCATCCTATTAAGTTTTTCCGTGCGTTTCACTCCCACATATATGAACACTCCAGCTTAGAAAGACGAAAGGAAAAAAAAAGGTCCTTAGCAGTTAAACAAGTTAAAATATCCCAAAACATGAAGTCGGTTAAAAGATACTGCCCCTTTAAATCTTTAATCTCCCCCTTTTCTCCAATTTGTAGCTTTTTTGGTTATTTTTTTTGTTGTTTTTGTTTTAAAGATGACCTGTAATACCTCTATGATCAAAATAACTGTCTTGTCTATTTAGATTTTTTTTCTTCCTCCCTTTTAATCTCTATTTTAAATGAGTCTGTACTGGAAAGGTCTGATGAATGGTAGCGAATCAGCAGTAATGTACAATAATAAAGGGTGTTGTAATTGGCAGCCTGTAGTGTATCCTTAAGAGCAAGCTTGAATAAAAAGTGGGATTGGAGGGCTTTGTAGTCACCCCGTGGTATTTAGGTGTTTCTCGGTCCCTCCCCACAGGAGAGTGCTTTAAAAATCAAACTACTCCTAAAGTTACACTTGCTTAATTGGATTTTCTCATTTGTAGCAGTAGAACCCTCCATAGGCTGATTTGTGTACCTTTTTTACAAAGGTCCCTATTTTTTTTTTTTTTGGGTGTGGATAATGTATAAATCTAGTCTTTGGGTTCTCTTTTTGTGGTTTTATTTATACTTTTGTGTACATAGATATATATATGTATAGCCTGAATGTATGAGCTCTATGCGATCACTTGCTAGTATTAACCACAAAGAGTGCTACCAGAGTTTACCAACACTGTTAAAAAAAAAAAAAAAAGAAAGAAAGTGTCCAGTTTCCCTGGTCACCTCAATTCTGACGACGAACAAAATGGAAAACAAGAAAAAAAAACAAAATGCAGCTGTCTTGTACATACAGTCTCTTGCCTAGCTTTTCTGGCTCAGCCGGTGCTGTGTTTTCAAGTGGTTTCACCTGAGCTTTTCAAGCTTGCTTTTAAGTCCTAGGTTTGTCGACACTCCATGTTAGTGTAGCTGCAGTTCCCGCCTTGCTCTCCAAACAGTCCTTTCGCTTTTGTTAGCCGGATAGCTCACACAGCCGTTTTGATTCGCTCTGCTGGTTTCTGTCCTCCGTCAGGCAGGTCTTTTTGTGTTTTTATTGTGTTCTTCCACGAGGCAGGTCGTGTGAGATGGGGTTATTTTGATCGTAGAGGAGCTTAAAGGTTGTATATAACTGGGGGAAGCGTATCGCGGATGGTTTCATCGGAGAAACTCGGTTGGGGGGGGGGGATAGGGCTTGAGGGGTCAAATGAGCAAGTAAGCACTTGTTGGAAAACCTAACAAAAAATTGAAAAATAAAGGTTTTTAATAACATTTGTTTGCTGTGTCTTTTTTTCATAGTGAAGTTGGAGGCAAAAGTAATATTTCCTTACATAATGGTGAAATTGTGGAAGAGGAAACATGACCCTGAATACAGAGCTCACCGTTTCGCTCGGTTCATTGGCCAGCTTTTGGCAGGAGTCCTCATCATGGAGGTAAAAATCAAAATGAACCTGCATTGGGATGCACGGCCTAAGCCAACTCCATTCTGGCGTCTTCTTCTCCGGCTCCCAGAGGCTGGCATGAATTCGGTTAAATGAAAACGGTCATGACTCGAGGTGTGGGGGGCCTGGGTTTGTCCTCCAGTTCTGTGTCTGCAGGACCATGAAAAAGAAGATGATGCGAATGCCCAGCGCTCACATGCACCGTTATTAATAACTGGCCCACATACCATGACCCCACTCTGGTTTCCTGCTGGTCAGCTGTGTCTCTTTCCACTATGCTATGCAACAAAGGTAACTGGTACTGAGCAACTTCAAAAGGACACAAAGGCTCATCCTAAAGCCATGAAAAAACAAGGCACTTTTGATCCACAGTATTTGGATCCAGTCATTAAGAGCTTTTAAATTAATAACACCTGGTCTGAACAACAAATCTGACTGATAAATTTCATAAAAGCTTTACTACAATCCAGAGGCACATTGCCAGCTACTGTAAGTATATCCATGAACCTTCCAAAAGAATAAGAGCTGGGATTAAAAACAATTGATTAACTGATTGTCAGCTTAAAAAAAAGAAAGAAAAAAGATTAGCTGCTTGAGAGCCATCGTGTGTGTGTGTGTGTGTGTGTGTTATCACAGTGCCAGGGAGGAAAGACATCAGCAGCGATTTTAATTTTGTTCAGAGAGAGGCTTCCTCAGCTCTGGTGCAACACAGAGAGATGGAGGAGCTTTGTCCAACAGGTACATAATGATGGCTACATTGGCAAGACAACATACCGAGTGAAAAATTAAAGATTGGGATGTTTAAAATGATGTTTTGGGACCACATATCAGAGAGGTGTGCATTAAAAAAAACAACCTGAACATAACTGAGAAAATAAAAAATAAATTAAAAAAACTATTGCTTTACACGTGTTTATGCTTTGTCTAAGATTTTCTCCGAATAATGATGCATCTTGATATGCTCTGTTTATTTCAGGAACTTAAATCTAAGACCTGGAAAGGATCAGTTGATGTCTCAAGGTGGCTGCATGCTGCAGGTGGAGTGGGGGTCAAAAACCTGTTAAGCTGCAATTAAGTTGGACAGGAAGGAACGCGGAATCCCACTTTGCAAATGACACAGACAAGAGAGGATTTAAAGGTAACTTGTCTTAATTCAAATGGGCTTTAAAATACACCTGCAACACTTTACACATACACATCAGTTCACAGCACAATTGGATTTAAACGCAACCGTTAACACAAGCATCACGGTAAGCCTGCAGTAATCGTGCTTTTTCTAAATGTTTTGGGCCGGACAGAAGAAGCCGTTCAGAAGCTGAGCTGGGAAATATCCAGCGATGGCAAAGGCAGTGCAACTCAAACCTAACAGCGATTCACTCCTTATATTTGAATCGGTTGTCTATTTATGTGCTGTTCCAAAGTGCTTGACCGGCATCGGGACACCACGGAAATGACCTTTGCGAGCCTTTGATCGTGGGATGAAAGGCTTTGATGTGAAAATGAAACTGCACTCGTCCCCGGTCGCCTTCATTCATGCGTCGTGACGTGTTCCAGAAAAAAACCCAAAGTCCAACATAAGCACGAAACCCAGACAATAATAAATGATCTGCAATGTTTTATTCTACAGCCCCGCCAGCAGAATTAGGTGAGAATGTGCGTGACAGGAGAAAACAGACCACTAAATACAAGCAGCTTTATGCGTAAATACCTCTGTATAAAGCAGCAGCAAACGTGAAGCCAATCTCACAGTTTAATCTGTAACTTTATCAATCCATTCCATATAATCTATCAAATATAAAGATGTTTTTCCTTTTACAAAATGGACTGTGATTATCCTGTTGTTGGCACAGCACCATGTGATTCTACGACTTTAAAATTTGTGCAAATTCTGGCCCCCTTCTCTTTTTGAATGGATGCTTTCAAGCGCTGGGCTGTAAAATAAGCCATTCTTAAAAAAAAAAAGAAAAAGAAAAAAAAAGGCTGAGTCTGGATGCACAAAAAAAAACTAAATCAACAGTCCTCACAGCAAAAGCAGCCAGGCTCAACTCTAAATTTCCCAAACCCCCGTTTATCTTGGGGCCGAAGCTCGCCGGCGACATTCATTTTGTCCGCTCACTCGGACCCTGAACGTCCGAATACTGTCACAGTGACCACACGCCGCACGTGGCACCTTAAAGTCCCAGCATCCCCGCCATCGAAGTAAATCACAGTGGATAAAACTGATCATTCTGCAGGGGTGGCTCCAATTTACGTCAAACGGTATAGTCAAGATTTTAAATGATGTAAGAGGGAACGGTAGAAGGCAAAGAATATGCTTTTGTTTTTTAAAAAACAAAACAAAAAAAAACAGTATGATCAGCTGCTTCCTGGGAAGCTAACGTGAACAATGGCCGTTGAGCATCGGAGGGCCTTTAGGTCCAATAAAAAATAATAATATAATAAATAAAAGGGTGTTTGTTTAAAATAATAGCCGACTCTCTAACACTGGTTACATGATGTAAAGATTTACTGTTTGGTTTGACATAAATACAGCTGGTAACTGCTAGGGAGCGAGGGCAATGGTGGGACCTGGTAACTATGGGCTAAGATGGAGGTAGACAGAATGCGGGCAGGCTGGACATTAGGAGGGTGGGGTGGGGGGGCGTTTGAGCCAAAGAATTTTGTGCGGCGGGAATTCCAACATTATGTTTACAAGAGTTAGCTGTCCTGGATAGCTGCTCTTCCTCTGTAGCGGTGGAGATGGAAACGCAGCGGAGGGGGCGGGGCCGGCTAAGTTGGGTCATGCGGGTTTTTGTTAACTGTATGAAGGGGCTAAAAGTTGGTATGCTTTAAGGCCGGATGAGGACGTGCGAGTGCCGAGATCACGTCTGATGCACCTCGTGGAACATCAGCTCTCGGGGGATTCGAGTCTCTGGGCCGTAGAGCTTGCCGGCTCGCCGCTCGAACGCGGCCACGTTCTGCTTGACCACTTCGTCGAAGAACATGGTGGCTAACTGGGAGTGGAGCAACGAGCGGAACTCAAAGGATATCTGCCAAAAGAAAGGTCAAAAGTTTGATTTAACTCATACTGTTCCAACAAACAGCCATGACACACAGCAACACGTTTGATAATGAAGACTTTTCATATATTCATTTAGTCAGCTCTTTTTTTTTCTTGCTTAAAGTTCAAACAAATTAATTAATTTTGAATTATCTTTAAAGAAACATTAAACCAGGCAGAGATCATGTTTGAACTAACTAATAAGCTATTTTCTTTCAAATTTAGGCTTGTCCATGAGAGAAGCAAACAAAGTCTAACCTTTTCCCTACAGCCTAAGCGAGCCTGAAGCAGGAAACAGGATACTCACAGAAAAGTCTACCGTGCAGGTTCGAGGGTAACCGGGAATGCCAGGACTAAAGCGCCATATCGTCTCCAGGTGATTGAACAGCTTCCCGTCTGTGCACACTGCCTGAAACAACACATGAAAGGCCGTCTACAATTACAACATCTGGCATCGTAAATGCTACAGACAGGCGGATCATGCAGCCGGTCACTTACTTTGACCAGGTGAGGCCTAACGCATGTGATCATCGAGGTGTATCTCTCCACGACCGGGGGGAATCCGACTTCCAGCTGGGCTTTGGAGTGACCAGCTCTTTTCATGATGGTCTGGGACTTCTTACACCAAGGCACAAAGTGCTTGTAGTCATCGACGTTGGCCACCACCGTATACATTTCCTGCATGGAATAACTGAGAGCAGAAGCATAGCGGTGAAAAAGCGCGTCCGGTGGTGCTCCGTTGAAAACACTAACCCATGCAGTTATCTCTGGCTCAGGCTGTGTGTGTTACCCAAGTATCCTACGCTCAGAGTACTCCTTCCGTTTGTTGGTGAGGCTGATGAAGTTTCTGCTTTGAGGAATTGTTGCCATCGTGTCCCAGTCTTGAAAGCAAAGCACCCTGGGACTTCTCGTCATCAAAATGCCACACGATGACAGGTGTCTAAAGGGTCAGAGAACATATTCGGTGAGTCACAGTCTGGAAAGACTTTGAGTATGCCACGGGCAGACCGTGACAATGGCCATAAAGGCAAGGCCCACAGTGTGGCAGTTTCTAGCACTCGGTCTACTCAGTGAGCCTCAGTAACCTGAGTAGGGAGAAAGCTGGCATTTTCTGAATAGAGCTGTTTGTGTGAACAGAAAAAAAACATTGCTATGCGGCGGTATACCCAGTTCCAATAGGTTTTGGTCTGTTTTCCTCCCCAAATAATTACATCACACAAACAATAGGCTGATATACTTCCAATGTTTGATTCAGACAACACTGTATCGCATTATATGAATAAGTAACCTTTCTCATTTTAAAAAAGTCATACGTTGTAGGCAGTCACTCCACACAAACATATTTCCTAGGTCACATAATCCCTAACAGATGTGTTTAATACACAATCTCTGAGCATTTTAAAGGGGAGAAAATGGGAAAACTGTATCTTACTATCTTAAGATAGTTCTGTCCTAATGGACGGGCCACATTTGACCTCGTTAAAAACCGGTTTTCAACATAAACATCAGCTCTCGCTTATGTATAATAAAAACTTACCTGTTTGAGTATGTACTTGCTGTGAACTCTGGCTATTCCCTATCCCAAATGGGAAAATCCTGACCCATTTTAGATAAGAAAACCAAACCAAACAATCTTCCCTGACAGGTTACTTGGTGACCTTCTCACTGTGACGTCCGATCTAAAAGTGAGGACTGTCCGTTTCTGGCCGTGCGCCATCAGCTACAGCAGCCATTAGAATAACAATAAGAAGAATAAGAATACTCCACGTCTTTTAGCGACATGCTCACCTGATGTTTTGTCGCAGGCATCCTCTCTGAACCGCTGGGCGACACGAGCGAGGGGAGCCCACAGTGGCGATCTGAAGAAAGTCACTGAACGTCCGCACACCCATGGGTAACCGCCGGGCACCGGCCGTGGCTGCCATCAAACCGGACGGGAGTTCCCGGGTTTTGAAAGCTGAGTCTGCCCCTGGCCAACGGGGAGGGCAGGAAGAGTAACAGGTTCCGTCCACAGCCCCCCTGCTTTCGGAGCGCTTATGTAACGAGTGCCGTTAGCTTGTCCACTAGCCTCCCTTTAACCGCGTCCCACGTCGCTTTTTCGAGCCGGGAGCTTAACTAACGCTGGTTTAGATAGTCAACGGCTAACGTCGGCTAACGAGGTTTCATAACAGCCCGGCCAAACGCGACGTGGGGCCGCGTTCCTGTACTTTGCCCTGTAATACTCACATCCCTCTGCGTTTAAAGTGCCAAAGTTGCAACAAAGCTGTATTATTTAGGCTATTTTTGGCCCGAAATTGTGTCAAATTCCGTCCAGCCGCGGACGACCTTCTGCTGCTAAATAAAACGCCGGTGATGGGACAAGCTGTTCCTTTCTTCTGCGTGTTCGGCTCAATTAGAACAGCTCTGCGGTGACAACACTGCCCCCTCTGGTCCGGAGGCTAACAACAGCCGCCCCTCTTTCTTTCTTTCTATCTTTTTTTATTTTATTTTATTTTAAAAGCAAAAATAAGAATGATAATTTGAAAAAGTTTTTTGATAATGGCGATTTGTAGCTGTCATGGCTGACTGTTACAAAATGCCTTTGACGGTCATAACAACAACACAACATGGAACACGCCACGCGCAGGCCGAGTTGACTTCTGTGGCGCTGAAAATTATCCTTTCCATTTGACTTTCGGTATTTTGGGCCACACAATTTTTAAAACTAAGCGGGGAAAAAACAAGGCAGAATTCCATTCACTCTGTAGCCGCACGGTGTCGACGTTTCGCCCATGTTAGACTTTTCAGACCGCCACGCCTGTAGGCGGACCAGCACGGTCGTAGCCAGAGTCGTCAGACGAGACACTGGATACAGACAACAACAGTGACAGACCGAGACCGCATTTCTGTTTGCGTTCAGCTATGGGTGTAGTCTGAGAGGTGGATACAGTAGCGCACCGCAACTTACCTCGAAGTTTTATCCTCATGAAGGAGCTCCGTCCTGGCTGAGTTAGGGAGATGGGAGTACTCAACATTGCAGACCAGGTACGTTGGAAAGAAAGCGCTCCGTGTTGGGGCTGTGGCGCAGTCTATTTGCTGGGAAGGACCCGCTTGTAGTGCGCAATATATCAGACCCGTAACATTCTCACGCGTATTTGCGGCGCGTTTTATTATGTGGCCGGTCAATGCATTTTCGTGGAGTTTTTGGTCGAATAATAAGCCTTGCTTTCCGGCGCTAATGTGTGCGGTGTTGGGAGTCGGTACCAGGCCGTGCTCTGGGTCAGGGCCAGCAGGGCTCCGTAGCAGCGTTAGCTTGGAGAGCCATTTGGCTAGCTGACGTAAGTACTGAGAAACAGGCCTGTAGGCCGCAGCTAAGGCTAGGTGTATCTACTGGGGGGAGGGAAAAAAAGCATCAGTAGATTTTATTACAGTTTATAGTGGGAATGCAATATTTATCGTCACGTCGGTGTTGTTATTCATTCAACCAAATACGTAATGGTTATGACTACTTTATCGATTCTAGTGAAATATAGGTTTGGATGATAATTTCCGACTCGTCGGTCCGGTTAATCGCTAAAAAAAGAAAAATGATATCACCTACTGTTTGTGTGTTGCAGCCTCCTCTGGTCCAGGCCATCTTCAATCGTAATGCCGAAGAACTTCAACTATTATTGCACAAAAAGGAAGATGTCAATGCACTGGTACGGGTTTCATGTGAAGCTGCACGTCTTAGATGATAGCAAGCCTTCCTTCAAAATCAAAATTGAACGTCTTTTTATTTGTATTTTTTTACACCTTGATTGACTCTGTGTCCGTTTGTCAGGACCATGAGCGCCGTACGCCACTTCATGCTGCTGCCTGCGTGGGTGATGTCCATATAATGGACCTCCTCATTGAATCAGGTGAATCTGCTGCATCCTATTCAGATACTATCAGCCCTGTGTCTCCCTACACCTGCAACACCTTTCCCCTTCTGACCTACTTAATATGGGTTTGTTTAGCAAGATTTCTGTCTCTTCTTTTGATTTAAACACTAAACGTTTCTTCCAGGTGCCAGTGTAAATGCTAAAGACCATATATGGTTGACCCCTTTGCACAGGGCAGCTGCTTCCAGGAACGAGGTAAGCCTCCGTTTGAAAGATTCAAATCTCTTCGGAGTGCCGTGACTCGGATTTCCATTTTCTAAAATGCGTTTTGCCCAAGGCCTTTTTTTTTCCCGGATGGATGCTTTCATTGCTTCCTTTTGCAGAGGGCAGTGGGTCTGCTGCTCAGGCGTGGGGCCGACGCCAATTCACGAGACAAGTTCTGGCAGACCCCGCTGCATGTGGCCGCCGCCAACCGTGCCACGCGCTGCGCAGAGGCCCTGCTGTCCCAGCTGAGCAATCTGAACATTGCAGATCGCACCGGCCGAACTGCTTTGCACCATGCAGCTCAGAGTGGGTTCCAGGAGGTGAGGCTGCATTGATTTGCTCTCCCTTTTTTTTTTAAAAACCATATTTTTCCCCATAAGAATGGTTCCTCACATTTGGATTGTACTTTTTTCTTTTCTCACAGATGGTGAAGCTGCTGCTGAACAAAGGGGCCAACCTGAGTGCCATTGATAAGAAGGAGAGACAGCCTATCCATTGTGCTGCTTATTTGGGTAATAGAGGAAAGCTCAGATTTTGCAATTAATAAACTTTTCATTCTCATGTAGCTGTTAAAAGCTCCCGCACTTCTATGGAGTTTTTACTTTATACAAAAATAATAATGCATGTTTTTTTTTTGCCTCCCACAGGGCATTTGGAGGTGGTGAAGTTGCTGGTGTCTCGCAGTGCCGACAAGAGCTGCAAAGATAAGCTGGGTTACACACCTCTCCATGCTGCTGCTGCCAGTGGTCATATCGAAATTGTAAAGTACCTACTGAGGATGGGGACAGAGGTGAGTGGTCCCACCTTTATTTCCTCTTAGTCCTCCATATCATGGATTTTCAGCACGTTATTGCATCATCAGTTGAAGATTTTCCGGGTTTGCTCACTGCCTTCTGTGACTCGTGGTCAGATTGATGAGCCCAATGGCTTCGGGAACACTGCGCTCCACGTGGCTTGCTACATGGGGCAGGAGGCTGTGGCTACAGAACTGGTCAACCACGGAGCTAATGTTAACCAGCCCAACAAGTGCGGCTACACCCCTCTGCACTTGGCGGCCGTCTCTACCAACGGTGCCCTCTGCCTGGAACTGCTGGTCAACAATGGGGCGGATGTCAACCAGCAGGTATGAAAAAAGCCTTTTTTCCCTTTTGTTTAGTTTAGTTTTTTTTTTACCTTTTGAGTTTACGGTTTTCATGCGTGACCTCAGGAAAAGTGTCCAAAGAGTTTGGCCCGTATGGTTGTTCCAGATTTAGTACAGACACATTCAGCATGAAGTCTCAGGAAAAGCATTTGTGAAAAAAAAATGGAAGGACTCAGCAAACACAATGAATATAGGGAGATAAAACACCACATCAGATATTCATCAGACCTTGATCTTAAATAAGACTCTCACAACAATGTAAAAAGCCCCCAAAAAAGAACAGTTTGATTTGTTACCCCTTTTTTTTTTTCTTTCTTTAGAGCAAAGAAGGAAAGAGCCCCCTGCACATGGCAGCCATTCATGGACGCTTCACCCGCTCTCAGATTCTCATCCAAAATGGTAACCAAGGTTTTTGCCGTCTGACTGAGCTTTGAGAATGTGCTGGCACCGAGGCCTTTCCCCTCTGTGCGAGCCTTAAGTACTTTCCTTCCGCCCTAATTTGCATTAGGTGGGGATATTGATTGTGTGGATAAGTATGGCAATACCCCCCTCCACGTTGCTGCTAAGTACGGCCATGAACTGCTGATCAGCACTCTGATGACCAACGGAGCAGACACGGCCAGGTATGATATATTTTATACCGTTTTCAGGGATGCTCCTTTTTTTAATTTTTTTGCTGGTTTTGGTCTTATCGACTGTTTGTTTTCTGCTGGCTTTCAGACGTGGGATCCATGGAATGTTCCCCTTGCACTTAGCTGTGCTGTACGGGTTTTCAGACTGTTGTCGCAAGTTACTCTCCTCAGGTTTGTCCCTTTTGATTTACTTAATCTCGTCCAAGTTTATTTGTTTTTCGGAGCAGTGACCTCCATCTCTTCCTTCATTACCCCATAGGTCAGCTGTATAGTATAGTTTCATCTATGAGTAAAGAGCACGTACTATCGGCTGGGTTTGACATAAACACCCCTGACAACTTTGGGAGGACCTGTCTACACGCTGCTGCCTCTGGAGGGTACACACAATCTGTTAACAAGGATTTTATTTCATTTTTTATCATTAGTTTAGTGTTTCATTTAGTGTTTACTTCAACCCCTTTAATGCTTTTTTCTTTTCTTTTTTCGTCCTTACAGGAATGTTGAATGTCTGAACTTGCTCTTAAGTAGCGGTACCGACCTGAATAAGAGGGATATAATGGGAAGGTGAGCGCCTTCTCGGCTTATTCTCGGTCCTGTTTTTGATCTAGTGGACTTGTGCAAAAAACAGAAATGAATCATTTTTCCCCCATTCCTCCCTGCAGGACCCCGTTGCACTATGCGGCTGCAAATGGGAGGTACCAGTGCACTGTGACCCTGGTTAGCGCTGGCGCTGAGGTCAACGAGTCTGACCAGACGGGTTGTACTCCCCTGCACTACTCTGCCGCCTCCCAAGCCTTCAGCAGGTTGGAAATGTGTTTATCTCTCCCATTTAAAAACATCCACGCCCCTGTCAACAAGCGATTGTCTCAGTTTCCGTCGTGCAGGGTATCTGCTACTTTTTGTGAGTGTGGAGCAAACAATGAAATCTGCTTAAGCTTAGCTGGATTACCCTAATATGTGGGGTTTTTACTCCAAAGTCAAAGCGCTAAGTGCCAGAGCGTTTACAGCCAGACAGCCTCGGCAATCAGAGAACCGGTTATGTTGTTAGCAGGTCACATTAAAGTTTTTAGACATTTTTCAGCCACCAGTGTTGGGGGGGGGGGAAGCTGTAGCGTAGGCTGCTGCTTTAAATAACCACACCACAGGCTCAGCATCAGAATGACGTCGGAGCATAAATTCAGCTTAACTGTGCAGATAAGAACAGCCGGGAGGAGCAGAGGCGAAGCTCCTGAGATCAGCTGCCAGTCAGTGGCTGCAGTTCACCCCATATCAGTCGTTCAAAAGCATCCCAGCCTAAAGTCAGCCCAATTCTTTCCATTTAATCTGACGTGTGTGTGTGAAACAGAAACGGGTAGCATCGTACAATGCCAGCAACCGTTGTGTGTTTTTATTATAAGACTCTGCTGTAAAGGCAGAGTACCCAGATATGAGTGTAGGTGACTGAACTAAATAAACTCTCACTAACCTACCAACTGGGATTTCTTACATCTTCACTTTGTAATGCAGTGAGCCAGTGGAAGTATGAAATGTAAAGGTTGGATTGGGCTTCCCCGAGGGGGTCAGCAAATGGCTAAATTAAGATGGTTCAGGCAATTTCTTTTAAATTAAGCTGAAAATTCTGTAGATCTGTGTGCTTTTTACACTTGTCTCAATCTTTTTTCTATTTGTTCCTTTTCAGAGTTGATCGTCATTTTTCTGGGAACCATCAGAACGATGAGGATGAGGCAAAGGAGTCTTACTTGTGAGTGTTTGCTCCATCCTCCCCTTTCTCTCCTCTCCAAGTCTGACCCTAACCCTGGCTTCAATTAGAATTGATTTAAAAGCTTGAGCAGCTTAAAAAAATTAAAATTATTAATTAGGAAAAAAAAGCCATCTGACAGCTCTTGTTGCCTTTTCAAAACAGCTGCTTGGAGCATCTTTTGGACAATGGTGCTGATCCATCAATGGTCAACTCTAAAGGTTACAGTGCAGTTCACTATGCAGCTTACCACGGCAACAAACAGAACCTGGAGCTGGTGAGTGCGCCCTCTCATCTGCCACAAACGTGGCGTTTAGCAAGCTGAAACTGAGCACTGTCATAATCCCTCTGTTGTTGTATTTTTGTCTGAACAATTTGCATGTTAGTGTAAATGAGTCCGTCCAGTACTGTTTGCAGCTTCCAGGTGACTCTCTGCTGAATAAACCCTCTTATTTAGCCTACACTGGCTTCTAGTTGTATTTGTCCTTGAAACAGATCACTACTTGTGAGCAATTTGTACTTGACTTTTTTTCTTATGAACTACCTCGTTGTAAGCTAAGCCCCTTTGTCTTACTTTTAGCTTTTGGAGATGTCTTTCAATGCACTAGGAGACATAGAGAGCAGTATTCCCGTCAGTCCGTTGCATCTTGCTGTAAGTGGCGTTCACGAGGTCACCTCTTGTTCGTAATTGGCTTCTTAATCCAGACTAATTGCAAAGTTGTGACCGGGCTCGTGTGCTCTCCCAGGCTGATAAGGGCCACTGGCAGGCTCTGCGAGTGCTCACCGAGACGGCGGCCTACGTGGACATGCAGGACGCCGCCGGCCGCTCTGTGCTCTACTTGGCCGCCCAGAAAGGCTACACGCGTTGTGTGGAGGTGCTTTTGGCTCAGGGGGCCTCCTGCCTGCTCAATGACAACTGTCTCATGTGGACTCCCATTCACGTCGCAGGTATAGCATGCCCAGCTGGAAGTTTAAGGGCCGCATCAATCTTTTTTGGGGGGGAATTAACACTGCATAAAGAATTTTGTGTCATAAATGGCTGTTTTTTTCCCCCCCTCCTTTTCTATCCCAGCTGCCAACGGTCACTCAGACTGCCTGCGCATGATGATTGATTATGGGGAGGAAGGCGATCTCACCAACGTTGCTGACAAATTTGGCCAGTGAGTTTTTTGTCATTTAAAAGGAATGTGTTAATTTGGCTGTTTAAAAAAAGGCTATTCGCTTTCTTGTGTCTGTTAAATGCAATACACGTGGTCATCTTCATTGTTATGTCCGCCACCTTTAGGACCCCACTGATGCTCGCTGTTCTGGGAGGTCACATCGACTGTGTTCACTTCCTTCTGGAGAAGGGTGCCTTGCCAGACGCTAAGGACAAGAGGGGCAGCACGGCTTTGCACAGGGGGGTATGTGAAAAATACGACTCAAAGCTGATGGGCACAGCCTAAGTTTTGAGTTGTTAGAATAGGAGGAAATGTCCAAACTATGCAAATTTCCCTGATCAAGTCAAAGCAGAGTATAAATGGATATTAAAGGGCCCAAACAATATTTCCATATATTTTCATCTCCACTCCTCATTTGAGATCTATCTGATCCTACTTGACACTTGATTTAAGAAGCAGAGCTCATCTTGCGTGTATGTCTCATTGTTCCACGTGGGTCTCCACTCAGGCGGTGTTGGGCCACAATGACTGTGTAACAGCCCTGCTGGAGCACAAAGCCTCTGCATTATGTCGGGACACCCAGGGTAGGACTCCTCTGCACTACGCTGCCTCCAGAGGCCACACAGAGATACTGGCCGGTCTGGTGCAGGACGCCATGGCAACAGACCCACAAGATAAATTGCTGGACAACAAACAATACACCCCATTACACTGGGCTGCTTACAAAGGTTTGTCCAGGTTTCATTAGCCGGAAAACCCGCTAACCTAAACAGCACGGTGGCAGTTATTCACTGGAGGACCTGATGTGTGTTTGCTCTCAGGGCACGAAGACTGTTTGGAGGTTTTACTTGAATTCAAAACATTTATCCACGAAGAAGGAAATCCTTTCACCCCCCTGCACTGTGCTCTGTGAGTAGTCATCCGACGCATGACCCTGTTTCCCAGTTTGGGAACTTTGTAAACCCTAAAAATAGACTGGCTGATTTAATGATGTTGGTGTTTAGGATGAATGGCCACAGTGGTGGCGCAGAGAGGCTGCTGGAGTCCGCCGGGGTCCACATGATTAACATCAGAGACGCCAAAGGAAGGTAAGACACTGGCACTTGGACCGAAGGACCAGTTTCAGAAGGAAAACATTAAATATGAGGGGAACAAAGCACAACGCGTTTTTTATTAATGTTACCCACTTCTGATCCCCTGTTTTTAATAAGTAGCCATGAAGACTTTTCATAAACATTTCATGAATAAATACTTGTTCTGATGGTAACGGTGGAAGATGGGATGTATACAGCGTTGCATTATTTTTTCTTTCACCCCTATTTCCTTCCAACACATGTTTCCCCATTCTCCATTCTGTCCAAAGATAGGACACTGCGCTAAAAGATCTTGTCTGCACAACATCAGATGTTATCTTCTCAAACACCTGTAAAAGGGTCCTGTTTTACCTGCTCTTAAAACTGGAAATAGAGCTCACGATAACAGGCCATGGCTCAAAAAGACGTTTCTGTTACGGTGCTGTAACAAAGACCAAGGCAGTCTCGGTCATCTGGAATTTCCTGTTCTAGCATCGGTAGATTGACCAAACGCCAAAAACGTTACACAAGGAAGTGGAAGCGGAATGATGCTTGAATTGTAATGTGCGTTGTGGACAGAAGTGAAGGTCCTGCCTGCTTTGTGCCCCCAGGGCCCCGCTGCACGCCGCCGCGTTCGCAGAGGACGTGGCAGGACTGCAGCTGGTGCTTCGCCACGGAGCAGAGATCAACGCAGTGGACGAAAGCGGACGCTCTGCCCTGATGGTTGCCGCCGACAAGGGACACAGCGGCTCCGTGGGTGAGTCAAACCCCTCCAGTATTAAGAGCGGGACGCTCACGAGAGGCATTCTTTTGAATTCAACGCCACGCAGAGCTTTCTAACCATCAGCTTTAAACATTCGAATAAAAGCTAAATGCTTGTAAGTACAGGCTTAGGAGGGTGCTGTTCAGTGAGAGAATGAGCCCAGTTTCCTTTTTCATAAAAAGAAAATACCACAATTCATATTCATGTAGGTTTTCCATAGCGGCCTTGTTGATGGAAGATTATTGAAGGTTCTGTGTTAAAGGCACAAAACCTTTGCTTAATGTCACTGTCCACTGCTGCTTTTCCTGCTGTTTCATGTCAGTATGGAAAAAGCTCTACTGTCAGATCTAATAACAGCATTTTGTATTTGCCCCGGTCCCGTTCAGCCATCCTCCTCCACCGGGCCAAGGCTGATCTGACTCTGCTGGATGACAACAGGAACACTGCCCTGCACTTGGCCTGCAGCAAGGTACGCAAGGTCACTGGCGAGATTCCAGAACCAGGACGTCAAACACCCTGGGACTGATTCTGACAGAAGTCTCTCCATCTTTTTAAATTATTATTTTTTCTTTAGGCCCACGAGATGTGCGCTCTGCTGATTCTTGGCGAAATCCACAGTCCCACTCTCATAAACGCAACCAACAGTGCTCTGCAAATGTAAGGACCAACTAGTATTTTAACTGTGCCACAATTTCAAAATAAAAAGCAATAAAAGTGCTTATTTATTTTCTTTTGTTTTTATCTGTCAACACTTGCAAATGAACCAAACCATATTTGGTGTCATCTTGTTTTTCCACACATTCCATTCTCCTGAATGCCTCTGGGACCGTCATGGGATGTTCTTCACATTTTGGATGGGCTATATTTTAAATAGCGTTGCCATAAAAGGTCGCTCATGAATTCCCACAGCTTTAATGACGAAATGTAATTGTATGGCTTCTTTTGGGGTGGGGGGGTTGTTTTTCTTTCGTCCACTATTATCCACTACAGCAAAAAGATGGTTTGCCTGTTTCTTATTTGGTCCGATATTGAATTAGTAACTCTAATTATGTTCCACAAACCCTATTCCCAAAATGGAACCGGTAACGGTACATGCATGTTTTCAATTTCATCTGCAGCCGTTTACCATTTGCTGTCCCCTAATCCTTCGGTTATTTATTTTGGTTGGAAATCCACCTCTGTGCCCTGTAGGCTCCCCTCACTCTTAATAATGTGAATCTCGGCATCGCTTTCTTTCAGGAGGATTCTTTGTCTGTAGTGTAGTGTTTCCCCACACGTAAGTTGAATGTAAATTGTGGTGCGTTTCCGCCTCGCCCCCCCCAGGCCCCTCCACCTCGCAGCCCGTAACGGCCTGGCCACGGTGGTGCAGGCGCTGCTGAGTAGAGGAGCCACGGTGCTGGCTGTGGACGAGGAAGGTGAGCTGCCCTTTGACCCCCACCCCGTCTCCGTGCGGACTTGAATGAACTCTCGCTACATTCTGTCCTTTTTTAAATGAGGCTGAAAGTGTAATGTTAAACGCCTTCCGTTGCCCCCCCCCTGTGCTGTGTGTCTGTGCCCGTCCAGGCCACACCCCAGCTCTGGCTTGTGCCCCCAATAAAGATGTGGCTGACTGCCTGGCTCTGATCCTATCTACCATGAAGCCTTTCCCCCAGCGGGACCCTTCCTCCTGCTCCTGCTCCTCTCCCACCGTCTCCCCCTCCCCGGGTCTCAACTTGCTGAAGCACTGCGGCATCACGGCCGCCTGCTCCCCGCTGCCCAGCAACGGCCTCCACAACGGCTACGTCAAAGATCGCCACGGTGCACCGGTGGGCCTGGACGGGTGCCTGTCCGAGTGAGGCCTCGCCCACACCACCACCACCACCACCACCAGGGGGCGACTACCTTTAACATGGGCCGTGAGGACCAGGAGAGCACCCACCCACATGTCTGTTTTCTCTGTATGTACGTGTTTGTGCGTCTGTGTGAGCGTTTGGTCTTCTCTTGAGGTGCAGTCAAACTTAATATGCAATTAGATCCTACTCCTCCATCTCCTAGTAGTGCTTAATACACAGAGGCAGGTTGCTCTACAAGGTCACTCGGAATGAGATGAGGCATTTAGAATAAACACTAGCAATCTGGCCATCTCCAAATCATTTAACCCTTTAAAACCATGCCGACGTGCGTATATAAGCAAACATTAAAGAGCATGGACATGTCTGTATCAAATGTCTTTCTTTCCATATCATTTTTGACGAGACGTCATATCATGTTTGATCACATGTGACCTTGTAGAGGAACGTCCAGCCTTCCCAAAAGAATGATCAAGGAGTTCATTTTTGGGGGGATTTTTTTGGTCTTTTTTTTGTTAGCCTAGATTTTATTTTAATTTTTTTATGAAGGAACCACACAAGGGAAAGTCTAAAATTTGAAAGTGCAATGTATTTTTTTCTTTCTTTCTTTTCTTTTTTTCAGTACAATCTGAAATTTGGAAAAGGGTCACAAAGATGTTAAATCTATAGCGTACTTTAAACGTGCGGCCTGGAATTATTTGGCATTTTGGGATAATTTGGTAATGCTGCTGAACTCATGAGCGCGTCTCTTTCCAAAGGAGATGCCACGTTGCGGTCAGCGTCGTAACATCCTCACATTCTTTATGCTGACCACCATTTTTTTTCCTTTTTTTTTTTTAAAGATGCTAAATAAGTGTTTGTTAAGCTAGAATGTTTCTAAGCATATAAGTTATGACCAAAGTTGATCAACACTACTATGGCTATAAATTATTTATTTGAGATGAACTGTACTGTATAGAGAAAGACAATAGATCTCGATATACCTCGTCAACTCGTTTAGCAGCTGCTTCATCTTCACCCAGGGTCCGTAGGCCTAATGTTCTCTTTTTGTAGGACTAGAGAACTACTGTAGGATAGTGACTGACTGAGGCCTTGTTTATTTCTAGATGAAGGCTTTACTAGTAATATCTGCCAACAACACCTCATCAAAGCATCATATATCTGAGCACATAAATGAACAAGCCATTTCAATTTGTTTCCCCATCTCTTTAACAGTGTTTTTTAGGAGAAGATTTCAGAAACTGAATGGCCTGGTTATTGAAAGAGTAATTAAGGGGGGGAAAAAAAGAATTTCCTTCTTCTTTGGAATTTTAGGCACTAAAGACATTTCTTTGTGTACTTTTTATTCTTGGTGTTTTTTTTGTTTTTTTTAAGTAGGCCATCGGCGTTGGGAGCATTTCTCGGAGCCGGTGAAATTGTCTTAACCCAACAGTTTTGAATTGACGCGTCTCTCGGTGGTGAACTCCGGTCAGTTTGAACAGGTAGATTATCTTCTGCTTTTTTCTTCTTCTTTTTTTTTTTTTTTCATTGGGTCGGTTTTCAAGCAATATATATATTTTTTGGGCCTTTTGGTTTTTTGAGCATTAAATGAATAGACAATCACTGTCACAAGGGCTTTTGTTTCCCTAGAATGTGTTTTGATTTTTTTTTACGTCTTGTTTTTTCTTCCATTATCTCATGAAAATTTTACCTAAAGACTAAACGAATGGCTCTGTGCGTGCCGGGCATTTTACTGTCAGTGTCAACCTAAATGCACTGGATTGCCTTTTTGGCGTCTCATGAAATGCCTTTTGACCCATGCCTTCTGTAACGCATTATTTCAGTCGGATTGCTCAGTGGCAGAGGGAGATGACGAGTCCTGATAATTACCTTGCCGCCCATCTGACACCAACAGCATTTCAGTGTGATTGCGCCACTGTATCTAGTGGAAAAGAAGGAAAGGAAAAAAAAAAGTTCAAATTTGCCCGGCTTAACTTAACGATCCGGCATTACTGATGACCAGGGAGTCGAAATCCCTAAAAGAACCATATAGGGCTATGGAAAGGAGAGGGATCTTTGCTTTGGCCAATACCTGTTTAGATTTCAGGAATAGCAGAAATCCAAATACATGCTTTTTGTTATTCATTTTCTTTGTTTTTCTTCTTCTTTTTTTTCATCCCATTTTTCTGGTACTAAGTATACTAAAGATGATTGTATCGGACCACTAGAGCTGTTTGTGACTTTTAGATGTTATATCTATGCTATTTAGTTGTCTTTTAGGAAAAACCAACAAACCATCGGACGATGGTTAGATTACACTGAGTCAGATTGTTTTCATTGGCATGATAACTTCATATCTGCTGGTAATGAAGTGGCACAATTGCACACGTTATTTGACTGGATGAGAGGACCTAGACCAGGCCGTTGCTAAGTAGTCCTCACAAAAAAGGCTTTCACGCGAGCACATTTAAGCTCGGCTATTCCTCGAACTTTACAAAGATCCTTTTCAGAGCAGCAATTTCCAAGAGTAAGTGATTAGATAGGAGGCAGACGCCTCATTTAGTTTGGCCTCTGTCACTGTCTGAATCGAAACAGAACTAAATGGCGAACTATAGCCTTTTATTGTGTTGAGCTCATTTTTAGTGGAACAGCAGCGATATCAAAAGCGGGAATGGGTACATACTTGCTTTGTAATCTCAGGATCTGCACTAAAGCAGCTGGCAGAGTTGACTAAATCCAATCAAGTGGCCCGCAGGATGATTACGTCGAAAGTTTTTTGGATTTTATTTAATTTTTTGGATAGGACGTTCCATGAGTTGATTCCTCTTTAGCTCTCGATCCCGCAGCACTTAATTAGGTAGTCGAGCACGCACTTTAGTACATTCAGGTTCTAAGTGTGCAAAGCGGAGCAGGAGTGTAATGTATGTACCTTTTGTTTACATGCACGTGTGTTGCTGCTGAAAACAGGAAAGAACAGTTGCAAAGGCTGCAACGTAATTGTACTCCGGTGATGCGTCATTAAAACAAACGACAGCTACAACAACAACAAAAAAAGAAAAAAAAAGAAAAAACAAATGGACAAAAAAACGGTGTCTTGAAGCACTTCTGGACAGTATCACTGCCCGATGACTTGTTTGTATTATCTGTTTCTGGCCAGGTCTCATTACCCCCCCAACCCCACAGCTTCCTGATCACAATCCAGACTCTGGCCTAAGTGACCCAAAGTCACTCTAGTTATTTAACTGACACCTCAGGCAGGCTCCACTAAGCACTCTTCAAACTCTTTCTGCCATCGGTAGGTGCTATCAAGCCAGCCTGTAGACTTCTTTTTTTTGGGGGGGGATGTCCTTATATGTCCAGCAAATGGAGCCGTTGCCCCATGCAAAGATACAAGACCCAACTTATTTTTTCTTTTTTTTTAATTGCATCACAGTTTTCTTATACTTGTTTTTTTTTTTTATTTATTTAATTTGTGTGTACCCGTGATACCAGTGATTGTGCATCCCCGTCAAACAAATGGAGCATAAACAATATCTTTGGAGTCAATAGACAGAAAGCAATGAAAAGGTCCAATTGTAGCAATAGAGAGCGCGTGCGTGTGTGTAACAGTGTGCAGCACAAATATTGCACTGCCATCCGTTCAGGCCAATCTAGTAAATCATCGTAGAAAATGCCAATGGAAGATTCAAAAAGCGGGTTAGACGTCATGAACCTTGGTCACAATTGAGGCCGGTTTGCCAAAACGTGTCTGTGAGAGGGAACCCTCTTGGTAAAGCAGCAACGGATTTATGCATATGTTCAAGCAGTTTACAGTCTGACCATCAAATCTGAGCCATGAATTTCCTGACTGAAATGAATGTAGGGTCAGTTTAGAGCTGGACAGTTTGCGTTTCAACCCGACTTTAAACTGTTGCTCTTCATTTGTCTTGCATAGATATGATGATACAGGTAGCATGTAGTAAAAGAGTTCTACTTATTGTAATGTATGTGTAGTAGTCTTCCTGCATTGAAGGTCTGGATATGTGTAGGTTCTCCCTCCCCTTTCTCCCTTTTTCTTTTTTTTTTCTTTTTTGTTGGTTTAAATGGTGTTCTGGGCCTGCTTTTGTGTGACGTCACCCCTTTCTCTGTACGCGCATCCGTTTATTTGTGACGAGTGAAGCCTGCAAGGCGAAGGGAGAACAAGAGTTCCGATGAATTTCAAACATTCACGTTCATCCATTGCATGGAGATTGCCTTACAGTACAGTGAACTGAGAGACAAAAAGGGTCTACATTAGATAGGATCACACAAACTCGTAAATAGCCTATATTTGACAAAATGCACCTAAGCTACACCCATTTAGTGCCATAGAAAACCTTGATTTGCCTTTAGACATGAATCATATATACTTGGTCAGTAACATATTCAGACATAGGCGGGATTATTACAGTTTTGTGTTAGGAGCTGCATGTCTCTTCACCAATTATATTAGTCAGAAGGTAGCTATATAAACCTTTGCATGGGATATTAGTGCTTAATTGCGAGTTTTCTGTTTCGATTTTTGGTGTTTGTTAGAAGTGTCTTATAATTGGACATCTTTTAAAGCCAATAGGTAGTCCCCTTTGGTATTGGCAAAGCAATTCATAGGTTGTTAAGCAAGTTGGTTTATAATGTGAGTGTGTTAAATAGAGGGAAATCTTTAGTTTTTGTTGTTGTTTCTGGATGTCCACAAAAAAGAAAAAAAACAGCGAAAAAGAAGCATGAAATATACAATATAGAATTGAATTGCCTCAATGGATGTCTTGGTTCTTACTTGAAGTCGATGGCAAATTTCAATTCAACTCTGATCCACTGTTGAGCCTTTTGCCTTAAAAGCTGAAATCGAAAAATGACAACCTGGCCGAACCTGTTAACGTTACATCACCTGTAGAGTTATTGCTACTTGGTTTGATTGCTTACTAAACATTTTGGGGGTGGGGGGGGGGGGATTGGCGACTACTTTTGGTCCTACAGACATCTCTAGGTGTCGAGAAGCACATATAAATGGAGGTAGCACATAGCTCAAGGTTGCCATGGTGCAGAGATTGTTCGGAGAGGTCGGGATCTCGCCATATTTTCCACTGTGAATGAATGAATGAATTCAGAATTCACTCGTAAACAATCAGCCGCGGCTCCTCTGCGATCCAGAGCCAAACCACACTGGGAGTTGATCTTGAGAAAAAAACCATTCGGACCGAAAGGATGCTTGCACAGAGTTGAAATCTAGCGATCCGTCTCGTGGGTTGTGTATCAGCCTAAATCGGCCCGCCCCCTCGCGGAGTTGTGGCCATTAGCGTCAGCAGATGTCTCGTGTTTCCTACCTGAGGAAAGGGGGGGGGGCAGCCCGCTGCACCTCCTCCTTTTTTTATTTTTATCGGACCTGCAGTTTTACCTCATCAGTGATCTTTAGTGTGACGATGCTGACATTGATCCTGCGTGGTGTGTTCTCGTGTTTTGTTCTGTTTGCTTTCACGGAACGACTCTTGTAGCGTGTGTGCGTGTATGCATGTCCTACCTTAACATGCACAAGCCCCAATAGCGCATAGTTGCCCTGTCTGGACACGTTTGTTTTGTTTTGTTTTGTTTTTTCTCCTTCAGTACAATCAACAGACGAGTCTGTTTTCACACACAGGAAAGAGTGCAGCGTTAGGTCAGCTGGGAACCGAAGGTAGCTATAAAACTTTACCTCTGTAAGTCGAAACAATACTGTATGACTAATGAGTTTGACCGCCTTCCCAGCCTGAACACTCGGTTTATAAACCCCCCCACCCCTCCCCTCCACCACCAATAGGACCTGTGTGGTATCAAGCACAGCGGTGGCAAGGTGCCTTTTATTTGTTTGGTCTTCCATTTGTATTTCCCAGAAGCCTTATAATGGGAAAAAAGAAATTTCACTGAACATACGACTTCAGTAAGTGGACACATACTCCCTCTGAGCATTATTATTATCATTGTGACTTCAGTTCTGTGTGATATCGATCTAAAAAAATAATAGCCTAAACAACTCCCATTCTGCATTCCCAGTGCTCTCTTTGGTGGCAGAAAGAGGTTGCACTTTGCGCATGTGACTATATATATTTTTTGGGTTTTTGTTTGGTTTTGTTCGGGCCACATCAGACGGTGAATGAATGGGGATCGGTAGTTCGAAAGCACAAATCCAAAGAAGGCACCTCGGGGACTCGGTGGGCTCTCCAAACAATGAGAAGCAAAGGAGCGAATAGACCAAATTTAAGGGGAGGGAAGATAAAAAAAACAAACATCTCCTTCGCGCGGAGAACGCGAGGCTCGATTGTCAGTAACACACGAACTGTAGAGACCGTCGTCTGGGGGGGACGGAGCCGCGTCTGGCTGTCCGGCGTCCGAGCGGGCGGCCTGGTGTCCGAGCGGGCAGCCTGGTGTCCGGCATCTGAGCCGCGGGACCTGCATTTGACAGCAAACTTAGGTGATCTGCTCGTCGTGACTGTGTTGCTAATAGATTGTGGAGAATGTTTGGTGTTTTTATTTAGTTTTTTTTCCCGTTGTTTTTTATTTTTATTTTCCTCTTTTAGAGTAGGGTATTAGTAGGATTGCAGTAGTAGCTGTGTGCAGTGTTAATAACTGTGTGATCATATTATAGAAGTGACGTGACATTTGTTGTCTTACCACATTAAGGCATGAATTATCTTCTGTCAAGCTGACCTCTTCTGAAATAGATTAAAAAGTGCAATAACTTTTTGTTTATCATCGCTTCCTCAGTTGGGAAAAAAAAAAGAAAAAAAAAAAGAAAACGTATTTAATATGCCCTTTTTTTTCTTATTGAAAAAAAAAAAACACCAAAAGTCACTCATCTGTAGCAAATGAAGGATTTCCAGTGGTCCTCTTGTTTGTTTTCCAGAGAGGTGGCATCTAATAGTGGAGTGTGTGATATTCCGTTCTTGAAACTGTGATCGACATCTGAACTTAAAAGCTGCCTGCTCTGACAAAGAACCGTGCTCAAGTTGATAGATTTGAGTAGGTGTGATTTTTTTTTTCTTTTTTTTTTTTTTTAAATTCCTTCTTTGGATGGACTTTGATGGTATTGTAGTTTGGACTTCTGGTTGCTAACCAGTGGACGTGTTCATTTGCATGTGTAGGTGTGTATATGCATCCTCTCTTCCTCCTCGAATGAAATGTTTTCTCAAAAAAAAGAATATTTAGACCTACTGTCAGTGATAAATGAGGATAAAAGGAAATATTAAAAATGCCTTATGATGTTTCCAATGCATTAGCATTAAGGGTTTTTTCCGTGTCTCTCCCTTTTCAGTGTGTAGACTAAAGCTTGTACAGTGAAGAAACTCATGAGATTTATATCTACTGTATAGCCTATTTGTTTTAAGACGAAAAAAAATTTGTTACCTACAGGTCCTGTGATTGTGGTTTTGGAGAAACATTCCCCTTGAAAGTGCCGTTTGTTTTCACCAGCAGAAGATGCGTTATCGGGGTGGGTGGGGGGGAGGGAGGGAGGGAGGGAGGGAGGGGGAGAAATACATTTACACAAAGGAAATCGAAACGTTTGGAAAAAGCTCTCCAGTGTTTACCGTCAAATTGAATGAAGCGGAGTATTTGTGCGGGAGAAACAAAGCGGCGGTCTTTTGATGGAGCACCTTATTGACCCGCTCCTTCTGTGAGCCGTCATGGAAGCAGCCTCTCACCGAGCAAAGCAGAGCCATATCAGAATATGCCCATTAGGACCCCCCCCCACCCAACGAATGTGCTATTAGGAGTAGCTTCCTGTTGAAAAGGATGTATACTGCATGTTTTGTGACGTTTTTGTAGAGCTTGTCCCTTTTCATGTTTGCTTTTTCAATTTTTTTCTTTAATAATTATTCTTAGTATTATTTTAAATGTGTAGTCCGCTTCACTGAAGATGTTGCCACCTCATTGCAACTCACAAGCTATTAACAATCCTCTCGCAACTGGACTTAAAGCAGGCATTGATCTGCTGCTGAGGCAGCCTTAATTCATTGCAAATCTAAAACGAAAAAAAGGGAGAGAGAAAAAACGATGACGGACAGTGGGTTGCCTGTTGTGTTGTTTTGTTTGAGTGGCTTATCTGGGGAAATACAAAGGAGCCCTTATCATGAGTGGAGGGACTCTGAATCAGGGCATGTGATGAGTTACAATCAAATAGTTTCACAGTGCACCTTCAAAGAAATAGGAAAAAGAAAAGAAAAAAGTTGGCTCGTCCACCCCCCGACATTCCAAAGTTGATTTCATTTGACACAGTCCTGTCCCTCTGAATGAGGAAACCTTTTCGCTTCGCTGGTGAATGGAGCAGGCTCGTGTGTCTCTGACAGGGTTCCCTATTTAGCCTAACGCTGATTACCTCATTTACAAATCTGCAAATATTACTATTCTACTGTGTGTAAAGGAGTCAATGCCATCACCAGCAGCGTGGTCTTTAGACCTGTGATGACAACAGGACCAATTAAGTTACTCTGACGTTAGCCAATTTTAAGATGCGACCGGTCTAGGAACACATGATTAAGACATTATTCAAATTTCTGTAAGGCCCGATGGGCCCCATAGATACGTTAAGTTCGTCGATCCAAGCTGCTCGTCCAGTCAGCATTTGGAGCCACCAGAGAGTTGCGGATGTCTTTATTTTTCCGCCAGATTTCAGATCAGTATTCCACCATAATTGGCGGAAATGGAGTGAAAACCAAACATTGGCCGCTGCTCAAATATTGACTGGAACAGCAGCCGTTGGAGCTAGCATGGTTCAAGAAGCCTTGTGTATCGTGATTATTTAAATCAACAACCATGTTGACATCACTTGCTGTTCTTTAAAAAAAAAAACACAATTATTTTGCTCTTTTTTTGTGTTTTCCTTTTAGTAGCATTTCTCCTACCTCCTTGTTTTGCAGCCTTGAGTATTGTCTATCAGCCTGTTCTGACTTTACGGGAATACAGATTTATCATAAGCAATTGTAGTTATACATAAAAAGTGTGCTTGGTTGTGCTGTATGTGTATGTGTCTACTTGACGTTGGAAAAAAAAAATATTTATGAGAAGCATTTATATGACAAAATACCACTGGAATGTGAAGCCAGACGATGTTATGATGCAGATTATGATGATAGTCTCTCCCCTTTAACATTCAGTGGTGACTGGTCTGAGGAGCCATGTTTTAGGAAACGAATTACCAAGCATCGGCTTTTTGTTTTTTAACACAGCTTACTTCCATGGTTTCCTCTTATGCATATTCTTCTTGCCCTATGTTAAACAGCAACTCAACGTTTACAGCTTCATTTTGGGCCCGCCGACGATTGCTCGGAAGTTGTAACGGCGTCGCAGGTTGTCACAAGGATTTAGAAAGTATGGTGGATCTGAGAGTCTGTTTGAGGGCGAGTTCAAGCCCCTCGAGCCGTATGCCTTTGAATCCATATGTCCACTCTGAACCAAATTCCAGCTACACAAGCGTCTGTCTCCACACTGTCCCGACATTTAACATTGGGTTTGACTACAAGGGGTACAGGACAAGGTGAAAGGTTAGAGGTTTACTGACCATGCCCCCACTCCCCTCCCACCGCAACCCCATCCCACTCAATGCCATCTCCCAATACAGGACCAGACCCCCCCCCCCCCCCCCCCCCCCCCCC